TTGCTATTGTTCGCGGCAAGGAGATGACGATCGGTGGGAGTGCCTCTCTCGCTCGGCGACGGCGGAACTATGCTGACCTGGGCCCCTGTATCGACCAGGAAACGGCGGCCAGAGAGAGTGCACTGAACGAAGAAAAGATCGCCCTTCGGTTGAGAGCCGGCCGCGAGAGCGATCACTGACGGCCGGTCTGCTCGTTTCCCTGCGCTGGCGTCACTTTCCGTTCCAAGAACACGGCATGAGACAATTCCTGATTCCTCACCGAACTTCGCATGAAATCTGCATACCCTCGGCGACTTCGAGTTTGCGACTCCCTTCTGCCCGATTCTTCCGCGGCTCGTCTGCCTCACCGAGTCGACTTCATCTTCGTATTGCATGGCGAGAACGCTGGTGGCCTGGCGCTGAGCATAGATCTTGTCAGCGAGTTTTGCCACGTCTCTGAGCTCTAGGTGGTCACAGGCTACTACCAGGTCTCGGACATGCGACGGCAGCGTCTGGAGATAGTGGAACCGGCAGAGCGGATTCTTTGAAGGGTTAGGATCGGGCCTATATAACCCAAGCATCCGGTCCAGAAGCCTTGTGGGAGTATCGTCGCCGATGGAAAGGTTGACGAGGGTCGCGAACCGCTCGTGCTGACTAACCTTGAAGGAGTCCAAAACGCGGGCCTTGAATGCCGAGTACCGGGTGCCAACAGCCGGTAAATCGTCGAAAAAGTCGCCCACCCTTTCCTGCGTGTCGGAATCGAGGGCCGTAAGAGCGTACTCGAACTTCGTCTGGTCGTCAACGATTCTCCTCAAGCTGAATTGAGCTTCCACGGTCGTGAACCACACTGTAGCTTGCTTTGGCCAAAAAGGTGGCAATTTCAAGGAGACGGCAGAGACGCGCGGCGCGTCGCGGCTGGCTCCTGCTGGTAGCTCCTCGAAAGTGTCCTCGAATATGTCGTGCTCCATCTTCTTTAGTACTCCGGGTCACCAATTGTAGCGTGTGAGCTACGTCTTAAAGCGGACACGTTGTGTCGGGTTTGTCGGCGAGTTACCGAATGAATTTATTCTTCGTTGTTCTCAGGTAATAGACAGAATGAGTGCGGTCGCGAGCCGCCATAGCCCCAATCGGATCCATGAGAGAGACTTCACACGAGAAAACAGGCAAACTCCGGGTCGAGAGCGGTTCATGGTTTGCGGACTATTCCGTCGCCTTGTTCCCTCTCCGTCTGGCAGCTTGCACGAGTCACTGCAGGCGGACAGGCGTAAGCGAAAATATTCCCTCTAAAGGCGACATGGCGTACAGTCTCGGCAGGTTTTCCTTCTCAACGCGTTTGTCGGAGGCCTCCATAAGTAATGTTCGTCGAAGTAGAGGACACGATGAAAGAATACGGGGTTGAAGGAGTCAGGGAGATGGTTTCGAAGTTTCCGCTGCTCGTTGCCCTTAGCAATAGATGTTGTCGAAGCGGCCCAGCCTTATGATGCCTGCAGCACTTCTTCGGCTGTTTGTTATTGGGGCTCGGTGAGCAACCGCGAACACGGTGCTGGAGCGGGTACGGCTCTTGTGTTCGGTATTGAGGTGCACAAGCAATGCGGGGGAAATAACTATCGCTTTCTTCCTTCACTAGAAGCGACAGTATAACCCCTGGGAAACGTGGTCGGGAGTCACCTCGAAATCATCCATGTATCACGACGTTATCAGCACGAGCGTACAAACGTGAAACTTGCTCTCTTTCTTCGCACAGTTAAGCTCTCCGAGTGCGTTAGAGACTCCGCTATCAAGATTCCAGCGAGAGATTCGTCGGAGATCATGCCCTCAGAAAGTGAATCACGGAACCATTCGGCGATTCGACGTGCGTCACCAATGGAGGGACTGATCCCCTGCCGTTCACATCGCCACTGGCGTCGCCTCTGGGGATCCGGACGGGCAGAGTTCACAAAGGAACAGATTCCGTGCCTCGCTGTTCTCGAGGAAAGAGGACATAGTATTCTATCGGAACAACCACGAATGAGGAGCAGCGCCGCGACGCGCTTACAGACGACACAGACAGTCTGAAAACTTACCCTGACCGTCGGTCAGTGGTCTCATTCCTGAAGTGTATGCTGTGCCGGCAGCGAGATCCATCTCGAGAACCGCGCTCAGCTCGGAGAGTTGTCGGTCCAGATAAGGCTGCCATGGTACATGCGTGTTAGACAATTCTGCCTGAATGGGGGAACAGACTTTGCGAGCCCGATGTTTCTATTCGCACGGATAAGGGTGATCAGATAGACGAGTTCCGACAGCGTCCAAGAGACGAACCGCGGTGGGACGGTCGGTAATCAAGTGCGGGATTTCCGTCTTTATCTCTCCGATCGCTCCGTCTCACCACTTGTGGTTCGTCGTGAGTCTTCACGTAGCAGTGGTGTCTTTGGGAGAAAAGCCTCGATACCCGTGAAGCCCGCCGGAGGAGAGACAGGGATGACCTCGGTAGAGGTGGAATGGGAAGGAATATCCGACTTTGGGCTGTCTCATTCGAGAACCTGCCCGGCGGCTCATTCGAGTGCCGCAAAGGTGACAGGCTTCCACAAAATTCGCTGTCTCGCCCAGTACTCTATCTACCTGGGAGTCGATTTCCGGGCTCGGGAGATGTTTCGCGCTGCGATCCCTGCTTGCATCTCAGAGCTGGGTGCCCCCCGCGCGAGCTCTCCGAAATTTCCTGTGAAACCGCAATCCCATAATACGGGGAAGCGAGAATCACGGAGTCTCCACTCTCCACGCATTGAAAAGTTTTGACAAGCTGTCTCTGAGGTCTCACACCTCTTCAGCTGATCTCCGGACGAACTCCTGGCGTGCACATGGCAGAAAAATCGGTCTTGATTTGAGTGGGTCGGTTCGAGTCGGGGCAGCTGATTTGAGCTCCTTGAGCTCCTCGTCTTGGTCCCACTGTGGTGTACTCGATTCTCTCCCGCTAGTTCCATCAGAATCTATCGAGCGTCTTGCATATTTTGCTCCATTCTCAAATGCGAGATATTGTGGACGCTCGTCCGGCGTAAGTGGTCCGATATGGGACGAGTATATACGTCAGGCAAGCCTGATTAGATTTGCTTCGAGCGATAGAGGAGCGCTGAGCCGGCAGCTATCCGGGGGTACGCGGAGGGATGTCCCGCTGATTATTGGAGAACGCAATGTTACGAGCAAACAATACGAGCACAAGCCGGAAAAACAGGTCAGATAGGCTCCCATTCCCTCGAGGAAGCCGATCGCTCCACCGAAAATACGAGTGTATCATGTAGCTGATATCGTCGAATAAAAGGGTTTTCCGAGGCTGCGTGTGTTCGGCTTCCGAGAGCTCCTTCGAAGCCGCAGAGCTGGTACACATCCCGTTTGCCGAAGATTGCGTCAATCTGTCGGGGGTTGAATGCTTCCCGGATCGGATATTCAGAAAGGATTCCATCGTAAAAGCATGGGAGTGGAGCGGTGGTAAATAGCTGCCGCTCGATATGAATTTCTGCGTAGAAATCGTCACCGTGCTCCTCTCGGAAGCGGGGAATCCATTAGTTTTATTCAAGGTGAAAGAAAGCTTCAAAGGCCATTGTCTAGCAGGCAGGCACTTCGTTCAAGGGTCTGACGGGAGCAAGCGCGGGAGCCAGCCAGTATTATGATAAATTGAATCGAGCCGGACAACAGACGACCGGAGCACGAGCAGCAAGAACGCGCTGAAAAACTGTTGATATGTATGCGCATCGGGGAATAAAAATGTTCCCTCAAAAAAAGCCTGATATCCCGGGTCAGACTTCATGCAGCGGCCAGGTGAAGGGAGAGGCCTCTCTATAACCCAAGAACGCGGATCGTTCTCGCTTCCAATCTCGAAGGGCTCCCGAGCACAGCCAAGATAATTCCATCAGAGAGTCATTCAGAATGTAGATGACATTAGCTCAAAACGAAACGAGGCACTGAGCCCGGCCATAAGTCCTCCATATTCGACAACCTCGGTGCCGTTACAGGATATCGTTTGTGAAGACTTGGCTGCTGTTGCAGCTGCGTGGGAATGGGATATTCCAATTTGTGCTCTCTCGTTGCGATGGTAATCTGATTACGAGACAAACAGAGTGTTTTCGAATAGCGAGCGCTTGTTTCCCCGATGGATGAACTCAATCGAGCAAATATGACGTTTAATGAGCTCTCATGGTCGAGGGAGCTCGCGCCGCAAAATCGTCATCCTCCAGTGAAAGCCTGATATGGGATCAGCGGAAGCCGAATGACCCGACAAAATCGTGAAATTGACTAGCTTTGTACGTCGAGAGAAAGATCCGTGAGTGGTGGCGCGCACCGCATGACGGTGCGAGGCGCTCGTCGAGTGTATCTTCCCTTCAAGAGTGGAGGAATCGTCCGTTCTATGTAAGATTGGTCGGAGCCAGGATGAGGGGGCGGATGTAGATTTTGGAATAAGAAAACGCTCTCCATGGAAGCTTGCGCATGCTTCCAGGTTTTATTCCTTTTCTCGGTGATGGAACCCCCCCCCCCTTGCGTGACTTTAACGCAAGCTCATGAAAAGGGATGATATTCTACCATAGGTCTCGGAACCTCTCTCTTCACGGAGCAGATGGAATGAAGACCCTGCGAGCTTCCTGTGCACTATGGATTCTTGTTTAAGAGTGCCGTTCGAATCCCGACACACGGCTCTAACAGAGAGGACTGGAATAGAGGACTCGGTGGCCCGATGTAGATTCGTTTATTCAAGTTTAGATGGATACGAGTTGTACACTTTCTCTCTTCGTAGTCTCAGTCTGAGTTCCACTTCTGTCTCATGTTATGCGTTTCCCTACTGCAGCTCTAAACACTCGATGACTTTGCTCGCCGCAGAAAAATTGACGACGCTGTAAGGTGCGGTGCGGCAATATATATATATATATATTACAATTGTATTTACAGACGATCGCGTGCCGTTCCAGAATCTATGATGCGATTGTCTCGATCGCATGTCTCCCCGATCGAGCCAATATGCATAGAACAGCACCCAATGGTTCTCGCTCTACTACTCTCTCGACCCAGATGAACTCCCATCCCACTAGCTCACTGGCAAGCTCCTCATTCTGTCTTATTTTCAATTATCATTTAAGGCTATCGTCTCGGCGAGACGCGCCGCCTGAAAAGTTCGCGGCCGATGCATCATTTATACGATCCTCGTGGAACTCCGAACCTTCGACGGATGTTCCGTTGACGATCGAGACCGTGTCGCTATGATCTTGTGCTACAGCCATTGGAAGCCTCTCTGTAGAGAAAGATTGGTGGCTTGATTGAGCCTCGCATCGAATCTCACATCGATGAAGTCGTCCGACTCGAATGGATTTGATCCGCAGTCGGTGTTAAAAATCGTTCGCCTGTTTCAAAACACCTCTAATCTTCAAATAAATCGTTGTACTTCGGATCTACAACCTCGGGAATTTTAGAAGAATCAGAGGATTACTCGAACTTCGAGCTTCGGTCAGAAAAGCCACATCCGGATTAGTTGCAGGTGAGTTATCCAACAACTAGCCTAGGACAGCATCTATGAAAGCTAGTATCGCATGCATTTCACCGGATTTCTGCTCGCGGATCGGGCCAGAATGGAAGAATTAAGATTTAGGACAACGCGCATCGAATCGCGCATCTCAGTTTTTTGTCGAATTTACGTCGAGCTAGACAGCATTAGGCCTATCGAGATATCGGTCTTGTGCGTGGCATGCGCCTGGCTCTGAGTTTTTCGTGTTCGCTCCGCCTTCGAGCGATTCTCCTCATTCCTTTCGGAATACATCTTGGGGGGAATACATCGCTTTTCAGAGCGGCGTGGACTGGTTGCTCTGGGGTGTAGTGGTTCCTTGGCCAAAAGATGTTGTCGAATTAGAGTGCGCTAAGCTTAAGAGACTCCCGGAGAGCGAATGTGCGCCGGCGAGCCCCTCGTCGGCGGCGAGAATTTCTGACAAAGTGAAACCCATTTGCCCGCTCTCGATGTCAAATTTGTGGATGTCGGCCATTTGCCTCTCGGAGAGCAGCTGCTGTCGTGACATACGCTCCGCGGCAAACTGCTTCCTTTCGTTGTCCATCTGCAAGCGGTTCAGGGTCGAATCGATTTAGGAACGTGATTCACTGAGAATCGATTACATTCAAATCAAGAGGTCCGCTCGGTCACAAACCGGACTCCGGAGCGTCGAATACCGAATAAAGAGCTCATGATTACGGGAGCGGAATTCATACCTTGATTTGGATCGTTCGGAGGCGGTTTTGAATACGATCCTCGAGTTCGCGGCGCTCTTTGTTCCTTTGACTTTCGAACATAATTTTCTTCTTCGACTGGAAAGCGAGTAGAAGCTCCTGTTCGCTGAGGAGATCCTGCTTCAGCTGGCGGAGTTCTGCCGTCTGCGACTCGTCAAGCCTAATCGATTGTTTTTGCAGCATTTCCGATATGCTCTGTTCGTATTGCTCGCCCAGCAGGGCCAACTTGCGAACCTGATAAGAGGGGGGGGGACGGAGTGAAGCTTAGTATCATTCCAACAATCCTACGTTCGAGAAGTATGGGGCCTCGTTCTGCTCCTACCGGGTTCCTACCTGTTCGTCCTTAAGCTTTTTGATAAGTTCTTTCTGCCGGTCTCGTGGTGTGCTGGCCATGAGCTGGCTCTTCCAGGCTTTGTACTGTCGGGTTTGGATTTTGCAGGCTTCGCGAAACTGCTTCCGAATCTGCACTTCCTTGTGCTTGAGACTCTTCGGCTGCTGCTTCACTTCTGCCGCGTGTTTCTTGTGCAATTCGTGCTCACGCCGCGTGCTGTATTGCTTCTGGAGACTCAATTCGGTCTCGTGCTGCCTACGCAGGTGCTCGGCCTTCAATTCATGGACAGCCTTCTGCTGGGCCAGTTCGAGATCTTGAGTATCTTCATGATGTCTCAACAGCATCAGATGAGCTTTTTCCAGTTGCTGCTGACGTCGATCCAATTCTTCCCTGAGTTGCTCCTGTTCCATTTGATGATATTGGACCAGTTTGCGGCGTCTGTACCTCCTGGAAGGGGGAAAAGCGCATCAGAGACGAGTTGCTACCCAGACTCTCGCTTCCGAGTGAATAGTTTGCGCCGGATTCCCGTCGAATCGGGTGTCATGATATTCTCAATCATTTCCTCAACGCACCTGATTTCTCGCCGGAGCGCACCGGCCTGATTGACGCCCAGCCTCGTGAGCTCTTGACTTTGGCTTTCGTGAAGTCCTGCCTTGTGTATCTTGAGTTCCTCCCCGTCGTAGCGCTGTTTGTACTTTTCCTTTTCGTTTTTGTACGCAGATTTCTGCAGCTGCTGGAACTTTTTCGTTTCCTCGTCCTGTTTGGCTTGAATCGCTTTTATGAGTCGCTTCTCGTTGCCGACATTACTCTTGACCTTCTTCTCAAGTTCCTGCTGCTGCTTGATCTGGAGCTTCTCAAGCTCTTTGCCAAACGACATCAGAAGACTTTCGTACTCTTTGTCGAGCTTCGCCTTATGATCTTCCATCTCCTGAAGACACTTGGCTTCTAACACAACCAAAGCTTTGTGATGTTGGTCCTGCATCCGTTTGTAGCCACGCATCTGGAGCTCGTTCTCCTGCTCTTGGTGCTCTTTGATTTGACGGGTGACGATTGAAGTAGTACGAATGGTTGCAAAGTTATCGTTGCGGTTCACGGTGCCTACCAGAGAACCCTGGCCGTCGAGAGCACCGACCTCCGTGACACTATTGAGGCTAGCAGACGACGAGTTACTTATGCTCTGACGATGAATGGAATGTCTACCGGCATTCTGATCGTTGACGCCAGAACTCGTAGAAACGTTACTGCTTTGCGTCGAGGTAAGACTGTTGCTTTTCGAGGCATCGCCGTCCTCCTGGAATCGCAAATGGAAAGATTCAGCTGCTTCTCGAGATAACTCCTGAATACGAATTTCATGGGAGGACACGGAAATTCACGAGATATCCGAAGCCCGGATCGCGCTTCGATACTCACGCTGACAGCGCTGTCCCCATCGTCGTGAACGGAGACCACCTGTCCGTTGTCGCCGTTGCTTTCGGTCGTTCCGTCGATCATAAGGATTTTCTTCATTTTTCTGTAGTTAATATTGTCCAACTCGCGAACCGCTGATTTCGTCCTGATTATCAAATCCAAGAGAACTCGGCTGGGTCGCGGTCGAACGATGAAGTTGTGCTGTTGGAAGAAAGATTTCCTCAGAACGATTTCGAGGCTACATGACTCGCCGGTTCCGTCAACAATTTCAGTTTGAGGAGCAGGGGAATACGAACTCGAATCTGACGAGATGAGAAACGTGCTGCTACTAGGCAAACTTCGGCAACTAAAAGCTTTCTTACCTTGAGTAGTTGAGCGGCCGTCGGTCTTGTTGAAGGATCTTTCTGCAGGCAATCGATGACGTAGTTTCGGAATTCTTCCGTCCACTCATAGGTCGCTGACAGCTTGGGGCTGTCATTCTGGGCGATATGATAAAGCGCTGACATCGAGTGCATGTTGAAGTAGGGAGGTTTGCGTTCCGCTAGTTCAATACACGTTATTCCGAGACTCCAGACATCGATTTTTCCGTCATACTGACCCTCGTCCATGGCTGCGGAATCGAAAAGACCACTTGATATGGACTCCGAGACGATCGATGATGAGTAGCAGACTTGTTCCCTAACTCCGAATTCTGTCTCGAGACTGTTCAGACTACCAAATCTTTCACGTGACCTAAGTAGAGGGGGACGATGAGGTGGGAGCTCGGACACCAGAGTTGAACGAAAGAGGAAAGCGATTCGAGCGCTCGCGGATACGCTTAGTTTACGAAGACGCTTGACAACACATTCGCGGGGTGTGGCCGGATCCATGGGTAGCGGGATTATCATCATGAATCACATTCAATTATGAACGCCAGAAGCTCGAAGACACCCACCTAATATGACTTCGGGCGCCATCCAGTACGGCGTTCCGACAAATGAATTTGCCGGACAATGCATCGATGCCGATCCGAAGTCCGCCAATTTGACTCGACCGGTTTCTGTTAGCAGGATGTTGCCCGCTTTGACATCTCGATGGATACGTCCCCCGGAATGGAGATAATCCAAACCGTTCAGGGCGTCTTCGCACATAGCCGCGATCTCTTCTTCCTTCAGCGGCTTCTTGTGCACTTCGATGATGTCCGACGCTGAACCTAGACAATACTCCATCACCAGCCACGCGGTGTGCTCTTTGAGGTAGCATCCTCTGTAGTCGATGGTGTTCTCGTGTTTCAGCTGACAGAGGAATCGCACTTCTTTCAAAATATCCTGCCATTTCTGCGGAAGAGATGGAAATGTTTGTTTCGATTGGTCTCGATGACAGTCGATGGCATCCTGACGGGTCTGAGATGTCGCCTTCCGAGTGATGAATGGAATCACTGGAATCCGTCTCTTGCAAAAAACAGCTCGGCTCATCGGGAGATAGAATGTAAGCTGAGCGCACGAGCCTAACATTAATTTGAAAATCATCCACTCCTAACATAAACAAACGCTTATTCTTCCACTTCGAACGTTGGCGACTCTGTCAGGAATCGACTCGGCAGACAACCGAAACGACGAACAGGGGATACGACGCGGGATTCGACCAGCTTCTTTCGGCTTTACAAACTTTCCACAGAAGTGTCCTCTTCGACAGCTCTAATTGTGCTCTACACGACTCCATGGCGATGCTTGGTCAACTCGAGACACACCCGTGCTGGCCACGAATCGCAAGACAATGAATGCTCCAGCTTAGAGTGTGACTTCTTACCTCTGCACTCTGCTTTCCAGAAAAAGACATTTTCTTGATGGCGACCACTTCGTTCGTGATAGCGTTCCGGGCCTGGAGAGTAACATTTGTTTACTTCAGTTCATCATCGTCTTGAAATGATCGGGTTCCGTGAAGTCATTCTTCATCGGTTTCCACTCCCATGAGACAGCTTGGAGCGAACTATCGTTTTCGGTGCAAGATTTATGAAACGAACGTTCTCGCAAGGAGCGCTACTCACATAGTAGACCGCTCCGAAGCTGCCGTGACCGATCTCCCTGAGGTCAACAAATACTTTTTCCGGGTCATCTCTGTCAAAAAGTTCGGCCACCTGGGGGTCTTTGAGAGATCCCGGCTTGCCGCCCCCCAGACCAGGCGGTCCTGACGCCGCGACAGGCATCGAGATCTTCGCGCGTCACCGGCGTCTACATTTCTGCAATGGAAGCGGATTTTAATACAATGCAATGATCTTCTCGACTTTCCCGCGTGGGAGGGTCTGGAAGAGATCCGTCGATATTCCGTCGGTTACAGCGGCTCAGCTCCGAACCCAGAGCACTTTCACCGTCAGACATAGTTCACTTAGACTACGACTATGATGATGATGAAAAAACCCACGGATCCAAGCCGCAACACCATCACAACAACAATGGAACGACAACATCCCAGCAGGGGTTCCATAACGAGCGGGGACACATGGGTTTCTGTTTAGATCGTACCCTTCGCAGTGAGGCAGTCGTCAACATAACACGCGAGCACGCCAAACGTCACGCCGGCTATAGCGAGTCGTGGGGCGGCGAAGCAAAGCTAGAGTTGGCGAAATTGTTTTTGTTTGCGACAGATAGCGAATCAGATGATCTACACGGGGCGACGACGCACGCACAAATTATTCCGGGACGGTCTCCTCCTACTGCGGCCCTTAACCCGAACATTTACTACCATCGGCGATACCGCTGTCATTGTCGACGTCTTCGGTAGTGCGTCTACTGTTGGTACTACATAGGTACATAAAGGAAATTCTGTGGATCCATCAGTCGAGAAGGTCATGCTTGTCGGCGAACGATGTTTTTGCATGATGATACCTTGTTTTCGACGTCAGTTCCTCCCCCATCCCTCCCCGCTGGCTTCCAGGGACCACAACCCAACTAGAATATCGTCTCGTGTTCATCTGAGTCGAACCACAATGAAGAAGTTATGCCTCGCTCTCGACGTCGCGACGCGGCGCTCGTTTCTTTCCGTGTGCTGATGAACAATCGAAAACAATGATGCATTGAGCGGAAGGCATTGAGGATGACACATCTCCCCCCGTCAAATCACGGTGGATGTGTCATTCGATTCCATCAAGGCACCAAACCAAATTAGCATAGACAACACCCGATCGGTGTAATGATAGACGAAGCTATTAGCCACCACTAGTCGGACATATGTACAAATATACTTCACTCTTCTTCGCCCCGGTGCAGGGGTGTGGGCGTTTGGTGGAAGCAAGCATCCAAGATCGAGCGGTCGACCGACTGAGCAAGCGACCGACCGTGAATCCAACGCACTGAGCATTGGTATCGTGATCTAAAGTCTGACTGACTGGCTGGCTGTCGTCTGTCGTTAATGTCTCTACACAGAACATCGTTGACTGCACCCACATAGCGTAGAGCGGACACCCGGGTTCTGCGCGGTCTGTAGGAACCTCTCGCTCTGATCCGGTATCGCAACGTCGTCGGATTTCCAGCGCAATGAAGCGAGAGCGGGACAGCGAGCGAGACCGCCGACCACCGAAGCAACCATCCGTTCCGCAAGCGGACCCGTCAGGAAGTCAGGTAGCGACGACTGGCTGCAACCTCAACCGAAAGGCAGACAGGCGAGCCGATTGATAGAGTCGCTTGTTGTGCTGATTTTTCCCCGAATCGTTGTCGTATACGAAAATTAAACGAAGACAGTGGTCGAATTTGCGGCTTGGCACCGGTGCCGCTCGACGAACATCGATGCGTCACTCGACTCACGATCGTCGTCGCTAGCTCGCCGCTCCACTAGCCAGAATGCCTGTCGCGGAGAGAAAAGAAACATCTCTGCATCATCACGGGAATTGCGAAAAGACGCATCCGACCTGTTGCCCGGCCATCTGCAGCTGCGCGCAGCCCTTTGTGTATTAGTGGACGAGATCAAGCGGCATTGCTCCTGAAGCTCGAAAACTTGTCTCCTTTCGAATTCAATACGCTTGAGGATCTTGCCGAGCCTAGGGCTCGAGAGAGATGCGAGTTACGAGTTCTTCCGTCCAAAACGAGGCTCATCGATCGACTCTCCGCATTCGGTGCTCCCCGAGCGATTGTTTCGATATTCCTCAAGAATACCCACGTCACCAGAGTTATGTTGCACCCCGATATAGGAATGCCCAACCGGAGAAAAGGAAGAGGTCGGAGTCCCGCTCCATGCATCTCCTCCTACGCATCCCCCTCCCCTTCGAACTCGGAATTGATTGTTCTCGGCTCTGCTTCAATGACCCCTCCTCACCGGCCCCTCGCGGTTCATGAGGTTCAGCGGAAGAACCGTTGCATTATATCCTATGCATAGAATGCTATCCGTGACTCCAAGCTCGAGTGCAAGGACTATTGACCAAGTGCCCTCAGTTTGCAATCAAGCCCAGGAATATTTACTCCGGCCACTTGGCGTACAGCGGCGTCACGGAAGAATCAGCTGAGTAATCACAAGCTTCTTCGCCTACATCCGATTCATATTCTCGATCGTAGTCTCAGATCGAGATCTGTGCGTGAACTGCGAAGTCTCAGAGCTACTACTCCACGAGAGGTCCATATGATTTTTCTCCTAGCGCTCACGATCGCATTCGGCCGGATGCCTTGACGAAGCAAGGAACCGGCTCTTGGAAAGCTTTCTGTGCCTTCCAACAGGTCAACCAGATGACGACGACGGTCGGTGACTCATCAACGGTTCGGAATATATGTCAAGCTGCCCTCACGAGCTGGCTTTGAGAAAAAAGACTGTTTCCACCTAAATGTTATTCCCTCCGGATGAAAGCTTCATCATTCATGAAAGAACAGTGACGGAAAAAGCTCCGTCTTGAGGTCTGCCCGTGCTTCACGCGAACGCTGCTTTCGCTCCTGGCGGTAGCTACAGGCGACACTGATTGTTCCTGATGAACGGATCTGTATTCGCTGCTCGAGCTGCAGTCGCTTGCTCGACTTGTTTATTGGTTCCGATTCCACTCCCCACGAACGATCTGCCCAGCGTAGGTAGGTTTCGTGTAGCCGGAGAAAGCTTGCTCGCCGTGAGTAGACGGCTCTCCGAATGCCGGGAAGAATCGCTCTCCTCCCCCTCGAAATGATTGAATTCAATTGGATTACCGATATCCACATCTCCTAGATATTCTGCGGATTCGCCGGCTAATCACTCAATGATGAGCCGATTCGTTTATTTTTGTGGAGGACTCCAGAGTTCGGAGATTGTGAAAAAAATTGAGCTCGTTCCGGCCGGGGAGCAGGAGCAGTCCAGGGGAGGAGAAGTATGAGGACCATGAGATCACAAACTCGCTGGGAAAAATTTAGAGGCCTCCAGCTCGGTCAGAATAGCCTCGATCAGCAATCCTCATCGTTTGAATAGCCGACGAAGACAGAGCAAACAGATGCCTCAGTTATGAGCAGATTATTTCTGCCAAGCGGAAATATCGCCGGCATCCCTGGACTCGGTCGAGGCAAGCAAACGATCGAATCGAGAGAGGCGAGGTAATGTTTGGTTTGGCTTGTGTTTGAGTTGCCTCTCGATTCGAGCGTGTCATTGATTGGCTTCATGTGTCAATGCAATTCATCATGCCATATCAGATGCTGACATGCTGACAGAAGAGAACCCTTGGGCACCTCGTGACTCGATTCTGAGTCTTCGCAGAACCTGTACCGAACAGAGGAAATCGGTGAAATACGCGGAATAGTTTCCTTTCTGCTAGCGCGACATTGCTGCCAGGATTTTTCGAGCTTGAATCGATCCAGATCAACAGAGAACAGAGAAAATAAGATTATCGTTCCGCTTCACGAATATGCTAAACGCGAATAGGGATCGTTGAAACCCCGAGGATCAGGAGCGTAATGGAAGCACCAAACCCCGAAGTTTCCTGATCGGGGAGCTCTTTTTTCGTCAACCCTCTGAGGGCAGCCTGACCTCGGGTAATCGATGGACTCTCTGCGTGGGCTCTCTACGTGCCGTCGTCCTCCGCGCGGCCTCCATAAATCCTAATTCTATACTGAGGGATTTTCCCCCGCAAAGTTTTTCACAGCCGCATAGCAGGTGATCCAATTAGAACATCGATAACGATAAAGATTGATTCTGGGATCGTGACAACAGTTTTTTCTTTCCCTGACACGTACAACTGCGAACCTTCGCTATCCCCGTAATCAGATGACGCATCGATTGAACAAGCATTTCATCGGATTAACTCCTCCGGATAAGAACACCGACAAACGGCAGATATGACGGAGAACCCAAAAAAGCTGACAGGTTTATAAAGTTGGATTTGAAAATTCCCGAAAGCCGGAGCGCGAGCCCGAAGGGAGCGAAGAGTTGGAGCATATCGGCCGGGGCAAGGACGACCGTTAAGGATGACGAGCAAATGTACGGATAACAGGGAATGAATCATCCGCGAGAAGAACGGCTCCGACGAAATGACCGGCTCAGCACGGGATCCCGACGGGAAGCTCAAAGTCGCGATAGGATCTGATTGTCAGGAGCGAGCGTCATTGTTGTAGCGAGACGGTGTTTTCTCTGAGAAAACAAGTTCCGACGTCCGGCAAGTGCTGATCTTCATATTCAAGGGAACCGCTTCGAGTATCGCCGCGTACGACCCGCCGGTAATTGCTTTCTGCGTCGATGTCAAAGGGTTATTTACAAAGGTCAACGCTTGGCTCGATATAAGTGCAGCTCAAACTCCCGACGACTTAATGCCGCATCGACTTTTGGCCAAGTTCTCGGCTCGCCCGTGCGCGTGCCAGTGCTCTTGGTCATCGGCTTGCCGAAGCAGCGAGACGTTCTCAATCGAATTGAAAGTTTATCCCCTCAGGATACTGCTCGAGCTCATTGCTCCTTCTGCCTCTGTGGAGGAGCGCTCGGGCAAGTGACCTACCTACCGAGCGAGCGAGCGATGGAGTCAGCGAACGACTCAAGAGGAAACACATAAGTCAACTGTGTAGTCATCGAGTGGAGCAAGTGGTCAAAGTAAACAGCGACATCCAAACGACAACTACCTCAATCAGCATTATTATCGATACACTGTCACCGAGTCTCAGTGACCGGCGATGAGCGAGAGCACGACTCTTATCGGGATTCTGGTTGGGTTTTTTTCTCAGCGGTAGAAGCTTATCTTTTGCGTGGGTACGAACAAACATTTGATCCCGGTCTGAGCGGTGATTTTTGCAATACCAGCCGTGCCTCGTTTGATCCATGCCTGAGCCGCTGCCACAACGTCAGCCTCAGGTTTCAATGCCAGACGCATGCCTTGCTCCGTTGCAGCCCGTGCAAGAGCTCCGTGATTTTGAGGAATTCCATCCACGTCGGAGATTTCCGAGAGCGTTCATCGGCGAAAGAGAATTGTTCTGTGTCCGCTTCGCTTTGAGATCCTCCGGGAACAACAGATTTAGCCCAAGCCGCCAAAGATAACGTTAAAAATAGGTTAAAGCCAATAAACATCGATCGCAGCTACCGTTCGCAGCATGATTTACAAACAACATTCGTGACCGGGTCCGAGGACGATATCAATCGCTTCCGTGAGAATTTTTCTGTGTGCGCTTTTTATTGTTCATCAAAGAAGATCCGTCGACGCCGGCCGGGGAAGTCCTGCAAACTGGATCAATCGATTGCAGGCACCACCCCGAATTCTTGCGGAAGCCAGCTGACCGCAAGACCGACCGTTTCACAGAGATACTCTACGTCCGCTACGAAGCGCACCGAGTACACTACGGAGCGTATAATTCAACGAATGTGCAAGAAGCGTGTACTTACATCCTCTCATAGGCGAATCAGATGCTCAGCTCCGGTGTGGGAAATCACCACCGCAAGGGATCCAACATCACCACTCCGATCGAGACACTACAACTATCGCACTCGTAAACTGCTGTTTGGAGCGGTCTGAACGACCCAGCTAATCTCAGAGCAAGGCAAGCGATTGTCGAAGGAAGGACTTTCATTCGAGAGACAAGGATCCCTGCTGACCGACGGCACGAACTCTATCCAAAACACAGATCTCACACTACAGACACACACAGAAACAGACAGGCTGGCTGGATGGATGGCTGGCAGGCAGCAAGTCAGACAGACACAGGGTTGCCGCGATGTGGCACCTTTTCCCTCGCTTTGGTGCGCTGACGCTTCGACGCAGCCGGCGAACTCGGATAATCGCTCCTTTTTGGATTGGTCATCGAAATGCCCGGTTTTGGAAGAAGAAAATCTTGAACCGTCAGCTTCATGGTCTCCGGAGCCTCGAGCTCAGCGACTAGAACATTTCCGTTCGTTCCTTGGTTGCATACCTTATTTCGGGCTCTCAGGATCTCGCGGCCCAACAGCGGGTTTTGCGGATACGAGAAGCGGGAATCTGCCGATCATCTTGCGGTGGTAGATGAGCTATCATACCGGTTCGTCTGCATCTCGAAAATCCGCGCCCCGAAAATTTCTGGGACATTATATGCCCAGTTCTGAGATGCAGTCCACTCTTTTCCCCGGACAGAAGAAGCGGAGGTTCCAAAACGAGCGACGAGCCCGCTGAGACTAGCAACCTTTTATTAGCTTGTGATGACTTGAGACTGCTCGAACTACCACAATCGAAGGCGCGAGAGTCAAGCGAACCCAATCTCATCGTCGCGACTCGACCATTGGAATCGATTCCGAAAATTTCGAGGGATCTCGAAATCTCGAACCGCGACTCGACATGAACCCGGAAATCTAGAATTTGGATACACGGCTCGGAAAAGGGCTTCTTGAGGGGAGGCTATGGCGAACTGCGAGTTCGTATAGACTCCGATGTGGAATGGGGACTTCTGAGGAACTCTCTGCCGACTCAGATAGGATCCATTATCAAAGAAACCGAGCGGGATATCCGCTCTGTGGATTTCCATGTGGGGCTCCGCCATCAAAACCTAGTGATTTTTCGGAGTTTTCCGTTTCCAACAGCTCTGTCGGGCTGAGGAAACTTTCCCAGCCGATAATAAAATCCTTAGCGCTTCCCAGATTCTGTCTCCAAATATTCGAGCCGACAGATGAAGCTTGTCGTTTCTCTGAATCTCTGCTGATCGCGTGGTGCGCTGTGGTACGCGCCGACTTGATAATTCGTGGTGTCCACCCGACGTCGTCGTCTCCTCCAGCCGTAACAAACATGAAAGTCGGCTCAAACGGTTCATTATTTCATTACACCATCCGCATGCTCGAGCATTTGCCCCAGGAGAGCGCTTTCTCGTGCGGAAGCCGCCGGAGGGTGACCCTGTCCGAGAGCACCAGGAGCAACATTCCGCGGAATCAGGATCGTTCCGATAGGAGAGTAAAGATAGAACATATGGGCGTTGATGATCTTCTCTGATGCTTCCGCGGCGGTCGGGCGCTTCTCTCCATCTCGCAGGACTCCCAGTCGAGGTGGGGAGACAGCAGAGAGCTTCCCCTCAAGTTATACGGAGCGCCGCGACTGATTCCTTCCTTGAATGGGTCGGACCAGAGCCCTTGAGACTGGGAAATATAAGAGATTCATTCTGAAGGCGCGGAAAAAGGCGGGAAGTCCTCGACCTTTCCTTCTCGAACGGTTCCATCTGATCAGGCGACCTCCGATTTCGGAAGCGGTACGTATAAGACGTAGAAACGTGATCTTTCCTGCCTGGACTCTCTTTGATGAACGCCTCTCTACGCAAGGAAGACATTGCCGTCTTTGAACGATGCTGTCGAGCAAGGCGAGGTCGGATTCCGCTCGAGGCCTCTCCGTAATGGGGAAGGGGGGCGTCCGACGACTCCTGATTGTCCAGACTCGCGCACTGATCCACAAATCTCCCACGTCCCAAGTTCGGAAAGCAAGCACGAAGCAGCACTCTCTGCGATTATCCCCTGACCTCTCCAAGTCTTGAAGAATCTTCCAAGAAAAAGAGCAGACAGAGCGCGGACCCCTCACGCGCGTCTTTGAAACCGCGAGCGGGGGAGTCTGTACCGATTTCCGCACGGCGAGACCTTCGAAGATCCTCGCGAACCCCGATCCGCAATCAGGAGTCCGCGATATCCTGCGCCTGGAAACTTGGAGATTTCACCGCAGAATATCATCGTGCCCCTGATGACACTCCTCGACGGAAATGTCTGAGCATACATAGCTGAAACATCCTGATGCAGCTATATTCATTCATATCTATCTTATATTTCCGGCTCAATACATGCACGAGCCATTTGCTCTTCGTAACACATTCCTCGTCTCCTCGCTCAAGGCTGTGTTCGAGGCTTTTAGCGGACAGCCTGCCCCGTAGATCCGATTGCACGGGCCGAACGACCACGGTTTCTCATTCCAATAGGTGTGTACCCTCCTCTTGAGGCCATTTTTGCAGCACGAGATCCAACGGGCGCCTATGGCTCCTCGAGAACGGAAGTCCGACTTGGGCTGTTAGCGCTGAGAATTTTATCATTCTAGTGGCTACAGCTATTGGGTTAGTTCACTCGTTCCGAGTGCACCGAACAGGGGAATCTTAGACTCCTTCTACAAGTCCCCGACAGACCAGATCTGGAGGCCAGGCTGGCAAGCTCCCAATGATTGATTCCATCGTGTCCTCGGAGCGAAGCTATTGGGAGCAAGGGGAAATGACCAGCCGCCCGGGCGCCCAGAAACTTCCAGCAAAGATCATCATCGTTGAAGTTTACACTCTCTCACCGGAAGATTCCGCGTATGTTCAATTTTACCTCCTGTACCTCTCGTACGGACCCGCACAGACTTGACACACGGAAGGTTTCGGGATCCCTCGAGCATACCGATGACCGAGTCGGAGGCACGACGGGACACCGCACGAGCCGAGATCCTACGTCCGGTTAAAAGTCCAATCTAGCAGACGCTGAGTGTATCTGCTCTCTTTGTTGTTGGCATCTTTGGGTTTGGCACCACTCAACAAAGGCCACCATCATCAACAGCAGTAGACCCAACACGATTCTCGAGCAACGGCACTCGAGCTGTCAATGACTCGACATCCGAGCGGTGCATAGTTTCCTAGCTCAACCCCGCGGATAGCGAAGCCAATGTTCCGGTACTAGAGAAACACCTGAAACGCGGGGCGGAACCCCTCCATCAGTCAACGGCTCAAAGATGATGGCCCAGAACGAGAGTGAGACTAAGATCTACTACTATATCGACGATGAGGAAACCCCTTACCTCGTCAAGGTTCCGGTACCTCTGGCTCAAGTGACTCTACAGGATTTCAAAAGTGCTCTCCAACGGACCAACTACAAATTCTTCTTTAAATCACTCGACGCCGACTTCGGGTAAGCATGCTATTTTCCGTCTAGACCAGTTGCTCTGTGAGATCGTGTCTCCCTTCCCCTATGATTCGTCGATCCTTTCGTGAGTCTGGGGGCAAACGAAGACGGCGCCAGCCCCGGTTTTCGGGGGCGAATCGTTACAATTCTGACCCACGACCAGGAAGTGATTGTCGAGCAAATTGAATTGAAACGCCGCCATTCATTCCCGCGAACATCACAGCAAGACGTCTTGTTGGGCAGCCCAATGTTTCATTGGGCAACGACATCGGGCTAGAACCTTCTCGGATAGACCCGACTTCGCAACCAATAGGATTGCCAATGAATTCTGTCGGCAGAACAAAAGTCAGGGAAGTCGGCCCACCGACTCAGCTTCATCCCCGGCTTTCTCGGAGATGATGCCGCACTGAATTATTTGTGCGGACGGGGCCGATCACCTACATTCTCGGCAGAGGATTCTGATTTCTGAGCTTGGGGGAATGAACTAGGAACCGGCTGAAAAATGGAATAGGAAATTCGCTCAATCAAGGACGTGGTCTCATCACACGACCAGCATAACGGTTTCTCCAGCCGGCATTGCTGGCAGCGGCTGAGGTCCCGAGACGACATGAGTCGATTCAAGTTCTCCGGAATGTAACGGCGAATCCGTCGCTCGAAACGAATCGCACACCACATCGTCCTTTTCAATATTACTTCGATCGCATTATTGTATTGTATTGTATATCATATATAAATCGCTCCTAATTTCCGTGCATGGAGCCAATCGCTCCGATGGCACCGCGCTCTCACAGTCGAGACACGTCATTTGCTCAATGTGTCGACCCATTTGAAGGTGTCGTCTTCGGTACCCACTTCGCGAGTCGACAGATTTTCCTGGATTATCGCTCTTGCTGTCGTAACCAGCCCGATTTGCCGCTATGGGCGGGGTCTCCATCCGGCCTGAAATGAGCGACGATCGCTCCGAATCTACTGCGTTTGCTTCTCCCGCAGCTGATGCGACGTTAGACGACGACGACGAGCCGCGTCTGACTCAAGTCAGCCGTGTGACCCGTAACTCGACTCGACAATGGCCGTCGTTCGCAAGAAGAAGTTTAGAATTCAAATTGGCGGTCTTCGACGCTTTGTCCCTTCGGTGTGGCTATCTCTTTTTTCTGTCTCAAGCCGTAGTCGATTCCGATGACCACCGCGATTCGCGCTCCCTTCACGCGGCGAATGTCTGTCCGCTCGATCAGTCAGTCATTCCTAGAGTTGTCGGTATGTCAGTGCTCGCGAGACACAGCAGCCTGGGTACTCGCCTTCGCGGTGTCGGTCGCTCGTTCAGGAATTCATTGGAAAAAAATTGCCGGCGAGCTGATCAATCCCAAGTCGAAGATCAGAAGTACGGTAGAATCGCCGGAAACGGAATCGACCCCTCAAATATCGAAACTGAAGAAGAGGCTCTTTCGCCAGAAATAGCTTGTGACCTGTGGATCCTTGATGCTGAAGCTTCGGTCGATTATTCTGCGTATAATCATAGGCAGGGGATATTTCCTCCTGAGCAGGCTTCGGTGCAGATGCTTCTGTCATTGTCACTGTTGCCGTTGTTCTTAGTTCGTCTTCACACGGTATCTCTTTGTTGGATCTCCGTGTGAGGCTCTCTGTGAACTACTCGACATTCCGTCTTTTTTCCTTGGATCTATTTACAACAGGGTTTAGAATATCCGTGTATGCATCAAGCTCTGGAGCGGCATTAGATGACAAGGAAGGATGAGTCAGGAAGAGAAGGGCACAAAGCGCTTCCTTGTGGGATTCGGAAATCTCAAAAGAACAGTACTATACGACATCTCCCTCCTCGCCGACGCCTCGTGGTTTTTCTTTGAGTGCCAGTGTATTCCACGACCTAGACCGTACGTCATGGTGCGAATTCTTACGGACAAGTGCGGGAAGGATTTTGAAAAGTCTTGAACAGAATTCTGCAGAGCGAATCTTCCCTGAAACAGGATAGAAACAAGGGATTTACTTTTCCGCTCTTCTGACATCCGATCCCGAATAGAGGTCAACCTCCATTGTCTGTCCTTCTCCTCGTTCCGGTCGATGGCGGACCCAAGCCGTCTTAGCATTCCGAAGCGACTGGAGTCAGCTGATGATAATTGTACTATGAATATAAAGACAGGCTGCCGCTGTGAGAATGATCAGGTCCCGTAGTCATGGGCTCGCTCCACGAAGCGGAATGTCTTCCCAGAGGCACTGACAGGTGCCCTAATCCGAGAAATTTCATCCTCGCGACAATTGGAAACTCCGTGGAGCCGAGGAACGCTTCGGGGAAGGGGGCTCATCGGGGGTATATCATCAGACCGAAAACCGTTTCCCATTTCCTGGGCTTGCCGAGCAAGCTGGAGTACTAGCCTCCAGTCGAAACCGTCATTGAGCCCACAGGGATCTCGGAACGAACAGATTTGATACAAATTCATCCCGTCTCCCGATACGACTAGATGACGATTGCGACGGTCGGGAAGCAACGGGATGGTGAGGCTTTGCCGATCGCTGGCATGTCGCTTCCGTGTGCGACGGTCAGTCAAAGGTTCCGATCGCTTATTTGGTGCCTGAGGCCTCAATTCGTGCATCGACCAGTAGCTTTTTAATCCACGCTGCCCAGATCACCTGCACCTGATCGACGTGCTTTCTAAAAGGACCGACTCCGGCAAATTACAATCTGAGTTTCCACTACTTCTCATTCTCCTCGATAACAATTTCCCTGGGACGGCCCTTTGTCTCGCATTCCCGCGCCAAGAGCTGGTTAACGGCCCGTGGTTTCTTTTTTCACAAAGTTAGTCGGGAATCCGGAATTCATCAGCGAATGCTCGACAACTTGGAAGGGACAGCTCTCATCGCCGCCGCCGCCGCCGCTCGAATTCGCTGAGACGGTTGTTGAAGTCGTTTGACTTTTGACAACGACAATGATGAATGGATCACGGAGGAAAGCTCCCGGCAGCTCGGGGTTACCGAAAAAACTTTCTGAGGAGGCTTAGCGGTTTGATGAACTGGCTGTCTCGGATTGAGGGCGAGCCAGAGCCAGTTTGTCCAAGGAGACAGTCAGAACCAAAACTTCACGACTCCCTCTGAGCTACCCACCCACGGGAACGTCCTTCTGTCTGATGAACAGGAAGATCGATGAGTTGCACAACTCGAAGACACTCGTTCCGTTCTCGTCTAGCAGCTTCTCAACGCCCGGGACCTGTGCATATGTGCTCGATCAGAATTAGGGGTCGCTAAGCAGACTCGGGTCCGGAATTCCCGCACCCGAATTTCTCGGAGCGCTTTGCGACCCCGAGTCACGATGCATTTTTTCCTGCTCATCCACTGTGGGGCAGCCCCCTAGTCTGAATATATGGACAAACATTCGCGCGTCAAATTCGATCAGTATAGAGGACAGCTTGATGTGGCGAAAATTCTCATCAGTCGTTTCTGGCGAGTAACAACAATGGAATGGATTCTTACAGTGTCGTCAAAGAAGAGATCGTAGAAGACGCTGCACTCTTACCGGCCTTCAGAGGACGGGTTGTATCGTGGCTGGTGACGACAGATGGTAGCAACGCTTCGGACAACGCGTCGCAGGTCACGGCATCCACTGCAACGACAGATGCCAATCCCGCGGATCGACACTATCGACTGAAGGAAAACCAAAGGTAAAGTCGACTGATCGCTCACGATTTCACGTATTCCAAATTGATTCTCGAATTCGAGACAGAGGATTCGGACATCGACCCACGTATCGTGGGTCCGCGCAATGTCTCCTGAAGATCTCGACAATCAAGCGTGAATTCGTCCGTTTCCAGGGGACATCATAAAGAAAAAGGCCGTCCCGTGCAACACAAACGCTACGATTATGACAGCTCGTCGGTGCTCACCTCGGACCTGGAATCGTCGACCGTCCTGGATTCCGACGATTCCGATTCGGACTTGACATCAAGAATGAGCACAACCACGGACGAGAGCAGTGTTTCCCGGATATACCAGAGTCGGCACTTGCAGATGCGGCGCCGGCGGAAAAAGAAAGCAATTCTCAGCGGAGCCACGAGCAGCGTGTCAAGTGTGACCGACTCGAGCATGTCGCTGAACATAATCACGGTGACCCTGAACTTAGGTGCGCAACGACTCCCGCAAGAGGATCGATCGATGCTCCGATCCGTTACCCGATTCCAAGTTATCCATTCGTACACCGAACGCTAAATCAATGGGCGAAATTTGCAGACTCCGTCAACTTCTTAGGAATAAGTATCGTTGGTCAAACGAACAGAGGAGGAGATGGCGGAATTTACGTCGGCTCAATCATGAAAGGGTAAGAATACGATTCTTTATCTGAGAATAATCGCCCCTCGGTGTTCGTGTCTGTCTCAACATGTGATCCCTTTTCCAGAGGTGCTGTTGCTCAGGACGGACGCATAGAACCCGGTGACATGATCCTGCAGGTGAACGACGTGAATTTTGACAACATGGCGAATGATGATGCTGTTAAGGTGTTGCGCGAAGCCGTGCAGGAATCTGGTCCCGTGAAGTTGGTCGTCGCCAAATGCTGGGACCCCAACCCGAAAGGTTACTTCACGATTCCGCGAGCGGAACAGGTGCGGCCCATCGATCCGGGCGCTTGGGTCGCGCATACCGAAGCTGCTCTAGGATGCAACCAATTGATGGGAACCAACGAAATACCTCTCCGGCCACCTTCGGTTTCCACCATCACATCATCGACTCTCGACACGGAGCTCGACTCGAATCCACTGCTGTCATTATCGGTTGATGCATCGAAAATGAAGGATGTCACCGAGGTGAGTAGCCTCGTTCCTCCGATCATCTTCCAATGAGCCTCGATCATTGCCCTTTCGCCTTTCTCAACGAAATCTCATCGCTCCTCTTCAGGTTATGGCATCAGCGGACTCTGGTTTGGACGTTCGAGATCGGATGTGGTTGAAAATCACGATAAGGAACGCTTTCTTGGGGAGTGATTGTGTCGAGTGGCTTCTCAGTCATGTCCAAGGTTTCCACGATCGGAAAGAAGCGAAGAAATACGCCACAATGATGCTCAAAGAAGGTTTCATCAAGCACACCGTCAATAAGAGCAATTTCAGTGAACAATGCTATTACGTCTTCAGCGACGACATCGTCAAAGGTACTAGTCGATCCCGCAAGCTCTGAGAGTTCGGAGCGACGCTCCCAGGCGCCATGTCTCGGATCATCGGGCATTTGGGCTAATGATCATCGATTCGGCTTTCCGAACGATGCAGTATGGCCGGCAGAAGAATTCCATGGAAGGAAAAAATAAACGTCATCTCTTCCAGGGATACATGACCTTCGATTGAATTCAGCGGGGGCTACCGAATTGCTTTCCGCACCGACAGGCTGGACGATGCCGGCCATGCCTCCGTATGCCGGAAGCTACGTTCCTCAGCCGTTCCTCAGTCATCCTCCCCCACCCCCATCGACGATCCCAACGTATGCCACCCCGACTCAACCTTACTCCAATGAGGTCAGCTACGTGAATTTCGGGAGAGAGGTAAGTAATGGAAGTTCTTAGCGAGCTGTAATTAGCGAAACTGCCCCCTTCGACGGTGAGCAGTCTATCGATCGGACGCTCAATCCTCTCGGGTGTCGTTCCAACGCTTCTCGATTGCAGGGGAGTGTCAATAGCAGCGCTGGATCCGGCGGCAGTGCGGGAGCAAATGGTATCCTAGGCGGAGTCATGAAGCCGATTCCAGCGGGAGTTAAGCCAGCGGCAGCCGTCTCGTCGGGATCGTCGAGCTCGCAGAGCACTCCGTCGCAAGAACACGATTCGCAGTCACTCCTGGCAGCACCGATTCTTCAACCTCTGCCGAAGCCGCCAGCCGGAGCCGTGGGATCCGCTCCGGCACCGCCTCAGAAAAGCTCAAGTAGGGATAGTTTCCATCAAGCGATGAACAACAACAGCAACAGCAGCAGCTGCGACAACAACGCATCGCAAGCTCCTTCGAGTTTCGTTGACGTTTCGTGATGATGGACCAAGCCTGTTCTGTTGGTCCTTCAGCAGCGATGTTCGTAGTTCCGAGATGCTGAGTTCTTTTTTTTCTCCGATGATTTTGATTTGATTTGCTTTTGGTTTCTCCTTTCGTAGGTGTCGTACCAGGTCTGGTGATTCTTGGAGATCACGGCTCCACCGGAAATTATATGAATTGTATGAGGGCATAGAATAGACGGCGGACGCTGCCGCTATTGTTAGAGGCGTTCAGGTGCTATTGAACGAATGTGCGTATGAGTTTCTTGTTTTTCATCTGGTTGAGAGTGGTTCCCTGACTGAAACGAATGGAGTCCTCATGAGACTGGAGGAAGTGCATGAATGCATGATGAGAGGAACGAACGTACCTGACGCCCGAATCTCGGATGCGAGCCGCACGCCGATTTCCGACCATCACTCGCTGCTATGTTCTCTCGATTGAGCTTTTAATTGATCTGAATCGATTTCATTCAGGCAAAAACGACCTTTTAGTCGACAACGACGATGAAGACGACGACGAAGATGAAGATGACCTATACGAGTACACTGACAAAGGAGTCGTGTGAGCGTGCGTTCGATGTTTGCCACGAGTGCCCAATGATCACGATCCATAGATATTGAGATTTTATCGGACGAGAACAGGGGTATTTTATACGAGTCGGCGGATTTTACCGAGCTGCTGACCTGACGAACTCTCCAGCTGTCGGGATACCTTCTACCGAACCGTGGTCTCGAAAGTGTTCCAGAGAGACTCAGCCTCAACGGAGCGAGAAGTGCATCGACTGAACGAACTCGAACCGGTGGAGTTCGATACTTTGGTATATTCGGTGCTTTAAGGTCAGGAATCGCTATATTACGCGTGCCACGCACATTTCGCGCATCGAGGAAACGCTGACATCACCGAGACTTCGGGCAAGTTCTGAGGGACAAAATCTGTGAATCGACCGATGATGAGGCCATGACAGCCACGAGATGCTTCCCAGACTTGTTACCGGACAGAGACTGTCTCTGAAGATCCAATGATTTTCTGGGCCCGACTCCACCGTCCCCTGAATCTCTGTATGTATACTTTTGCTCTGGCTGCTTTGCTGGAGCGCCCCGCAATCCGTTCAAAAATATCGAACTTCGTCCTGATTCTATTGAAGCTCATGACGCTGTTTTGTTCTTCCCTCCTCGGATCTTAATTTTGCGCTGTGTGAGAGTCATTCTTCTGTTTCATTCATTGGCATTGGATGGACTCAATCCCCCGAGCTGAACGAACCCCTGAATGCTCCACAATCTCCGAAGAAAGTCATGAAATCCGCTCACGCCAAGTGATGAGCTCCAAATTTCGAAGCGCTATCCGAATGAAGTCATCAGAGAACGTCCTTGGTGCTTAGATAAAGATCAAGTCGGTATTGGAGAGCTTTGGACTACTGATGAGTGTGACATTGTACATTATATAGCGAAGATTACGGGAACGAGCGCAATCGATGAAGTATTTGAATAAACCTTACGATCGAACCGTCGATCGAAGCATGACAGTGAACCCGCCGGGCTTCTTTTTTAGATGTGTGTTCGAAGTGTTCTCCGTGAAGGTGTAACTACTAAGTGCTTGAAACGAAAATATGGAGAAGGGAAATTTATTATTGGCATTAATGTCATCGATCTTGTGCGTTCCGCTTCGTAGAGCAAACAATTCACTACCCGGGAGAGACACGCCATCGGACACGCTGTGGAACCTTCGTTCAGCGAATGGTTACTATTCACCGTGTGAGGTTCTGACTCCTTTCCGTTTCCAGGAGAGCAGCGGAGATTCCCTCGTGAAGTTGCCAAGTTGACGGAAATCCGTCAATCCCCATCCTCTGTAGGCTGTCCCATTCTTTTCACCATGACTTCCTCAGCTGGGAACCAAAAGTCTTCAAAGGATTGATCGGCCGCCCCGCGCGGATCGGTCCGCTCAGTGTTGAATTTCTGGATGAGTTCGATAGCGGCCGCAGGCTCTTCGAAATGGTTCAACAATCCGTCCACGCGAACCTTCATCTCCCGGCTGAGAGCCCAATTCTGTGCCTTGAAACGATCTTCACTCTCGTGCACACTGCATCTCGCGCAGCTCGCTGCTCTGAGGAAACAGCAGGCCGCGAAGAGGAGCTTCCCTTGCGAAGAGTATTCTTCGCCGAGTTTCTTCCATAGATCACCAGCTTGAGGTTCGCAATCGAGGAGCGTCTGGAGTGACCGGATGTCCACGCTCATCAGCAGCGCCGTTGATGCCAGAGAGAAGCGGTGATCTTCACAAGTGGCCATCGATGAGAGTTTCTCGAGGTACTTCTTGCTTTCAGCGGCGAACGCCGGTCCCGCTCTACAGAAGGAACGAGCGGCTCCGTCCACACAGTCCCTCAGTAATCCTAGGTTTCTGTTCGGACAGGCTTCAATCGACTTGACGTATGCTCGAGCGGCTGCTCTGAAATCTTTTTTCCTGTACAGTCTGTCAGCGACGTATTTCGATGCGAGCCACCTCTCCTGCTTGTCCGAGCTCGGGGCTTCATTGAAGAACCAATCGGGTTCCCTCTCCAAGAGAACGACGGGTTCACTCACAGTTTTCGTCGTCGCTTCTTCGTCGAATATGTCATCATTAAAATCACCGAACATATCTCAGAGCGATGCAGGAGCCCGTTGCACATTTCCCCATATCAAACCGTGCTTGCCTCAGCGCGCTGCTCCACATCGTCGGCGATCGGTCATCGTTGGATTCAGGAAGGTAGGCTTGTAGGCTGGAGCCCGAGATGTCCAGGAAGAATTTCAGGCGCGTCCGTATCGGTATCCGTCTCCGGGAGGACCTCCACTCTTTCTCGTGTATCCGGGGAGGAAGACTTGGATTAGGGGAGAGTTCCGGAGCGATTTGCAGATGTTCTCAGGGAGTGGGGGGAGTGGGGACGCTCATTCGTGTCCAACAATGCTCTAGGCGGGCCAGAAGTTGTTCTTCGTCTCTGGGGCCGAGAGTCGAATATCGTGACATTTCGGAGTCTCCATATCTCAATCCGAGGCAGCTCTCGGATATGTGAGAATCCCTGAGTTTTGATTGGTTCCAGTAAATTCGCACAGAAACTCGAAGCTGCATCGTAGGTGAGTGGAAGGATATCCGCGAACCGAAACGCCGTCGGAACTTTTTTTGAAAGCTATGTGCTTCTGGAGTTTTAGCTCAAAATGTTCAGAGCTCCATAACGAGGTTCGTCTCGATCAGGCCCGATCAAGATCATGCCAACACTCTCGCGTGTGGTCGCACTCTCAGCCGGTCATGAGCTGAGCAAGTGAGCGGCTGCGATCAGCTGAGTTTGCTCTCCCCCTCCTCAACGATGCAGCTGTGCGAGCTTCCGGAATTAATTACGGGGGCACAGATCTTGTTTCCACGAGTTTTCCCTTATAGAGATCTTCCTACGGCCATGCTGCTCACGAATCAGTGAAGCTCGGTCCTGGAATTGCAGCACTATGTACATGAAATTGAGCCGATTCGGTTTCCTTGACCCGGCGCGGCCATCCATATTCGGAGGAGAAAGCCGTCAGGCGAAGCGGTTGGTGGCATCGCTCAGGTTTCACCGCAAGGACGAATATGCGTTTCGCCTTTTACTAAACGCATCCGTGCGGAGGAACACTCACAATGAGCCTAATGGCAATTTTTGTAGCCCCGTAAGGGGCACCCTCTAAACTCGAAAAATATGACACTCTATGCGCGGAACCCGGCCGACGGCGTACTGTGTCACTGACACGCCGCGAGTCGACCATGATGCGTGCACATCACGAATAGCGTTCCGGTCGCTTCTTCCCGATGCATACGACGAGGCTACATGAGGATGAGCGGTGATCTAGATAAGAGAAGATTTCTCTGGCCGAGGATGTCAAAAAAGCGAACGCTAAGCGAACCCAGCTTCGTTGAGAAACGATGCTCCCGCGAGCAATCAGAGCTGAAAGATAGGGACATTCCAGATTCCCCTTTCGAGAGCCGAGAACTGCCCCAATCCCTCAACAAAATGAGTCCCTCAAGCAAATCGGATGACCCATTGGAGAACTTCTTCAAGGACTGCGGCCTCGAAGTGAGGAATGGCAAGGCGACGAAAATCGCTGTGGACCGTAGGGAGCTCCAAAAGAGATTCCAGGCGAAATTTACTAGCAACGAACAAACATCAAGCGGCATTGTCGCTGACATCAGGGAGTATTTCGAGCAGAATCCGGAGAGATTCGAGAATGCTCTGCTCACCTGTGATGCATCTGAAGATTCGGAAAGCCAGTGAGTAGCTCTTCGAATGTTTCGCGGAGGTGCAGCCGGAGTTGTAGAATTTGTAATCTTTTCGGATCCCTACCCAGATTGACCTTGTGGCCCTCGAGACAGAACAGCCTTCTTTGTTTACTGCTGGGTGTGACACGGATTCAGAAAGACCTGCTGAAATTGGTTCTCGACATACTCTACGAGAGGGTACTCGCGGAGGAGAATGCCAACGAGGTTCTCGCCGGCGTTGTCCAGGCCTTGAAGTGGCAGGATGCCATCAGCGAATCGGGGGTATGCGTTTTGACGTCTGATCCAAAGATCTGAAATATCTCTCACTGAAGTATCGATCAAAAGCTCATCCGATTTTCTTCCCAGTATCTCGCAGACCGATTGTTCGAGATCGTTGAGGATTTCCCTCTGGAGAGCCAACGTCAGCTGATCAAAGCGCTGCCCGATCTCCTTTTAGACGAGGAATCGCAAACGAAAGCTTCGATCAAACTATGTGAGCTGTATGAGACGCGCTCTGAACTGGCTGGAGCCGTCCTCGAAGCGCTCGGCGCTGTCCGCGTACCAGAAGACGAAGTTTCAGATGTGCGTTCTCCTTCTATCGATCCATTTACCGAGTACTAATAAGATCACTTCTGCATAGCGAGCTCTGTGGCATCGATGCTGTCGATTGAAGTTCCAATGATCTTCCAGATACGAAAGAAAGTCCTCGCCTCTATCTCTAATTTGGATATCAGTCAGTTATGTCCAGTGCTCGACTTCGTCTTGCGAAACCTTCCGGACTCGGATGCGCCGATCGTGATCAACCTACTGCGTTGCAGCGATGCCATCAGTTTGGCTGCTAGTCAACGTGTCGACGACCCGGAGGAATCAGCGAGGTGATGATTTTCTGCGTTTTCCAGTTTGAGAATCAGAAAGAAATTCCAGCTATCCGATTCGAAGTTCGACGTGAGGAACGGAGTTTCAAAGATAGCCCTATCTATTCAGCGCCGGCGTCGACGCAGACCTTCACCGTTTCATCGAGAAGTTGAGAGTCGGGGTCATGACCAACAAAGTCATCGGTGAACGCTGGTTGAAGATGATTGAAGTGAACTCCACCGGTACTCCACTCAAGGTAAGAGTTCGGTTGTCTTACCTAGCGTCGCGTCGGAATGCAAAGAATTCTAGCCCATCCTGTTTTCATAGAAACGGAGTCTTGGAAATGCATTTGCAGTATCTGGATGTCCTCTTCCTCCTGACTTGCTACCGACAACTCCCTCAGCGCCATGTCGAGCTCACGTTGAGGCAGGTGATCCGAGATGAATGCCTCACGGAGACATTGATCACCGAGATACTGACCAAATTTCGGAATTTACTGAAGAGGCAAGAATTTTGTGATGGCAGAATATTCTGACCTGATGCCCCACGACCGGGAGGAATAGGGAGGAGCTCATTGATTTTCCTGAACAGATACACGGCGAATTTGATTGCCGTCTGCGAGATGCTCATGCGGAGTGTCGTAGCCAGCGTCCACGAGCTGGCCTCGACGGCCTACAAGCAACTCTTCCTAAACTACGATGCACATGTCCAAACGGTAAGTCTCCCAATCCGTCAAAAGAAAACCCTCCGTGCCGAGTCTCAAATACTTGACACTCTCTCGATGAGAGAACGCTTCGCAGTCAGGCTCTAAGGCAGTGCGTCTGAAGTCCTTTCATCGCGGAGCTGTTCGTCGTTTTGCGCAACCACGGTTCAGATGTTTCAATTCCCCCCCTCAGGACGTAATCGTCGCGCTACTGACGCACGCTGGATCTGGTTCACCGTCGGAACTACAGAACTCGTTGAGCTGCGTGGAGTCCCTGTGCCTAGAGCACGCTCTTGCGAGCGCGCCTTACGGCTTCATGCTACAATCGCTGGTGGATCAAGTACCCCGCCTGTCGCTAGGACAAGCGAGAACACTCTTCAGGAGCCTGTCCAGCTTGGCTTACGTATCTCGCGATTCGGACAGCGGATTGAAGGTGATTGTGATCTCCTCCGAACACGTACCCGCCCAGGGTCCTTGTCATTGAATATTCGCCCTCCTCTCATGCACTGAAGATCCTCTCGAATCTCGAACTTGCAGGACACACTACGGATAGCGGCTCGTAAGCGACTTGTGAATCCGAACCTCAAGTACAAATGCGTGGGTGTCGTTGCGTCGGTCGCCATAGTCGAGGCGATGGCTTCGAGAAAGAGGTACCTGCTTTTCCCTACGGCGATGGGGATTCGTCGATGGAGGTTGTTCGCCTCTTCGGGCTCCTATAACGCGGGATAACTTGCTTCTTCTTGAAGAGACGCCGAATTCGCGAATGAGGCTCAAGCTTGTCTGGAACAAGCTCTCGAATCATCGAGGAACTTCCCCGTGTCAGCAGCCTTGTTCTTAGACGAACTCAGCCTTGCTGTACCTCAACTCAATGAGGATCTCGTGAAATGGATACACACTTGGGTAGCTTCGGAGTTCCAACGATCTTACGTTTCCTCACCGTCGGTCAGCGAAAGGTGAGCCACTAAAAGACACGTCCCACCTCCTCCCAACGTCAGCCATATTTGGCCCGGACTGCGGTCTGACGTTTCAGGGGTCCTGCTTACAGCTCCTCGTCGACGTCTCTCCTCAGCCGCAGTAATTCGATCGACTCACCGGGACTTAGTATCGATGTCGAGAAATTGTGCCTCATGCGAGAAGGGCCTTCAGCTAGCGGGCAAGTACCTTGATAAAGGATTTATGACGAGTATCCGATTTTTCGGCATCAGTAACGGGACGAAGAATCGACACTGACTATCAAATCAATGCGTTTGATTCCGCGCATTTCCTCCGAAGGATGCCTGTGGATGCGATGTGCCCCCTGTTCCGGCTTCTCCGAGTTTGCGAAGTGACCTGCTTCGGTTCGGATCTCCAAGTACGTGAACTTATTTCGGCTCCTCACCGACTTCAAGCCTCTAACCGACGCCTCATAAACTGTACGCGATGAGAATCGCAAAAGCAATTTCCTATACGTAAATTCCCGAATTTTCCAGGGCATAAACGCGCTGCTCTTCGCTAAAACTCTCCCTGCCGATCTGGAGGAACTGAGTTTTCAGAATGCACCAGATCAAGATTGTCTCTTGACGACACTGTTCCACACAATTAATTGGCACCGTGAGGTTTGTGTGTGGATCGGAGAACTTGTGCAGACATCCGGTTCTCTTCACAATCGGCTCGAGTTCAATCGCTGCTATTTCCCCCCTCAGCTCTTGAATTGCTCGTCAAAGAAAATGTCGGATGAGGTGAAAATCCAGCTAGTGAAAATTCTGAAGCGACAGGTTCGGCTCATGGACCTAGCTGCGAGGTAGTTACCGAAATTCGAAGGCTCAAGAGGCTTCCCTTCCGTCGTCCATCGTTCTGCTTTCATAATGGGAATCGAACGCGATCTCATTCGCTACAGTCTGATAGTAGTGAGACGAGTCTAATATGCATCGTGTGCTCCCTTCTGCAGCTGGCTTCCGCAACTTCCTTCGTTCGTACCTCCTCGAGTAGGATTTGAAGACGATTCCAGTGCCAACACCATCCACGTGAAGACAGCCATCAAGACGAAAGCAGCTCGGTGAATTATCCTTACGTGATTGCTATATTTTCTTGTCTCGGGAAGCCGCGATCCAATCCTCCACTCTCGTGCTGACAATCCCTCCCTCTGTCCTAGGGGTCGCAAGCGGAAGGCTATAGCGGATGATTGCGAGGAAGCTCCGCCTTCGAAACAAGCTCGTGAGTAAAAGTTCGCGTAATGGATCGTACTCGTGTCTCGAGCGTTACGCTGGGAAGATCAAAATGCTGAACTCACCTCTCCCCCTCAAGCGGCACCGGTATCAACGTCTGCTTTCCGGAACTTCCTCCGTTCCCTGGACATAAACTTCATGCATTTAGTCAATGAAGATTTCCCACCGAAGGAGCTAGCCTTCGCCCTCCAAGAATTACTGCTGCAATTAGAAACATCGCTGGCGCTCGATGAGCCTCAGCGGACTTCGTTCCTCCCTGTAGGTTCTAAAAAAACTCATTTGCGAATCTTTCATGATATCTTTCCCAGCGGAACCGTCCGGCTACACATACATTTTCTAATCGATCTGACGCAAACTTGCCGATCACAGGCAGGGGTGAAGAAAGAAACCGCGGTCTCTCGGAGACTTCCGATTGAGATTGTGCTCCACGTGGTTGATCTTCTGCCGATGCTGACTGTTTTCGTCGAGGATATAGCTTCCAAGCTCAAGGTTAGATCCTTACATTTGGAATTTGAGCGTTTCCGATCGGGAGCATACGCACCCTTGACCAGAACTCTCGAATTCCCTCAGAACAATAACGGCGAGCTGGACGACTCGATACTGGAACCAGATGCGGTAGGCTGTCTGAGGCTTTCTTTCTCCATATTGAATTCCCTGCTTTCTTGGCGAGGTTTCAACGAACCGAAGCATTCGAAGGTGGGTGACCGAGCGATCCGGCGCAGACTTCCCGGAGATTCCTGCGTAGAGCATCTCCGGAATGGCACTCCAATTTCGCTTCGTTCTAGACGCTCCGAGATGTGCTCAACATCATCGCTCTGAGGGTTGGTAACACTCAATTCAGAACCCAATGCGACCTCGTCGAATTCCACAAGTGAGGACACCTATCCTAATATTTCCCCGCAATATCATGCTAGGTCTCGATTCTCCCTGCCTCTCAAATTCCCGATTATTTCAGGCGAGTGTTCAATTACTTCGTCGAACTTTCCCCCTCCATAAACGACTTGCACACGGCAGCAGCTTTCGTTCGTCTTCTCCTAACAGTTTTAGACAAGACCGCATCCAACGCGGACTCAAATAAGCAAAAGCTCCTGGGAGTCGCCGGAGACTTCCTACGGAAAGACTGGCCCCGCACCGGCCTGGAGAATCGCGTGATATCGAAGTGCGCCCAGGTAAGACGAGGAAACGAGATCCTCGCAGTCAGAAAGTCGATTCCGCATGCAGATCGGAGGCCCGGTCTGGAAGGACGACCGACTGAGTGAGGTTGCTCTGATGCTGAGTTCCCGCCGACAGACTCTACTGACAGTTTACATTGAGGAGAGCGAGGATCGTTTTGAGCCGCTCGGCTACCTGATCTCCGAAGTCTTGCCCGAACTCGCCGAGAACCCCAGAAGCACGACGTTCCCGCTAATTTCGAAGTACGTATTCATATGTCACCGGAGTCTCTCCTGCTTTCCCCGGAAGGTGAATCGACAATACTCTGTAGCATCCAATGCTTGGCAGCGGAAATGAGCGCATCATACTTCACAGAGAGACCCTAGCGCCTTGTTTCAAAACCATCTCGTGCTACTTCATCAAATGCACAAAGCAAGCCTGTGGCTCATCCGCAAACTCGAGCCTGGATTCGTGGCTCACCGTCGTACAACGTTTGCGAGAGTTTCTAAGCGTGATCAAGATCGCGGCAACGAACTCTAATGCTTCCTGTGGTTTGAAGGTCCATTCTCATTCTGAGTTCAAGGTGGATTAATTCTTAACGATCATGAACTCCTTGTATCGTGTCGGAGTCATTAGGATGTTTGGCCTGGTGCTTTTTGCAGACTGCTTGTGAAACTCTGGATCTTTTTGTCAAACACGGTATCCCGGTTCTCGAGACGCACTTCAGATCACGGAACGATGATGTCCTACGTTTGGTGAAAACCCTGCAACACTCTACCAGGATAATGCAACACACCTGCTCCCACTTCAAGATGTCTCAACAGGTCGCTCTGGGCAGACAGGTAAAAAATTGCGCAGGATATGATCGAGGGGAGGACGAGATGTCCCCCACCTTGAATGACATTGTTCCATCGGTGCCCTACCAGGTACCTGTCGCGAGAAAACTCCTGGAGATCTTCATTTTCAAAATGAAAGCACTTTTCAACAAATTCGGCTGCGGAGACGCGCTCCAGATGGGACAGCTTAAAATGCGGAATCTCAAGGGTGAGACTATGGACATGGAGCAGGAGCACGGAGACTTGGAGGACGCTGCGAGTCTCAGTGAGGATGATGAGGTGAGATGTAGCCAGGGTACTCGAAGCAGGCTGAGGCTTACGACGGTATTGGCATCCGATCATCGCTTCATTAGACGTTTTCTTGAAGGACGGAGAAGGTGATGAGGAAGGTGTCGCCTATAACCTGACGGACGAGAGCGCGGAATTCTAGAGTCGATCGCGGCTGCATATGTATGTACGATGCTCTTGCCTCGCACCGGGTCACGATTCGGATCGAATGAGGGACGGAAGAGGAGGAGAGGTGCCGGAGCTGAATCAATAAAGAGAAAAGTTTCCATCATTACCTATCTCCTTGAGCTGGCGCCCGTAGACCCTCGCGTTTCCCGTAGGCGGAGAGACCCTCTGGTCTCACTCAGTTTCGTCGGAAGAATGATGATCGATTAAATCCGTCTCGCTCCACCATAGGGCGGGCATCTCTTCCGGCAGCTCTCGGGTGAGCTCCGGGAGAGATTGATTTATTTCGAGTAAAAGTTTATACACAGAGCATTCCTATCACTGACTGAGCGGTGTATCTGAGTAAGTATTCATACCGAAGATCCCGATAAGGTTTCCCCCCGACTTCGTTATGCCGAGTTAACTAAGCACACCTCAAGATTTACATCTCGGATAGTGATCGCCCATGCGCTTCCTGGTCCTCAACCAGGATCTCCCTCCGCGATGTCGGTCGCATAGCTTCGGGATAAGAAAACGCCGACCCAAAATTTACACTCCGACGACGAAAGCCAGAACGCTCGGCCTTCACAACATTGGCCCACCGTTGAGCATGGTTCTTCACGGGACCGAGAACGAGAGCATCTGAGATTGGTCGTTCACGTCGCGATCTTTTTCTGAAAGGAGCATCGATGTACAGGACGCCCGGAGATTCGAAAATCAGGTGCGTTTCTTGAGTTTCCCTCGTTGAGTCCCGGATTCGGATGATGACGCGCCTCCTGGGAGCCCAAGAGGCGGAGCTCCGACCCAAAACCTAGGAAACCCTCCTGCTACGCATCGATCATAGTCTGGGTCCGTATCTCAGAGCGAGGCATATATAAGTTAGGGCTGGTGATGTGAGGGGTGCTCCCCTAAATTCCATACATATGTATAATCTGCGCGGAGCTTGCGAATCGGTTCTCGAACGGTTTCATATGCAGCGAGGGGAGCCTGTATCTAATGACTGCTCCTCCTTTCCCATGAATAATCCTAAATGCTCAGACGGGAGAAGCACAGTACTCTCCGACTCACTCGTCGCGGATCATGTCAGAGCTTCATGTACTCGGAATCTGCGAGAAATATTCATTGAGACACTGCTGACCCTCCGCAGACTCCTCTGTTCCGTTCGCATCGGTCTCTTTCTCATCACGAGCGTGGAATCGTCCGCCTTCGCCTCGGACTCTGTTCATGGCGTGCCGGTGTCTGGATTCATGGAGGTAGCGTCTTCGTTCCTTGGGTATTTTGCCCTGAGCTTCGAGTCGCGCGCGGTCCTGACGTCGCTTCAGAATTCTATGATATTGTTTCGCGTTAACATACAACGGTTCTTCTTCAACATCAGCGGCGGGCAACGCCTGAGTAGAGGCAATCGTATTTGTTGTTGTAGTCGGATTATTTGACACCACCCCATTTTGAATTTGTATCTGGCTCTGGGTAGTCAACGGTTGACTCAATTGGATGGGGGTTGCAGTCCCATTATTCTGCACCAGCATGATAACGTTGCCATTCTGGGTCGGTACGCTGATTGTAGAAGTTTGACTCTGCTGGCTTGATTGCTGAAGCAGTTGTTGGATCAGACTGGCCGGGAAGACGCTTGTCGCTCCAGTGTGCCCACCGGTTTGGTCTACTGTCACCGGTTGATAGACTACAGTGTTCGTTCCATCCGATGATGAGCCCGTGAGGGCACCGTTGGTTATGAGAACCGTCTGCTGTGGCTGGGAAGTCGCTGTAGATACCGGAATCATCTAGGGAGACGATAAGTCTTTGAGAACACAATCTGCCTTGCAGCACCGTCGCTATAGAACGGTGGTCTGAATCTCGATGCATGAAATGAGAATGAACTGAGAAAAGACAAATGTCGGAACATAAACCAAACTAACCCTTCGCGCGGTCTGCAATTGGAAGGAGACGTTAATACTTGTGAAACTCATGAAACACCATGCAGTACCGAAAAGGGAAGAACACAAATATGAGAATGATCGCATTACTCCACGCAAACGTGCCACCGGAAAGCTTGGTTAGCCACACGGGGTGAGGAGCCTATTGAAATAATCCCCCCGAGAGCTCGCTCAGCGTGAAAAAATAATTCAAAAGTTGTCGGTAAGTTTTGAATCCGTCCGAAACTTTTGCAGCATGAAGCTTACTTGTACTTTGCCATTGGGACCGCTTATCAGGAACGTTTGTTGGCCTGCTCCGCTGGAGTTGACCAATATCTGCTGCCCGGGTGTTTGCGAAGCGCTGGAAACTGCTCCGAATTCTGTCATGGCAAGGCGCTTTCTATCAGATATGGGATATTCCTAAATTTATGAAGGGAGATCTGCAAGAAGAAAAGAAGAAAAATCACACCTTATCCTACGCCCGCTTTATCGGGGGTGAAAATGCAATATATTGTGAAAGGAATTCCGGGGGCGCCTGATTCCGCGCGCCAGGACACGTTCATGCTAATTCCATGAAGTGTCGGGGATAAGTTTTGCAGTTGAGTCCTGGTAGGCTGATCACCAATCGCTATTCCGAGAGCGATTCTGAAATTCTCGCCAGTCGAACGGCGCACTATTCTGCTCAAAAAAGAGGCTCGGGATCTAGACTACCGACTCCCGATCGCTTGGCGGCGACACCTCCCTGGTCGTCCGTCATGGTCAGGTGTGTGCGAGAGATCCTTTGCTTCACACATCTCTTCCTGACTTTGACGAATTTCCCACCCTCCTCGATGACTTCTCCTTTGTACTTTTGCACATTTACGAAGTCCGCTCTTTGAGGCGAGTGCGACCCTACGATTGGTGTTCCTGAAGCTATCGGATTCTCGGGAGACTTTGGACACCAATGAGGAATTTTCGCGATACACGTACCTTCAGTGAGGCACTCTCAGAGATCGAATTTTCTTCCGGGTTCAGACGAGAGACAAATCCTCAGAGGCTCCGAAGAAGCCTGACATGTGAATTCTGGTCGTGCTCAGAAAAACGGATCACTGACAGTGGCGGCGTCGCTGATTGTTTGCAGCGAGGGAGATGCGACTAGGTGCTCAAAGAAGAGCGTCCCTGCCGGGGATTCTCCCGGCTCTCAGGGAAATGCCGCGCGCCCCTCGAACACCGCATGTCCGCGAGCCCGTGAGGCGGGAGTGAATATAGCGGAGGATGATTCTCCCCGTATCCATTTTTGCTCCCACCTCAGGAGCCACTGGGCCGAAGCCCTCTAAATACTCCCGATATTCGAAATTACCCGCGCTTCTTCCTCCAGCCACTCTCTGTGCCCCTCTCCCTTTCGGATATTTTCTGTCTCTCTCTTGTTGAGGCTCTGCCTCCAGTGTAGAACAAGACTTCGGATAACGTTCCATCGGCGGTCAGCAGCTCGTTTTTCGTTTCGAGCTCGGCTCTAGAATTTCGCCATGTCTGAGCGAAAAGTTCTCAACAAGTACTTTCCGCCGGATTTCGATCCGGCGAAAATACCTCGGCTCAAACTTGCAAAGGATCGCCAGTATGTTGTTCGATTGATGGCACCGTGCAACATGAAATGCACGACGTGCTCGGAATACATTTATAAGGTGGGTCCGGTTTAAAATTCGTATGCCGCATTGATTGAATGTCGACTCTCCTCGATTCGGTGAAGGGGATCTGCGCCCTGTCAACGGAGATTCCATGATTCTTATGTATGGAGTCGAGTATTCTCACGACTCACGAACCGTTTTCGTTCTCTAGGGGAAGAAATTCAACGCGCGGAAGGAAACCGTACAGGACCAGGATTACTTCGGTATCCGTATATTCCGATTTTACATCAGATGCCCGCGATGTTTGGCGGAGATCACTTTCAAGACGAACCCGAAAGAAGCCGACTACGATCTGGAGCATGGCGCCACCAGAAACTTTCAGGTATGTCGACGAGGGGGAGCATGCTTCAGCGGCTCAGAACGAAGGAATATAGTCTCCTTGAGCGTTTTGTCCTTTCGTGGAATGCTCCCGCACCGGAGTCCGTAATAACAACTCATGTTTCGCAACACAGGCTCTACAAACAGCTGAGAAACTGGCCGAAGCTCAGCGAGTCGCAGAAGAGGAAGACGACAAGGCCAACCCGATGAAGATGCTCGAAAAGCGAACGGCGCAGTCCCTCCTGGAAATGGAGAAAATCGAGGCTCTGGAAGAACTCAAAGAGCTGAACGAGCGTCAGGCCGAGGTCGATTTCGATGGCATGTTGCACAAAAACCTACAGCAGCAAAAGGAGACGGCGGAGCAACGTCAAGCGAGGGAAGAGTCGGAGATAGAAGCGGAAGTGCAAGCCTTGCTGCGACAGGGAGGAGTTGAAAAAAAGGATGGAATACGGATCAAACGGGTGAAGGATATCGATTCAGATGAGGAGGAACAACGATTGAAGAAATTGCCTAAAAGCGATCCCCTCAATAGCGCAAGAATACAACAAACGGGCTCTTTAGCCAACAAATTGAAGCAATCCATCCGACTAAAAAAGGTCGATGATATGCCTCAAAGCAGCTGTTCGAGTACGAGTTCGGGCACTACTGCCAAGTCAAAGACTGGTCTGGGGCTCGTCATGGCCTACAGCGATTCCGACAATAGCGAGTGAGGTCCCGAAGTCTAATGAATAAAAGAATGTATATATCTTGCGATGTAATATTGTGATATACCGAACGATTGAGTCTATAAATGATGCTCCTTGACCGCCTCTGTTCCTCAGTCGTAACCTTGATTGCCAAATATGGGCCGCAGCGATCAGCCGATCGCGGGTGAGTGCTGATATCGAGCGTGCCTAGAACATGAGATACCTTCCCTGATGGGCAATGGATGTATTTGCTTCTTGGGAGCACCTCCTTGAAAATTCGAGCGTCGGAATCGTCCCTTGCCGCCCGAGTTCTCAACCCGAAAATTGCATTGATGGATGATCGTCTGTCTGACTAGAAGGAGACGTCAGGAACGATTCTGGGACATCATGCCATCAGATGTTCAGCTTCGGAACCGACCCGGTAGCCGCGGAGAAAGGAAAACAGAAGGGCTGCCACAGACCGGTGAGACACACATGAGGATTCCACGGAAGGATCAGAAACCTGAGGCTCAATGACCGCGTTCTGCGATGGAAGTCGTGCGGAAAATTCTCGACCTGTGGTTCTCACAGGGTGAATCGGGAGTGCTTCTCCACTCTGTGGGGGATGTCAGCTGGGATTCCATTAAAACATATTTATTTACTCATCTGTACATCGGAAGCGTACCATGGATTATACAGAGAACAAGGCGAGGTTCGTGGCGTTTCTCCGATTCCGAAACATAACGATGCGCTGTAGCTCCGTTTGCTGCCGCTTGCAGACTCCAGAAACAGTTTTCGAGGAATCGCATAGCTCGCACAAAGGATCAGCACCCCGTGGACGCACAGTCTCTCCCTTCACAGGTTCTCGGCCTTGGATTAGGCTCCCGTTTATTGCAAGGGGAAAGCGAGCGTCGTCCCTGATTTGAGGTTGAGGTATGCCATTCCGCGGGACTTATAGAATGATTTCACCCACTCTCTGTGGAAGATGCCGTCCACCTTTCTTTGATGCCAAACCCAAAAATCAGTTTGTTTCCTGAAAATATTCAACATTGGAGAGAGAAAAATCAAACACTCATTGTTGGCTCACAATATCTCGCCCACGTTAGAACAACACGAGCTGATGTCCTAACATTCTAGAATCATATTGTGATTGCAAGGCACACTCACCGAGGAAAATGGCCGAGATTGATATGCACCAGCAATTTATGGATTTCTGCGGAGCTTCTGATTCTTTTTGAGGATTTCGGTGCGCCTTCGAGAATGGTTGTTTCTTCTGGGCAGATGATGTCATAAGTCTCATCGACTTCGGAGCGCGCTGTTGAAACTTCCAGGGCTTGATCAGGAACGGTTTTTCCCCCGAAAGGCGTGAGGTCGCTCCCCGACCCATCGCTACCATCCCCGCGACTCCCCATGAGTCTTATCGATCGCTCTGGAGTATCTACAGATCGGCGTGCTGCTTCCGAATGTGCCGTGAGCTCCTCTCCTACCATCTCGATTTTCGGACGCTTGTCTGCCGACAGTCTCATCAAGTCCTGACAATCCGCCGAGTGTGACAGTCCTTCCGACGAGCTCGAGACCTGCCTACGTCGCCGTCGAGGGGTCTCGGTTCTCCCAAAAAGCTCGCATACACCGGAATCCGGAGCACTCTCGACCGGCTCCAGCGACGCTGACTCTGGTTGTTCCTCACTTCGACAACGCTCCCGCGTCAAAGTCCCTCCGGTCGACAGGAGTTGATCCTGTTTCTGTAGCAGCTCCGCCAGCATCTTTTGGGCGCTTTCTATCGATCCGGCCAATTTCTTCAAGAACTCCGGCGATACTGTTTCGGAAGCTCCCGAGTCGCCGATCGACTTTTCGGGCGTGGATGGACTCGGGCCCTCCCTGTTGGCCGACCGCCGCATTGGTTGAACCTTGACCATTATTGTCTTACCGTCGTGCACGCTGCTCTCCGCGCTCAATGATCAAGTCGTTTGAGCGACTCTCCACGCGACCTGCAAACAGAGAAGGATACTATCGAAGAGGAGATGATCGAGCTTCATGAAACATAATGGAATCTTGCACGCATGATGAGTGCATCACTTTTCACTATGCAAGTGTGCTCTTGCATCGTGAATGGGCGTGAACTCCTGGAGGGGAAGGGGGGTGAATGATGGCGGGTAGCTGCTCGAGAAGCATCGTGTTACCTCATTCGAGATTCGAGGGATGACTGCCTGCCACGACTCCCTACAGCAACCTCTCACTGCCGCAAGGTGCAGCTCATCGGCGATCCAGCCGTAGGAGGCTTCTTTGTTTTTACAAATAAAGCAGTCAGGAGCGTCCCGCAGCGGCGAGGGATTTCCCCGGCAAGAGAGGGCTCTCGCAGCTCTCGAGCGCTCGCAGACTCTCCCGTGAAGCTCGCACCATCTTCGTCGACGTCATCCCCGAAAAGGATGATCGAAGTATCTCTATCTCAGATGCATTGGTCTTCACAGAACAGGATTTCGACGCCGGTATGGATGCCGACCACCTTCCATGGAGGATCTCCGGAAGCGGTGACCACCGGTAGTCATGTTCGCCCCCTCAATCGGCCGATCCGGCATGAGTAGCTGCTCGACGACTCCAGGTTTCTCTGTGGGACTTTCGGTCCTAACTTCCTGAGCTTCATCGGTTCAGTCAGCGCTGGATCAAGCGGAATGTCTGCGATGGATACCTACTGAGGGAGTCATCACGATCTGACCCCTTAAATCATTCCCCATTAAAAGACGCGACCCATTTCAGGTCCCCAGAAAAGCTTGTCGTCTCGTGTAAGCACGAAGAGGAGCCAATCGATCGAACTCTCATCCCCATACGAGTGAGCCAACCACAATTTCGCAGGTCGCAGCGATAGACAGGGTTTTTGACGGTACGGGATTCACATTATTCGAAATTGAATTATTATTCAGAAGTCATTCGATCAGGTGCTCGAGGATCGGATTCCAGCGAAATGCGCCTCCGGCAAACATACCTCTGGGGGCAATTCACAAGTGAGCGCAATTCCTCACGTCGTTCGAAAGCAGTTCCATTTTCCTTCTCTGAAATCGTTAGACGTCGGTTTATTTCGTTGCCCACAACACCGCAGAACTCTCGAGCCTTGACTGACTTTTTGAAAAATGGAGCCGAAATATTGATTGTTTACATCGTAAGGGTGCGACTAGGGGTTCGACGAGCGTCGTCGAGACTCGCGGGAAGCCAGACTTGCAGATGAAGTCTCTCGGCGCGGCGCGGTATTCGGACGGGAGCTCCTGCAAGTCTTTGACTTTCAACTGAGCGCTGCGGAGAAGGCGTCGGTTTTCCGGGGAGACGGAAGAAAGTGCCAATATGATATGGGAAAGGTAGTCCAATTTCCTTGGCACTCGGCACCGAGGGTCAGCGTACGGAGCCGCGTGGAAGCCAATTCACTAGCATCGAGACATCTTTACGGATGAGAGGAAAAGTTTGCTGCCGCATCTCGTGACGTCTCCGGTGCCCGTTACATTGGCTCTGAGTGCGTTGCGCGTTGCCACGATTGCGGTTCACTTTTCGGAAGCCGAGAGTCATTTTAGGGATCTCTGTCTCGTTCTCCGCTCCGACCGAAAGCCCCCGCGATGTCCCTGGAAAATTCTTGCGCCCGCCTTCCTCGGCCCCGTTTCCGCTGTGATATCTCAATAATTTTTTCGTGAACCCCACGGCCGTCTTCTCCCCTGAGCCGATCCCGGCCCCGATGTCGCAGGCCCACCGGACTCCGTTCTCCCTCCATTGCGCCGACGGCCCAGGATCCGTTCGCCACCCGAGTAGGCTCCTGGGAGGCTTGAGGCCGAGAGACCCGACGCACCGCTAGAACGGAGGACACGCACAGGGGAGCACTTATCTTCATGTCAGTCATGAGTTCATGAGACATCGAGATGTCGATTTCTATAGAATCTACTCTGAACGAGCTGCATCTGTGAAGTCGCCTTTCTACTTCATGCTTTTGAAGACATCGCAAGGAGTCAGAACGCATATCCTCATGTCCATCGGAAAGCGTCTTCAGTTATGGGAGCTCCCGCTCTGCTATTGTTCATGCACCTACCACATGTTCGAACGCCGAGAACTCAATGTTGAGCTTAGATCCCCAAGCCTAGAGCTTGAAAGAATACGATCGCCTCGTCTCTAGCGATCGGTCGGGATGAGAATTCGTTCCTCTAGGGATATGCGCGCCGCTCCCGTCGGGGGTCGACGCTCGACTCGTCGTAGGCGGGAGATTTCCGAGTGGGAACCGAAGAGAAGGTGATCGAAAATTGAGCACCCCACCGTGTCGTCGCTTCGCAGTAGTTTTATTATGTCTGTTCTTGAGGGGTTCGACGCAAGGAGACCGGAAAAGCAGCCGAAGGGTGGGACATTATGTATAGTGACTCAATCCATTGGGAAAAAAGTTCTCCACCACAGATGGGCTTTGGTACAAAGCCCTTGGCGACAACAACTCATTTCCATGGGCTTTGACGAGCGGCAACATCCTAGGGGACATCTTAAGGTAGTGAAGATGTTGTAGTAAAATGGCTGGTAACAATAACCTTGGCAGCACAAGTTGCAAGGCGGGCCTGGAAAATAATCGTAGGACCCAGTGATGAATAAGGAACGATTCCTCCACCCACTGGGACCAGAAAGGTTCAATTGCTATCTTGCGAAAGAGTCTTACATATGCACATTTCGCATCCCGTGACCTCCTCGTTCCCGAGAATGCACGGAGCCGGGCATGTAGGCACAGGAAGACATCGATAAGAGTAAGCTGAAAGACACGACAGCGTTACGTCCCGACACCGATTTTCCGAGACGGAAACCTGAATCGCGAAGCATATCAATCGGTTCAGTACCGGTTGGGAACGAGATCAGGAGCACCGTTATCGCGAGAACATCACCGAAGGCCATGCTCATCTACATAAGTGGAGCATAAGGATCATGCGACGGCTCGGTTTGTTGATCGAGGAACGCGGGAATCTTCGTGAACGGATTTCGGGTTTCGAAATGTTTCAATCTCGGATCGAAGCTAAGATCAACTTGGAGCGTCACGATCTCCTCGAAAAATTGTAGAGGCGATCACGACATGCAGAGATCGACTTCTCAGGTGGGCGGTTCTCTGGTGCGGGAGAAGTTCTCAATGGACAGCGTCACCGGAAGACGTGGTCAAACGAGCGACCGGCGCGGCGGCGTGTTCTCCGAAACTTCCCGAAGTCGACCCGGCCCCGTGAAAAGACCCTGGATAAACAGATTCTCCTGCACTCAGATTGACTTCTCTAATCGGGTTTGCCCGACTCTCGAGCACATCCCATCGCAGGTGTCGATGATATTCTATCGGGGATCTGACGGCCACAGCTCTGATGAATGGGAATGGACGGAACCTTCTCTGGGTTCTCCAGGGGGGTGGCATCGATCGCTGCCGAGGCAGTACACCGTTAATTCATGTGGGTCGCTCATATGTCATTTGTTCAACGGAAAAGTATGGAGCGACAATCTATTTATAACCGCATCCGTGACCGTCCTACTCGCGTTCGAGAGTAGCCAGGTTCCTGATGCAGGGATGGAGTCTGGAAAGACAAGGGCTTAGTGGACCCATCTGCTTCATCCTTTCATCAGTTGAAATTCCCTAGCTCACTTCGCGTAGGCTGAGAGATATGAGTGAACTCAAGGGCTACGCGCCGGATCGACATAGGCAAGTCTCGGTACCAGCGCTGACTCTTCATCATATTTCTCGGGCTGGACCACACTCCCGGATTCCGAGCTCTCGGATGACATCTGTAGTGGCGAAAAATCTGAAGAATCGCATCCTACCCACTAAGGGAATCGATAATCTTCGCTCCGTTCGGCTCGGCGCGTTCTGAGATGCTCCCAACTTTGAGGGACACCCATTCGCCCACTGCCGAGCCATGTTGAGGGATCCAGCATGATTCAACTCAATGAAGATTCGTGACTCCGGGTCCAAAAAAAACAAACTCCAAGCTCCGGGAAATTCTGCGCCCTGGAGACTGCTCTTTTGAATATGAGGGAGGCACTCAATAGCCAATAGCCTATAGAAGGCTGTTGGCTATTGAGTGAATATGTCGGCGCGAACGATCCCGAATGTCAATTTGTGAGGCGCTCACGACAGGGAACAATCGGGAACCTCCTCCGAGCGATGTGATGTGCTTCGCGATGTGCGAGACAGAGTTTCGTGACCCATACGGAGCATAATATTTCGAGAAGGATATCGGCGTCGTGAGCTCAGCAATACGCATTAATTTTCCGGAGAAGTAGGCATGGGGGGGGACCTTTATTAATAAGTAGCAGTGATCAGGAGAGGTGCAATCGAGATCAGAGGAAATTAGATCCCCTGGCCGTTTCCCTCCTGAACTGACTGTTCGTCCGCCGCATACTGCGCTCACGACTCCGATCTATATCCATCAGCGCTCATCAAATCGAACCTCTGAACACACAATTCGTACACGGAAAACAAGCTCTCTTTTCTAGGATTCTATCCATGATTTTCGTGTGCTTGGATACTTGGTGGGCAGACGCAGGAAACTCCATTCGGTTTAGTGCGCGGAGCGAAGAGAGTCCCCGACGGACTCCTCGTTCTACTCGATTACGCTGTATAAGGCCTCGGGGCGATTTAATATTCATGATGCGTCGGCAATCGAGATTATCAGAATCAAGGAATCTCGGTAGGTAGGGACCGCCCTCTTCTGCAAGGATTTTCATCAAGGATCATCAAGTGCCTTCAGCAGACGGAGCTCCCTGCTCCATTGAACTTCTCCCGCGTCATCCCTATACGAATATTTCCATGAGGACAAATCTTCGTGATCGTACGCTTAATGAAGCAGGTGGCGGAGGGACAGGTTTCCCGTCTATCCCCGTACAGCCGACCATAGCGCGCCCGCCACCACACCAGCAGCGGCGGCCGCAGGGTTGCTCGAGGCCAATTCAGCATCATCAGAAGCAGACGGTTTCCCTCTCACCCCTGGGAACACTTCCATAGACACTCCAAGTCACTCGCTCGCGCCTAGCGGAAACACGAGGTCGTGCGCGATTCTTGCTGTTGTCGTGTTGTAGCAGCAGGCCGGCCAACGACAATCGAGTGACTGCGTGTAGAGCGATCAATCGAAGAGAAAGAAGCAACAGTAGTCTACGGTGACGACAGCGACTGCTTCTCTCCACAGCTTAGGAAGTGGCAGCCGAACTTTCTGCGCCAAACGCTGGGACGACACCGTGAGGAAAACTCGATCACACGCCTCTGAGTGGGAGTGACAACAAACCGCGTGCTTCAACGTGCTTCCTGTTCGATACTGTAGTTTTGGGCCTGGGAACTTAGTGTTTGACCTCAATTTGCTGTGGTGTGCATTGGTGTCTGAGTCCGACTACGAATACCGGAAAAGAAAACATTCGCCGGAACACATGGTCCAAGAGAGAATTCGGTTTCGTGAACTTTCACTCTCGACCGCGTGCTGAATCGTATTCCTCTCTCCGCCGACCGCTTCTTCAGAACTTATCTCAGGTGAGCATTAGATAGAGTTCCCTCAACAGTGCTGTCGAGTCGCAAGTCATCTGGAATATCGCAGACCGGAGTCAATCTGTTACATCTGTTTCTCCCGCTGCTGCCGCTGCGTGCTGCTCCTCGACGACGACGACGGTGTGAGGCTATTTCGAATCTACCGCCATTGGGGGACGAGCGCGCCCTCTACCGGCTCTTGGTGACTTCTCTCTCTCCCTCTATCCCTCTCGAAGCACGGATGGGTCCATGGTAGCAGCGGCGGCGCCCAATGTGTATGTGTCTGGTGTGGCGTGGTTGTGGTACTTGTTCGTTGTAGAAGAAGAAGAACAACAGCACCACCAGCAGTGAAGCAGCATCGGAAGCGCGCGTGTTCACAAAGTGTATTCACGTGTGGCGTGTGACGATCCAGCGTGAGCGGTGTGCGTCGATTCAACGACTGTCGAACGCTGTCGGAGGCTCGCATTTAGCTGGTAAGTTCCCGGATTTTGCGGAACGCGGGCTCGCGAACCAACGGCGCTACGTTGAGCTTCGGACCACCGGACCAAACACGAGGCTTGTCGCGGCTTTTGGTTAGACTCATCGAGTTCGGCCCCTTGACTGTCTCGTTCGCCGTTTGGAACGGCGCGTTTCTCCCGTGACAGTTCCCCTTGTGAGTTGTCATCGTCTCGTGAAGAGAGCGTGGATTCTCGCTGATGGTTTTCGGAAATCAGAATTTTGGATCGCTTCGAGTTTTGACGATCTCAAGGTTACTCGTGCGCGCATGGCCCGAGCCAGGTCGTTGCCGCTGCCGGCGTGTCGATGTTCGTCGTTCCGATCGCCGTAGATTTTAAGTGAATCCTCTGCGCGCAGCTGTTCGAGAAAACGGATAAGTCTCTCCGTTAGATTCACTGAATTCCGCTGTGGAGCCGAATGCGGCAGCCGTTCTCACAGCGACGGCGATCACGTTATGCTTTGCTACGTTCCATCCCTACGGATAATTCTCGATGCAGCCGATATGACTTCTGAACTCGATCCAGACCGAAATATTGAGGGAAACACCGGTTCAGGCTAGAGTCTTCCACCAGAAGGCGCGAAGACGCGAAGACGCGAGAGAAACTCCTTCGTACGTTCACGCCGAGTACCAAAGGACCGTTAGGTCGGGCCAGTTTGCTTTACTGCTGTGGCCGCTGCTCTTCCGGAGCGGTTGGTCTCTAGATGCTGACGACGACCACGGCGATTGTGTCCTCTGCTAGCGACGAGAAACAACCTTATTGAACTAGTTCGCTCTGCGCGTGGTGTCGGTGATTTCGTCAGAACGTGAACTCTCGGGCTTATCGTCTGTTCCTGTATTCCTCTTCGGGTGGACGCGCATTGCCGTCCGCAGGTCTCATCGGGACTCGATCGGAGCTCGGCTTCGAATTGCTTCGAAGCATGCCGGCCGTAGAGCATCTGAGCTGGAGATCTGTCCCTTATAGTAGTCACCTCTAAGTTCAGTGGTTGATCTACGGTGAGCCTTCAAGGTTGGTTTCGCTCGATCTCGCGATCGCTGTCGAAGTTCGCTGGGTTTTCCCCAAAAAACATCTCTCACCTATCGGTCGAGAAAGTTTCGTGGTCAAGCATCGGAGTGAAGTCGAATTTCTCGTGTTGCCATCGTCAGCGCGGATCTAGGACTTAGAGTCATCCGAACGATTGAGGAGAAACATTGTTACATCCGGTTGGTGGATCATTCGAGAATCGCTCTAGTATTCGTCCGTCAAGTCTTGCTGGGCCTTGTACCTGGCTCTGATTTGATCTGGCGAACGGTCCGTGCTCACCTCGATGCGCTTTCGTTTCTCTCGCTAGGTCCCTCTTCGGGGAGCGCGAATGAGGGATCTTGAGGAGAGTCCGTCAGCGCTGTTCCAATTCACGGTGACGAACATACGCTTGACACGCGAAGCGTGACCGAGCGCTGTACGGTCATTCGGCATGCACGTTCTGTCTCAACGTGTCTCAGCAGTCGAAGTGATTCACAGGAAAATTTAGAGGTGCTTTGCTCTTGCAGAAGCTGGGCAAGAAGTATATGATGTCGTCGGCAGTCAAGTCTCAAAAACTGATACTCGCTGCCGGAGCAGCTTGTGTCCTCGCGCTAGCGGTAGTCTATGTGCTCCGCATGCAATCGTGTAACAAAGGTAGAAAGCAGAAGAAGAAACCACAACAAGAGCAGGTGGAGCAGCAGCAGCAGCAATCGGCAGAGTGTGAGGAAACAAAGGGCGATGCTCTCGAATGCTCATCACTGGCGTCGGATTGCCTCGACCAGCAGGAAAATGAGTGCATGCAAATTTCTGCGATAGTCGCGCCTGAGACAGGCGCTGATGACTTGCGACTCGACTCCGGCATCGGGAGCCCAAAAGGCACCCCTTCGTTAGAGAATAGCGAACAATTGGTTGAACAGGCATCCGATTTTATTGAAGAGGTACATTATTGAATTCATTATTTTCCGATATCTTGCTGTACCTTCATAGTATCGATCATATCCTCTTCTTCGTGGTGTCCCTCTGATTCTCTCGCATTAGAGAAATAGATTAGCAGACTAGACCGAGAACAGAGAATCTTAATCCCATGACACCCCCGAGACTTCGGAGAGGGGCTCGTGATTCCCTCGCAACTCTCGAATTCGACAGAGCTGCATTGGTGCTCATCAAAGTACTTTCTTCACAGTCGTTCAGCGCCGTGTACTCGCAAGCCAACGGGATTGACTCTTCGTCGCTCTTCGTTGAAACCTCGACGATTTCGATCGAGGAGTCTGAGCTTCAGCGGACACAGACGACTCCGAGACCAGAACCCAGTCCTCAAGTGGCGGCCGTAGCTGCTCTAGGGACGGCACTGGGAGCGATTTGTCCGGAAGTTGAAGAAATAGTCGCGGATATTTGTAGAAGCGCAGCCGCAATCGACATGACTGAGAAAGCCCCAGAAGCCGTCGCTTCCCCCGCCGAATGCCCCACGGCGGATGTTGGTGACTCTGCGAGCGCCGAGATCGCAGAGCCTGCGAAGCAGCTCGAGTCCTCACCGGGCGCCTCGCCCACTCGCGAAATCAGGAAGAGTGTCGCCAAGAAAGATGGTTCCCCGGTGAAAGAGAAAGTTTCCCGACGCAAAGCGGCCACGCGTAGCAAGGATCACATAAACAAGGAACAAGTCGACTCGAGTTCTTCGAAGGCCAGGAACAACAGTGACGATCGGAATAACAACAATGCCAGGAGACAGAGTACAGAGAGCGATGTTGTCACCGACAGCAAGAGTGAGGGTAGCGCCGACTCCTCTCAAGGTGAGATCTCACTTTCAATTACTCCAGGTAGCTACTCTACATCAGGAACGTCGCAGAAAAGGCGATTTCGTTCGGACAGATCCGCCAAGCTCCTAACAACGCCCTCGGTCTCATGAAACGCATACTTGATCTCTAGCCGGCAGCGATTCCTGTCCCTCATCCGTGACCTCGGTGCTCTACAAATTCAAACACGAGTTCGAGCTCCCCGCGGATCTTTGCGGTCGTCTTATCGGTCGACACGGCGCCAACGTCAAGGATATCCGCGATAGGACTGGAGCGATTGTCACAGTTCGACCTCATCCGATAGACATCAGTCTCAAACAAGTCTACGTGGTCGGCAAACTCGAAGAGAGTGTCAAGCTGGCTATGGCGGAGATTCGGAAGAAGTGAGTATCCAATATTCAAAGATGTAGTCGGACCGGCGTAGTCGCCGTGGAAGAGGTGCATGACTTACATCTTTCTATCATCGTTAGCATCCGCTCGAGTCACCGTAGGGGGCCCATGCTGAACCCATTTCTATTTTAGGTTCCCGCTCAAGCTTTATCCTCACTTGACGCTCAGTCCGATGGACAGACAGAGCCTCGTAGGACTTTCCGGACTTACACCGAGGTATGAGCGAAGCGATAACCGGTTAAGGTTTCACTCTGAGGGCTCTGAATAATTTTCGAGATTGTCATCGGCGCTGGAAGACTGAGCGTTCGGTCGATTTCTCCTCGAATTGAGCAGCTCATTCCGAATTTCAGTTATCTGAGTCTTCCGGAGGACCAAGACACAATGGTCATCGTGACCGCGATGGAAGGATGCAACCGTCTCTTCCTGCAGTCTCCTCAGAACACAACCTACGATCTGTTCATGCAGCTCGAGTTGAAAATGGCCGCTGTGCATGGCGCGCCTGGCGCCGAGCCCCCTGCGCTCCCCGAGAATTCCCTCCGCCCCAACGCCATCTGTGTCGTTCAGGATAGTTTCAGTTGGTACCGAGTGGCAATCGATCGCGTCATCAGTCGCGAGGAAGTTCGTGTGAAGTTCGTCGACTACGGTGGCTTCGACGTCCTCCATCCGAGTCGGTTGAAGCAGATTCGCTCAGATTTCATCTACATCCCTTTCCAAGCCATTGAAGTGATCCTCGCCGACATGGAGTCTCCGAATCCCGGAGGCACTTGGCCGAACGAGTCTATCAACGCGCTGAAATCGCACGCTGACGAAGCGAATAATATCGTGCTCGCTCGTGTCGTCGGTTATTCGGGATCTGTTCCCTGCGCCCAGCTGACTTGCATCAATCGCGAGAGCGGCGACAGATATTCCTTGAGTCATCAGCTGATTTTCGAAGGCCACGCCAAGAGCGTCACCGACTCAAACCGGAGCTCCCCGAACGCAAGCGGATCCGAGGGTTCGGAGTGTCCGACGTTTTCGCAGGCGGATTTCCCCCAGCTGGGTGCGACTCCGCAGACTTGTTAGCCGTCGTTTCGATACAAAACGCGCTCTAAGTGATTCGCCCACGCTCTGGTGGTCAAACAAACCAGAAAGCGTGATACTCCCATTGGTTCATGGTGCGAGAAGGTCGTCATCGAGTTCTCGCACCCTCGGATGGTCTCTGAAGGATCACCGATGATAGGGATGACCTCGCTCTCGAGTCTTCTTGTTTTTTCACTGTACATACTGTGTGCGGCATGCTCAGATAGGAAAAACCGAAAAAAAAAACGCCTCACCTCGAAGCACCGCGACTTTAGCGGCGACTCCAGTAGGCTCTTTCCAACACGGCCGGGTGGGAATCGTCACCGTGCAAGGAGATCGCCCCCACTAGCGGACGGCCGCTTGCCTGGTCGCAGAGACTTGTCTGCGGAACCATTCGTTCGGAGTAGCCTTCCCGTCGGGTGCATCTGCGTGGCGGCACATGTAACGGTCACGCGAGTCGTGACTCCAGCAACTGCAGAACGTGTTAGTGAGTGAACTGCTGTGAATTTTCGCCTTCAAGCGAGCCTGCTCGCGAGCCAGTAAGCAAGCAAGCGAGCGAGCGAGCGAGCGTGAGAATGAGTGAAGGAGTAATATAGATGCTCATTTCGTCGGAGGTAGTTCTGATCCGACGCCTAATGAGCGGAGAGGTTTCTCGCTCGTCGAATGCCGATGCTGCTCCTCCCGTTGAGATGTCGACGACAGCTGCGGCAAGAACAGCAGCAATGGGTACGGCGATGGAGAGTATGTTTGAGATAGTTCATGTTGATGATGCGGTACCCGATGTTTACTTTCTGATGAGGAAATGAAAGACTCCGTCAGTCGTGTTGTAATTAGTTTCTTCTGGGCGCACGACAGGAGTCGATTGTAACAGATATCTATTCTTGAGACTAATCCGAGCTGAATAATACATAACAGCGAGCGAAGGCGTGGAAGTCCGTCTGTTTTTGGACGGCGATTTTTTGCAGAGACGGTTTGGTAAACCGATGATTCTTACTCGGAAAAATCGGTACAGGTCGAAGCAGGACGTCGAGAATTTCGAAAGAGATTGACAGAGGGAGGAGAAAGCGCAGACGGAGAAACTAAAAAAACGAATGCACAAGAATCAAGTTCACCTCAATATGGTAATTATTATTATTATTATTATATCATAGAAGATAGAAGATCCGCCTCCTTGAGAGCGAGTTCCAATGGATGCACGAAGATGGAGCGGGGCGGTTTGAGTAGCAGCACGGTTTCGCCGGTGAGTTTCTCATCCGTCACACCGGGGATTCCCATCTCAATGTACAGATCGATCCCCGGAATAAGTTTCCGTGTTTGACATCCCCGAGGGTTGAGGCCGCGACTCCTCACACTTGCATCTTTCTAAAGATCTGCGGAAGTACATCTGAGACTTCTGGTTCGATTCAGTCCGAGGAGGAGCTCCTCCGGGGCGATCGTCGCTCCCAGTATCGGGAACCATCAAGGGCTGTGGCTCTCAGACTGCTGCCGATGTCGATTCCGCTCCGGGTTTCCGTCTTCGTCCGCTCATCCGCTCGCTCCCGTACTGAAACAATAACTACGATTCTGTGGCAAGGGGCGTTGATTGAGTCGTCACGTGCGGTTCACTCATCGTGCTGGAGACACGAAAATCAGCTCATGAGGACCCTGGTCGCTACATTGAATGCGCAACTTCTCGAGCGGATGAAGAAGATACATTATGCAAAAACAAATCATTGGGAAATCGCCAAGCCCCGCAGTCGTAGTACGCGGCCCGAGTTCGCACTGTGTCACTGAATTCTTCACAAATCACCATTCGGCTCCTAGTGGATTGCTCGCCATCATCGCGATCGCCTAGAAGAAGCCCGACGGCGGTGCGGACTCGGCCGCGATTGAGGCCTAACTTCCGACGATATTTAGCGTGGGGGAAGCCCCATTTGAGCGAGAACTTTACATGAAGGAGTCATTAATTTTTCCATCTCAAACGATACAATGATGCTTATGGGTAGTAACGTCAGCATGTAGACTGGAGAAAATGCCAACCGATGTCGCAGGAGTATCTCTTAGGAACTCTTTATCTTCGATCGACATCTTCCTTCTTTCTCTGTGAATTTCCTAAGCGTCGACGACGGGACGTTGAGGACTGAAAGAAATTGGCAGGAAGTGTTCCAACATTTTCGACGGAAGACAGCTCATGAAAACAGTAATCAAACTCTCAGTTCGACTCCTCAACTCCGGGCAGAAACTTTTCTCCTGAAAAAGTTAAAAGTGAGACAAAGGAAGGACGATATTATGAGATGAACATTTAATATTGTAGTTAACTTCAGCGGCACCGTAGAGCGAATTCTCGTGAGATCATTTTGTAAATAAAAGTTGTGCTCTGTCGAAAACCGAGGACATTCATTTTTTCACTGCTCATTAAGTGCATGTCTATTCTCGGCTCGCAGGAGCTTGTGCGAGCATGCGAGGAACAGCTCCCGCTGGAGCAAGCAAAGCCCTCAGGTCTTCTCACAGTCAGCGGCAAGGTTGACGATCCAAGGTTAACGAGCCGATCGATCGCGATCTCCGAACTCTCTAAACTCCAAACTCACTCGACGGACCGCGGATGTCTCTACTTGAGGGAATATCGAGAATACTCTCTAGCCCCTGGTGTTCCATCTCGCGGAGATCACTGGCTCCCGGATTTGCCGCCCCTGAGTACGCACGCATCCTCCACTAATTCATTGCCCCCTTCGACGAGCTGGAGAGAAGTATGATCTCGGATAGCGTGATCGATCTCTCGTCGATGACTCTCATAGCTCGCTTCGCTAATTAGCGGCGATGACCGCGAGAATCCTCGAGAAGAAGCCTATGGACTCCTAAAAACGGAGTAGCCAGGTCGACTCGATGGTAAAGCAATTTTTAGCGGCTTCGAATCCTTCGAGACGAGCTGAGCGCCATCTCGCGGTCATTTCCGCTCGAGCACTCCCTCCTGTGTATCGTACTCCTGGCGGCACACAACAACGACGACGAGCTCGGTGTCGGTTAGAGACTCGTTTTCATCTTCTCGTGCTAGTCCTGCGCCTTGACCGTCGAAGTGTCCTTGCTGACGCATGCAGACGGCCGCAGACAGAGTCGCCGACAGAGAGAGCGATCCTCGGAGAGAAGTCAGCATCTCCGGAGAGCTCCCTTGAGCCGAAGCTTTTCGCGCGTGAGCTCCTCGCCAGCTGGGTTTGTTGCTGCAGATCCGGAAACGAAAAACTGAAGCTCCGAGGAGTTCATCCGAAGGAAATGGGAGATCGTCGGGTGCTAGGTTTGGTTCTGGCAAGGTCTGGCTCAAAAGGTGTACCGTGCAAAAATCGTAGAATGATAGCCGGCCGGCCGATGATCAGTTGGGTTCTGAAGCCGATGCAACACTGCAAGCTCATAGATGAAGTTTGGGTTTCAACCGACGACGAACAGACGGCAGCGATCGCCCGTAGTGAAGGAGTCAACGTTTTCATGCGTGGAGAGCGCTGCGCGACGGACGAAGCAAGCAGTGTCTCAGCTGTCGACGAGTTCCTCAAGCAGAAACCCGATTTCGATTTCGTAGTTCTCGTGCAGTGTACGGCTCCATGCCTCCATCCTTGCTATTTGGACGAAGGTGAGATCTTCTCGGATGACTCTAATGCTCGAAGTGGCGAAATGCGGACAGTCGGGACATCCCTAGGTCGGAACCGCACCGCCGCTCGATCCAGCCTCGCTGGCTCTAAGCGGCGGAGCGTAAATGCAATGAATAATCGACTTTCCGATCGAACATTGTCACGCAGGTCTCCAACTGGTGCTCAACGGCGCATACGATTCAGTTTTTTCGACAACCCGCGATTTCAAATGGCGATGGACAGAATTGGGGAGCGACGGCACAACGAGACCGCTGAATTTCGACCCAGCCGTTCGGTTGTGTCGGCAACAGTGGGCTGGAGAAATAATCGAGTCAGGTGAGTTCCCCATCGATCACGTTCCATTCTTGCAAATGACAGCGGTCGAAGCGCTTTCAACGGCCGGAGTGCGCCGGCCGCACCTCTCTCCGGAGGGATTCCGCGTCGGCGTTCTCTTGATTCGGAACGGAGTTGGTTCTCATCTGTTCCCATTGACCCCTCAGGGCATTTCTACATAACTCGATGTCCGCTGGCGAGGAATGGGATCCTGCAGGGCGGTCGGTGTGGTTTTGTGGAGATCCCGAGCCATCTATGCGTCGAGGTGGACAGCGATGAGGACTTCGCTGTGGCCGAACAGAGGTTGCAGAAGTATGGCTACAAAGACAACGAGGTGGTGCTAGATGCTCCGAGAGAATTTCAGTGAATACTATCTCCGTCTCTTCTGGACGGGTTGACACCCAACGATGAATGCCAGCCTACAACGAAATCCCCCAGTGTTGGCCCTCGCGTACAGATGACGGCATGTGAGCGTTTGGATATGAGGAAGTCGTTTCGTCGGAGCACAACCCATTTCGTGGACCATACTCGGGATTTCGGGACCAAACCTAAGGTCCGAATCAGTAGTACTCGCTAGTAGCACTCCAAAGAGGGAGAGTCTGTCCGAGGGTCTCTGAATGATTTCGGAGCCCCTGAAGCGTCCAGCGGCTGACAGCTGTTGGGAAAAAGGAGATTTTATATCAGCACTGCAACGAATTCGAGAATCTTTGGAGATCTCCGGAGATTTGTGAGTTCGCCCCCATGGTGATCGACATCAGCTCATACTAGTCACAAGTCATCGCGGTCTCCACGTCTTGTGACGGCTCGGAGGCGTCGCGATTCACGATGGACACCGTCTCGGAACTTCGGCAGATAAGAATGGGTGGCTCAAGGAGTCTCCATATTAATCTGTCTGAAGCACGCTGGCTCGGATGTTCTCCATGGATATCATGAGGATTACTCGCGTCAATGTTCGAGCGAGGAATTTCAAACGAAGACTCCTGATTCTTGATTGATCATCATAACAGTTCCATTGATATCGTTTATTGGTTCTCCACTTCCTTCTGTAAAGCATTGAACTGAAGCTCAAGAATGCTTCGAATATCGTCCTCCTCTCCAGCGACAGTAATCACAATCCACTCGTTCGGTCGTCAGGCAAACAGGCAACTGATTCTGTATGTATACGTTATGAAGGAACGATCGCACGTTGGCGTCGATCCGTTTTTCAACAAGTAGTGTATCTAAGGCGTTTTGTCGCTCACTGCAACACGCATCTTCCATCGAAAAATATATATGATCAATGATCACTCTGTCGACGGTAAAATCTTCACGCCGACCGGCTCTGTCTATACCCATTGCGTCTCAGTCCAGCGAGGAACGAGCCGATCATGAATAAAATCCGTTCGATACAGCTAATTCCCGCTTTCACTGTTCATGGATTCCGAGCGTGGACCTCTGGAATGAGTTGACTAGATAGACGGCCTTCTCGAACTTGAGTCGCCGCCTCTCGTGGAATCGTAAATGTTACGTTTTTCAGTTTTAACACTCTCTTTACACATGTTCTTATTTTACATTAAAAGCTTATTTTTAAATCAATGAGCAGCATTTGTTGGTACGCGTGGGTTCAGCGTTATCGTCCGATGTCTCGACCTGCAAGCGGTTTCGTTGAGCACCTGCACCGGTCGATTGCCGTCTGGCGCCGTCACGAGCTCGCTTCATAATCATTTCCTTGCACAAGTGCAGGAACACTTCGGTTATACCTGAGCGGAAAAGGAGATCACTCGGAAATTCAAAGTACGAGCAGGCATAATCCGTAGCGCCAGGCATCCGATTCACCGTTTTCTGGATCGTGAGCTCGATCCTTAACTCACCCCTATTGAGCTTAGCAGAAGTCAGAAAATGAGCTGCTCCAACAGATTTCGCATATGATTCCGCCTCATGCAAGGGGACCGATCGCTCGCTTTCTAGATCGCTCTTATTGCCTATCACCACGAGAACCACCTGTTCGAAAATGGAGCGGAAAGATTTCCGCTTTTAAAATCGCTTCCTCAAGGTGTAACAAATATTCATCGCCGACATGACAGCGAGATATCAATACAGAAATGATGTACTTTATTTGATTGAAATAGCACCTACCTCGTTCCCGAGCATTTTCTTGAGTTCCTTCACCCAATTTTTCACTTTTCGGAAAGAATCCTCATCGGTGATGTCGTAAACTAAGATTGCACCTTGCGAATCTCTGTGAATTCCGGAACCATTTTTTAAAACAGGATTCATCTCGATATGAGAGCTATTTCGAGTGAAGCTTTTCCTCGCTCGATATTTCGGACTCCGATCGCGGGCACCGTAGCTCACCTGTAGTATAGAGGTCCCAGCGCATGGAACATCTCCTGCCCGGCAGTGTCCCATATCGCCAAGTCGACTCGTTTCATCCCTAGAGCTACTGTTTTTGTCAGATATGAAGCCTGGAAGAGGAGAATTAAATCTCATCGATGCTTGTGTCGTGTTGCAATCAACCGAGACCGCCGCAATGAACGGATTCATTCTGTGTCAGATTCCAGTCTCAACTAGTAACGGCGAGCTATGAAGCCGAGGAGCTAGTGTAGAATACGGTATAGTAAGGATTCACTCACGTTGACAGTTCGATCGAGTCTGTCGTTGAACTTGTCATGAACATAGCGGAGAATGAGGGATGTCTTCCCGACTCGGCCTTCTCCGAGAAGCACAACCTGAGCACGGGAAATTCTTTCTATAAAGCCATGACATTTTCCTGGGTATTGCTCGCCCGGCGATTATTCGCACGAGGGCAGCAACATACCTTGTACTCGTTTTCGGTGCCCATGGTTCGTCTTGTGTCCTTTGGCGTTTCCGGTGTCGCCTATCCTTCTGTGCGCTACACGAAAGAGACACGAGCGAATTAAGGCGCTTGCCGTTTTCTCAACGGCCGAGAATATGACATAATGACTAATAGTACCCGAGTCATGTCGACCTCGGAATCCCAGCGGGACACATGCTCGAGAAAGAGTGAGGGCGATTGATGTACGCAGCGCGATATCATGTCAGGCACACGGAATTGCTTCAGGGTCCGAAACTCTAGGGGCTTGGATAAAACGTTCACAAGGAGACTCGAGAGTCCACCCTACCGCCGATGCGTTCACGTCCCGCTTCATTAGATTGCACCCTCAGGGTGGAGCCGAGGGATATTCGACAAAACGACTCGACCACGTATGTGAAACCTCGTAAGGGGAACACTCTATTCGTGTGGACCAGATGTCACCATTCTGATCGATGAATCGAGGCTCTCCTTCCCCGGTCCTTCTTAATTTCTGAAATCAATGTGCGGGAACAAGGGTCGAACCGCCGAGGCGACAGTGACGAGTGCATCGAGTTGTACCAAAGAGCTGTCCGAGTCCACCGCGATTGTGTGTACGGTCGAATGTCTCGAATAGCAAGATGGTATCTAAATGCCGATTCATGATGACTGTCAGCGGTCTTTAATCTGTTGCGGAAGCCCACGAGTTCCCGCAGGCTTTACTCGAATCTACGACACCGGTGCTCGGGAATCGAGACGCTGTCATGGGAGCCTATTCACATTCTGGAGTGTGGGCAAAGGCCCATCGATGAGCTCTCTGCCTCCGTCTAGCTCCTTTAGCACGAATTTCGAAAGTGTCACGGTACAATATCGCCAAAATCCGGATAGCACTTACCTCGTCAGTTTTTAAATGTGGTCGGTGTCTCCCTTATGTAGAAACACCCTCTAGAGTTCCACAGGTCTTCCGAACTCGCACGAGACTGGATTAAGAAAAAGATAGAGGAGAAGGGTGGAGGAAAACACAGTCAGACATTTTGTTGACAAACGCGGGCTACCCTCTCTCAATATGCGAGCGCGGGGACTTCCTCCGTTCTTAATTCTCAAGTCATCAAACCGCAGCTGAACGGTGCTCCTGGAGCTTCCTGGCACGCTCTCAAGGAAGATGAGCCCCCATCCCGTGGGTCTTTGGACTGTACAGAGATCGTCGCTACTTTCATCAGGGAACGTTCCGATGAAGTCAAACGTTAAGCAGTTGAAGGCGAGCCTCTGGACGTGATGCATCGGTATCGTCACGCTTTCCTCTTGAGGGTTCGTCTTCGGGAGTGCGAGACCCTTGTCCAGATGTTCACAGGCCCTGCAGAAGATGTCGTAGAGTTGGTTGTCTCGGAAGGTTGAGGCGATTTTGCGCTGGTCCGTGAGACTCCGGCGAGCTTCAGCCTCGGAAATGTGATTTAATTCGGACACCAGTTGAGCGAGTAGCTGCACTGTTCTAACTCCGACCAAAAGATCTTCTCTCGAAACTTGGATGAACCGTCGCCATTCATCGGAGACTTCGCGTGGAATGGGTACGAATTGTCTTTCTCCTCCTCAAGCCATCCGTTCTTGGTGATGCGAGCGAACAGCTGCAGCATACCCGTGGGTTTCATTTTCTTGGATCCGACTATGGTACACCGCGGGAAAAACAGGAGAATCCGGCGAAATGATGCGCAGCCGAGGAATTCGCGTTTTTTTCCGTGAAGTCCAGCCGAGACGTCTGAATCGTCGAGAGAATGATGATGGCCAATAAGAAAAGGGGCAACGTTGTCATTCGAATGAAAGTTAGAATGAAATGTTAGCTTCTGTCTGCGAAACGCAGGTTTGATCGAACTCCACGCGCGACTCCCTGTCTCAAGGCGGCGATGAAGGTTATCTGATTGTTAGGTTTGGGCAACTTTGGCCCCAATCGCACCACACCCCCTCAATTGTTCATACGAGATCATAAGCATCATTGTCGTCGTGTCCTCTCCCGCGGGCTGGTAATGTCGTCTGTACTGTTTGCACCGGTGTGTCGGTCAGAGAGTGTATTCAGGAGTGTGTCTGTGTTTTGTGTGAGAAACGCGAAGAGAGTCGGAGTTCAAGAAAACTGCGAGCAAGGAAGCCGTCGCTCCGGTAATTACTCCGAGAGTTAGTGACCATCGAAGACGCAACCGCGCTGATCGCTTTGGTGAACAGAGGCACGGAGTACGGCTTCAGGTGGCACCGAGCCGCTGCGAACGTCATGCCAAACCCGCTAGTCTGAATTCGCTTCAATTCCATTCAGAAGAGCTCTGAGGGCATCGGAAGCTCGCAAAATTATGGCGATGGATAGCAGTGAAATCGAACAACTGGAGCAGCTATGCAGTCAGCTCTACGATCCGGCAGCCGATCCGAATCAGCGTCAATTGGCCGAAAAGCGTCTTGTGCAGTTCTCCCACAGTCCCGATTGCCTCAACAACTGTCGTATGCTTCTCGAGCGCGGAAGCACGCCGTACTCGCAAGTGCTAGCCGTGACCACCCTCACGAAATTGGTCAGTCGTACACCAAACCAGCTCTCTGTGCAGGACCGATTGGATGTACGCGAATACATCCTCCAATACCTATGCACTCGTCAGAACTTGGCTCCATTCGTTGTCCAGGGTATGCTGCAGCTGTTCGCTCGCATCACCAAGAACGGATGGCTTGAGGAGGAAAAAGACAATTCGTACCCATTCCGAAAAGTCACCGATCAATTGCGACGGTTCATCCAAGTTTCGAGAGAAGATTGTTTGGTCGGAGTTAGAACAGTGCAGCTACTCGCTCAACTGGTGTCCGAAATAAATCACATTTCCGAGGCTGAAGCTCACCGGAGTCTCACGAAACAGCGCAAAATCGCCTCATCCTTCCGAGACAACCAACTCTACGACATCTTTTGCATGGCCTGTGAACTTCTGGACAAGGGTCTCGCACTCCTGAAGACGAACCCTCAAGACGAAAACGTGACGATACCGATGCATCACGTCCTGAGGCTGGCCTTCAACTGCTTAACGTTTGACTTCATCGGAACGTCCCCTGATGAAAGTAGCGACGATCTCTGTACAGTCCAAATACCCACGGGATGGAGGCTCATCTTCCTTGAGAACATACCAGGAACCTCCAGGAGCACCGTTCAGCTTTTCTTCGAACTCTATCAACACATGGCTTCGAACGGAGGGCTGGCATTGAGTTGCGCAGTCCAGATTGCGTCCGTCAGAAGATCTCTGTTCAATAACATGGAACGCGCCAAGTTCCTCAATCAGCTAGTGCAGGGTGTAAGTGAGACGACAGTTCCGATCTTCATTTCGTCCTGATCTCGAATGCATTGCTCAGGGATCGATGGCTCGATCGTTGACTCAGGTAAATCGATTCGATCGTTCGGGAAGCTGAAATAACGTTCTCCTTTCCCTACAGGTGAGAAAAATCCTCGAGAACCCACGGGGCTTGGAGGAACAGAGCTGTTGCCACGAATTCTGTCGATTATTGGCGAGGCTGAAATGTAATTATCAATTGGGAGAACTTGTTAAGGTTGACAACTACGCAGAAACAATACAACTCATCAGCGACTTCACGGTGACTTGCATCCAAATGCCCCAATTCGGAACCAATACTCTGCATTACTTGCTGAGCTTGTGGCAGCGGATGGTTGCGTCGATTTCCTACGTCAAAGCGACAGAGCCTCATCTCTTGGAGATACATTCACCACGCATCGTGCATGCGTACGTGTCGTCCCGCCTCGAAATCGCGAATAAGGTGAGTTCCGACCCCGATGACTATAGTAGACTCCCGTCGGGAGCGACTCAGCCGAAATCTGTGATACTTGAGAATACAGCATCCGGACCCGTCTATGCGAGGACCATACATGAGAGAAAACAGCGTTCAGGAGGCTTGCTCCCGTCCTGTTCGTGTCTCTGGGCCCTTCTGGAACAGATGCTCTCGACCTTTTCTCGTCCCGGCAGCCCTCGGAGCTGGCGGAGGAATCCGTGCACACCCCGACCCGGTTGCCGGCGGAACTTCAGGTGTTCAATGGGCAGTGATCGACAGCGAAAAATATTTGTAATTCCTCCAGTGAAACTGCAAAAAGAATATGCTGATGGATGCAATTTGACACTGCGCATGTAGGAGGTTTGAGCTCAAAGAGATAATAAGCTTGGATTTGATTTTTTCGCCGACTAGAGCAACGACTTCTGGCATTTTCTCAGCGCTTCTCCGTGGCTGAGATCATCCTCGCGACTTTGGAGAGCAGAGTGACGAACACTTTTGAAACTTCTCACACACCGCCCGAGGCCTCCCATGCACCCCTTGGGCGCTCTTGAACCCTGATATAAATCACTTCTGGAAGGAATCGATTGTATGAGAAGAACCTTGGTCCAAAAAAATCCTGTTCTCGACAGCTCCCTTAGAAGCGGGTTCGACCACAAGCGTTTGATGAGAATAATTATCCGCGACCCTCTGAAACGTCTGGATGAGTGCATCGATTCTTCCTTTTTCCCTTCAGGTCGTTTTGCAAAGCATGGACGATCCTTTGGACGATATCGGAATGGTACAGCAGCAACTAGATCAGTTCTCCGTGATATGTCGCTGCAAGTACGACAAAACGTGCCAACTTCTCGTGCAGATTTTCGACACCACGATTTCAAACTGTCAGTCAGGTACGCCTCGCGCTATCGCAGTCCGCTAGAGCAAAGACATTGTTCGACCAAGAAGGCTGGACTCGAAACTCAAGGACTATCCTGAACGAATGTCGCGCGTGTCTTGCAGGTACTCAAGACAAAGCTGTAGCTGAAGCGCAACTGGCTTGGCTTGTGTACATCATTGGTGCAGCTGTTGGGGGGCGGATATCGTTCTGTTCGACCGAAGAACAAGATGAAATGGACGGACAGATGGTATGCCGAGTTCTCCAACTGATGAACCTCAACTTGCAGCAGAACAGTTCCAATGGCGGACTACCGGTTGCGTCCGAGAAATTGGAGCTAGCCATGCTGAGCTTCTTCGAGCAATTCCGTAAAATATACGTGGGTGACCAAGTTCCTAAGACGAGTAGCGTCTACGTGGCTCTTTCCGAGGTACTCGGCCTCGCTGACGACTCATCTGTTCTCGCAGTGTTCGTGCGAAAAATCATCACGAACCTCAAATGTTGGAGTACGTCGGAATTGGTCACGAACAAAACCCTTCATCTTCTCTCAGAGCTTTCAGTTGGTTATTCGAGTGTTCGAAAGTTGGTGAAACTCGAAGAGGTGAGTCCACATCTCTCCGGCGATGGGGGAAATCCCCCGTGGAATCAATGTCTCTCGGAGTGTTGCTCCTCCGACACCCCAGGATCTCCGACTCACTCCTCTTTTCCCCCACCAGGTACAATTCATTCTGAACAACCACAGTGCGGAGCACTTTCCTTTCTTGGGCTACCCTTCAGGGATCACGGACACACGATGCCGCACCACGTTCTATACGTCATTAGGTCGCATGCTCCTAATCGATCTCGGTGAAGACGAAGAACGATTCGATCACTTCATGGTGCCTCTGACGAGCACAATCGAGAATGTCGGCCGGATCCTCCTAAGTAACGAGCAGATACCCATGTTCAACACCGAGGACACGAAGAAATGTCTCGTGGGATTGGCTAGAGACCTGCGTGGATTGAGCTTGGCTTTCAACACCAAAACCAGCTATATGATGCTCTTCGAGTGGATCTTCCCTAAATACATTCCCGTTCTACACCGTGCCATCGAAATTTGGTACCACGATCCCGTGGTGACGACCCCCGTACTGAAACTGATGGCCGAGTTGGTCCAAAATCGATCACAGCGACTTCAGTTCGACGTTTCATCTCCAAACGGGATTCTCCTATTCCGAGAGACTTCGAAGATGATGGTCACCTATGGGACGCGACTACTCAGTATAGGCGAGGTACCCAAAGACCAATTGTACAGCATGAAGTTGAAAGGAGTCTCGATTTGTCTTTCGATGCTGAAAGCTGCCCTCTGCGGCTCATACGTCAACTTTGGCGTCTTCAAGCTGTACGGAGACTCAGCGCTTGACGACGCGCTGAACACCTTCATCAAAATGCTTACCTCAATCCCGCAAGAGTCGCTACTGAGCTACCCGAAACTCAGCCAAACCTACTACGTGCTGCTCGAGTGTCTTACGCAGGACCACATGAATTTCATCGCGAAACTGGAGCCTTCAGTATTTCTCTACATCATGTCGTCGGTATCCGATGGCTTGACCGCGCTCGAAGCGATGGTCTGTACCGGCTGTTGTGCAATCCTCGATCACATTGTGACATACGTCTTCAAGTTTCTGAACAAATCGAAAGCGGCTAATCCAACCGACGGGGCTACGTGTGTGCAAGTACTTGAGCGGCATCCTGAGATCCTTCAGCAGATGCTAGCTACACTGTTGAACATAGTCATGTTCGAGGACTGCAGAAATCAGTGGTCGATGTCTCGTCCGTTGCTAGGTCTCATTTTGCTGAACCCGGACTATTTCCGGCAGTTGACGATTTCTCTCGTCGAGGCCCAGCCGCCTGAGAAACGGACAGGCATGATGTCCTGGTTCCAGGCGCTAATGCTTGACATCGACCGAAATCTGCTGACGAAGAACAGAGATAAGTTCACGATGAATTTGTCCGTATTCCGAAAGGAGATCAATGAATCGCTCAAAGGCCAGAGCTGTGGTACGCACACATTCAACGAAATGATGAGTTAGGCTCCGTATCCTCCGGAAAGGTCATACTTCCATACACATGTTCAAAAGCCCGCGCAGTGAACCGAGCGCGGAGCCTCGCCGCGAAATAGCGCCGTCATCACCCTGACAGGGAGATATTGCCCTCTGGGAGGAATGAATTGATTCCCTCCCGGCGGTGATGGCATGGTCGCTAGGACCAGCAGGGAGCACAAGGACGACGGATTTATTTTCAGTGAGAGGAGCCGGACCTCGAGGGAGACTTCATTGGCGGAGCGTAGACTCTCACAAGATCAATCTGCAAGTAAGACGAGAGAATGAACCCCTCGGTGAACCAACTTGATCGTTCAAGCAGTCTGATGAAGTGAGATCGAAGAGGAAGAGTCCCGGAAGCATTTAGGCTCATCATATCCCCAGCATTATCGACAACATGAGCTCTGGATGAAGTTCGACAGAGCAGGCACACGAGATACAGATACACTATTCATGCATCATCTGAAGGAATAAATAAAAATCCATCGGTGAGACTTCACCGTTCGTATTTTGAATTATGTTGCACTCCTTGAGTCCTTGTACAAGAGAATACTTTCGGGGGACCACGGCAGCGCGGAGATGATTCATCTTCGGGTTCACCGCTGCTTCACGGCGCATCCCTCGGTTGATAACTCCCCGTGGATCGCTGGACCAACGTTGACGAGCTCAGAGCCGCGGAAGGGGGGGTCGACGCCTCGTGGACCTTCGGCTACCTGTGATCACCCAATAGGTATGCTCAGGTGGCGCCAGCTCCCCGGGGATTGAATCGATGACCCTAATCAGCCGCTTTCCGGAGCTATCTGGGGGTTGCGGAAACCGAGTGCCTCAGCGACTCCGTCCATCAAATTGATCGGAATCATTCGGTGAAGTTTCCTGTTTCAGGAATTATGTACATATATTCATAGCGCCAGGTAAGCCTCATCAGATTATCCGGACGCGGATCGAGCTAATTCAAGCAAGTCGCCTGCGCTCGTGGACTAATCGATCCCCGCCAGGGAGACACCCCGAAGTCTCGTGTCGCGTGGGGACCAGGGGGGTCGCTGCCGGAAAAATACAATCATCATGGATGACTCTCTAGCTCGATCGATCCGGGGAATTCAGCCTGCTGACCAACTAATTAAGAATCACACGTCGGCTCTCTGCGCGGAATTCCCGAGGCTTTTTTACGGAATTCGGGAGGCATATGTTCCACCCGATGGTCCGGGAGCTGGAACCCGAGTTCATGATCCCTGGCGATGGCTTGACGCGGGTCATTTTTCTATAAATGAGTGTGAGGCACCGAGAGTGTGAGGTGTCTCCAGAGTCTTGCGCCCCTCGACAAAATGTACCTCCTACGCGGGACCTAGAGATCGGATGAGAGGAGGACTTTCGGGAGAGAGTGTGTTCGAAGTCGTCTGCACAACATCCAAGATGGTGGCGCCCTTTGTTGCTGATGTCGTCTGAGAGGGCTGTTGTTGGTTTCCCATTCAGACTCCAAGTTTTCTTCTTCGACTAGAGTATCTCGTCACTGAGTGTTCGCCATCCGATCGGCGAGTTGTGTCTTTCGAGGACCTGATCAAATTCCATCGCGTTCCGAGCGATTCCGTGAGCATGGAGAGCGACGATGAATTGGCTTTTGGCATCGACTCGGGTAAGTGACAGCGACACTACGTCGCAAAGACCTCCATCGTACATTGTATGCTCGATCCAGGTCTTCTTGACCCGGATGGGGCGATAATTATCAAAAATCAGGTGGATTTCGATCGGGCAAAGGGTATGGGCCAGTATTTCCGAAGGGTCTCCATCTAAGGACAAGGCCAAGATGTGCTCGCAAACAATATCACCGTCATTCTCAAAGCTGATTCGCCTTTTGCGAAATCGAATCACCGCAGAAAGTCATGATGGAATCGGTGACTTCTTCACTAAGGGTCTGAAGCTCGACCAGTTTCCTCATGGATACGCCGAGCGTCCTATCACCTCGTCCATAAGCGAAATGTGTTGGGCTGATTTTAATTGCTGACTGTAAGGCTTCGCGACGTCCTCGTATCACACAAGGGTGCGATCCGGATGAACTTGGTGGTAGCAATGGTGATTTCGCGCAAACGAAATGGTCGCCATCGACAGCTCTCCGACATTGCAAGCTCTGAGGTGAGAAGAGCAAGCAGTAGCCTTGGGTAACATCGTGTGATCCCAGCTGCGTGGGTACTCCCATCAATACCCGAGTGGCCATACATGACGATGCAAAGGTGGATGGACGTTTTCATTGGTCATGGACGCATCATCACCAGTTCCGTGCAACAAATGCGTAGGAATAATGCTCCGATCCCATCGCGGCATGCTCGACCCTGTCGAATGATCCAATTAGCATACCACCGGGCACCTAGCGGATTAAGGTCGCGAATCACCAGCGTCGATCTTCGGGGGTTCACTTCATTTCCAAATAATTGGTGAGAGTCCTCTGAAAGGGTTGCAGCCCCGAGACTCCGTGAGCTTTTGTCACCCCCCGTCTCGTCGTCGCGCACCCCCCGTCTCGTCGTCGCGCACCCCTTATGTGCGTTTCAATACGAATATCAGATATTACACACTCTGTTCGTTAGAGCGACCAGGCGTCTCCCTGAACTCCGGACCTCACCCTCTGGAAGTGAAAATCGGAGTGCCGCCAGCTGGCGGGGATCTTCCAGAGCCCGGCTCTCCGATCGTTTGAGCGGCTGAGTCGTAAGGAGTCTGAATCGTTGTCTCGTATGATGGGGATCAGGGGAATTCCATCTGCGGCATGGCAAGGTTCGACTCCCGGACCTGACTGAGTGGGCATGGGGTGTCCGCGGAGAATGACCGAAGGGGTGGACTATTCCGAATCGATTCATTGCTCGACTCCAGATTTCCAGATGAGAGACAACGAAAATTTCAGACCTAGAATCTCGCTGTCACTCTTCCGAACGGGATCAAACTGAGCCATGAGTCTGTTGATGACCTCTACCAATTGTTCGATGCTATATCCTGGAGGAGCGAGTCTCAAATTGAATTCTTCTTCTCCCAAGGGAATGAAACCTCTGGAGAAGACGAGGAAATGTGTTTGGAAGCAGAACCCGCCAACTGTCCCGGAGGGAAGCGCGGTGAAGACGACTCGCCCTATCAGGTTCTATCGACTGAACAAATCGTAGACCACATGGTGGAAACAATCCGGGAAGTCAACATGATAGTACAAGTGAGTCGGAGAAGCCGATACCTGCTGTATCCATGGGTGGTTCGATTAGCGAAACCTACGATGACTCGATTCCAGATTCCGCCCACAACAACCCGAATATTGCTGAATCACTTCAAATGGGATCGGGAGAAACTATACGAAAAGTACTACGATGGTGATCCTGAGAAGCTCTTTCAACAGGCACATGTCGTCAATCCTTTCAAAATGTTCCCAATCGGAGAAAAGGTGAGGGACAGGTTCGCCTCGGATGCTAGCTGTCGTGGAATAACCTTATAAGCAGATAAGGATTTTATGATGAGATGGATCAACTAAGTAGTCCTTCCGGCAGAAGCTGATGCCACAAAGCTCAACAGAAGAGTGTGACATATGCTTGAAAAGGGTACCCTCCTGCCAAATGGCCGCCCTTGCTTGCGAACATAGATTTTGTACAGATTGCTGGAATCAGTATCTGACAACGAAGATCATCGAAGAAGGTTGGTCTCGTTATTTGAGCTTATAGCGTACCAGCTCGCTTGCGGAGTCGAGTACATGGCTAGAGAAATTCAAATTTGAAGCGATTCTCATAATCCTTTCATCTGCAGGTGTCGGCCAAACTATCTCTTGTGCTGCTCATGGTTGCGACATACTCGTCGACGACCAGACAGTCATGCGTCTAATAATAGATCAGAAGGTGTGTGACCCTTTTTTTATGCTCATCATTCATCTCCGGGTCTCTGACGCTCGGAGATCGAGAAACCGAGACCCGAGAAGAGGTGTGCACGAGACCACGCTCATAGAACTTGTCTTAACTTCCAGGTCAAACTCAAATATCAGCATCTAATTACGAACAGTTTCGTTCAATGCAACAGACTTCTTCGTTGGTGTCCGAAGCCAGAATGTACCAACGCAATAAAAGTTTGTATCCTCGCGGGTTGATTTCAGAAAAGTCCCGTGGAAGCGAACCGATATCCTATATGAGCCTCACAGCGAAGCAAGCTCGATACTGTTGCTTACATGTTTGTTCTCTTCTAAGGTGAGCTACGTGGAGGCACGGTCTGTGACGTGTCGATGCGGCCATGTTTTCTGCTTCGCGTGCGGAGAAAACTGGCATGATCCCGTCAAGTGTAGTCTTTTGAAGAAATGGCAGAAAAAGTGTGACGATGACTCAGAGACGTCCAACTGGATCGCAGCTAACACTAAAGAATGCCCGAAATGCAACGTGACCATCGAGAAGGTAACCACCATCGGCCACCCAGAGGGATGAACCAGACTGCAACGGGCATTCCTAGACTCTGTCCCCGCGAAATGGAGTACTCTCCGGATAGGCTCATTTCTCCGCTCTATTGCAGGATGGCGGTTGCAATCACATGGTTTGCAAGAATCAGAACTGCAAAATGGAGTTTTGCTGGGTCTGTCTCGGCCCGTGGGAGCCTCACGGCTCGTCTTGGTACAATTGTAATAGGTCAGTAGCCGAGCAAGGGCGCTTCCTAGATCGTGGTATGGCGTATCTCGCCGTCGATTCACGCAGCCCACGGCTCAAATAATTCATTCCATTCTCATCAATCAAGGTTTGACGAAGAGGAGGCCAAGAAAGCTCGGGATTGCCAGGAGAAATCTCGGGCGGCCCTCCAGAGATACCTGTTCTATTGCAACCGCTACTTGAACCACATGCAATCGTTAAAGTTTGAGAACAAACTCTACACGTCGGCCAAGCAGAAGATGGATGAAATGCAGCAACACAACATGTCGTGGATCGAAGTGCAATTCTTGAAGATAGCTGTGGACGTCCTGTGTCAGTGTCGTCAGACTTTGATGTACACTTACGTCTTCGCCTACTATTTGAAAAAAAATAATCAGAGCGTGATCTTCGAGGATAATCAACGGGACTTGGAGAACGCAACGGAAAAACTAAGTGAATATCTCGAGAGAGATATCACGTCGGAAAACTTGCAAGACATCAAGCAAAAAGTTCAAGACAAGCACAGGTGCGGCGTCTTCTTTTGAATGGAGCCATCGTAGAGAAGCCAGTATAAGCCCATGCTCGAGTCAAATCCTCTCGACATCACGTGCGAAATGACTGCATGCCGCCCTCACGTATCTCTGCTCGACTCTTACGTGGACGCCGACTTTTCCTTGCAGGTACTGCGAGAATCGACGACGAGTGCTCCTGGATCATGTGCACGAAGGATATGAAAACGACTGGTGGGAGTATAACGATGAAATCAAGGCGCTGCCCAAGTAACTCAAGTCTGGAGAGGCGAATCATCATAAAATCATTGTATTCGCAATAGTCTTCGTTAGAGTAGTTTCTGTTCGTACGACTTATCGTGCAAGCAGAACTGCGAGGGGCGACCTTATCGAGGTCTTAAGTGTGTCTCTCACAAAGTTTTCGTGATACATCGACTTTTTCGTTCATTTAAATGACTGCCCTCGTTTGTAATTCTGCTCCTTGATGGTTTCCCCGCCAGCTCTACCAGCAAGCATTGAAAGCGATTCTGTCGCTCCTCTTTCGGAACTGATCGGCTAATTTCCGCTCATCAGTCCACGGGGAGAGTCCCTTAGGGAGCCAAAACTGAAACCAATATCGTCTGATGTGAGTTCCGAAGCTAAATCAGAGAGCTGGACATTTGGATGAGACAAGTCCGTTGATAAGGCGCCGTGACCTCGAGTGTTTGTTCAATCTATAGTGAATGGAAGGATTTCGGGCTTTTCAGTCGCAGGGGGATCGTTTCAATCCCGTCGGGTGTCCTCGGTGACTACATTCGGCTGACGGTCGGATTTCGGAGAAACGTGCACCGACGGGCCCCTGGAGTACTGATGGACAGGGAGAAGTGAGGGAAAAATTCAGTTGTTGGTAGAAAATTGAAGAGACGCAGATGAGACGCAACACATCCGAACAGCTAGATAGCGTAATATAATTCTCCGTTTAATCACATTCAACCATCGACTCAGTTCAATTTCCCGAAACGTTTGCCGGTCAATATGCTGTTTTGGCTTACCGGCTCATCATATTCGATCATCTAGATTATCATCATCCGCGGTATGGAGTCGAAAATCTACTGTTTAAACCTAGTCGGACCCTGAAGTTACATGCATAGTTTGTTCATCTCTTCTAATTCGTCCCATTCTCATGGAGGCTGTGAGGAGCGAGGCCGCGCGTGGGAACTGAGGAATATACAGACTGGGTTCCTTTCCACGCTTTTTTTTGGGAAAAAAAACACATGCCGCCGAGGGGGAAATGTTTGTTAAAAAAGGGGAAAAATGGTCCAGGCACAACTGAGGCACAAAATAAAAATACTGTCAATTTAATATGATCCCTGGAGCTCTCCTTCCGTATCGTAAGAGAGCGATAATTAAGTCAAGAGGGATGAGATGAATTTCAGTGCTTCGCATCAAGAATTCCCGGCGGCCAGCTGGGCATCTATGGACCCATAAATTTTTGCGGTGAACTCCCTTGAATGGAAAATCCCTCGACGAGATATGGTACTTGGTGCAGACACCCACTTCGAGCGCAGAAGTGATAAACCCTGCAGCAGACAACGACCGAGCACTCTCCGAATGCTCCAAGGTTACAAGTGGAGCTTCGTAGACTTCTGACTCACCCGATTGAGTGCAGAGGAATCGTGGCGACTCGGGCGACAGATGGATTTGGTTGGGGGAAGATCGATCGCAATGGATTTTGTCCACACTTTCCAATCGTACGATCGATAGACAAGACATCACAGGATAGACCAACAAGATTTTTATTGTTGTTGTAATTGCACTAAACTTTCTCCCATAGGATTCGTTCTTTCTCGTAAAGCCAGCCACGTACACATTCAAATTTCCATCGCACCGAACTGACGGGTTAGATCTATGGCATCGAGAAGCCTGTTGTAAAAATGACCGCTCGATGACGACTTGTTGACAAATCATCCAGAGGACATGTGCCGCAGAGTTTGTTCAACTGTCCGCAGGCTCCTTTCGCGTCTCCAAATATAACAATCGACTGATCCGATTCAGACTTGAAACTAGCACGTCCTCATTATCAATCGTTTGATCCAAGGTCCAGCAAACAATTCGCCGTTCATTCGCACCTCTATCCAGACATTCGTTCAGGCATTCATCCATTCACGCTTCCATCCGCGTCTATGCCCTCATCTTCGAAGCTGATTGATTGATTGATTGATCGATCGTTTTATTGAAAATTGAACGATTATTGTTTCACGACGAATGAATGAGCGAGTGCGTCTCGTTCTTCTACTTTTCGTTTCGCCTCGAATGGTCAATGGCCTCATCAGATTCGCTAGAGCATGATCCCGTCGTTCTCAGCCACATTCGCACGCGAACGATTCGCACTCAATGCTAAGATTAGAAGTTTAGTGAGACCTCAGATAACCCAGATCAGAACTTGGATCCATATTCAATCAGCCGTCACACACATTCGAGGCCATCTCCCACGTGGGAACGAGGGTGAGAGAGGATTATGTATAGAACTAAAGAGAAAATCGCGTTCAGACTTCTCTCCTCAAACCATTCTCATCAAGATTATCATCCGTAAGCACAAGATTTTCCTCATGGTGACGTTAATTCTTCTCCACGATGGCGACGTTATCTGTGTAGTGGTAATGGTATTTGTTGTTGTTTCTCCTCCAAACCGACGCAATCTGTTTACACGATAAGAATCGTCATAATCATAACGCTTCCTTTCATATTCCATCCCCAATCACACAAAACTCGTCCGTCTTCTCATTCATCTGCTCTCGCAAGATAATCAGACTCAGAACATCAGCAGTCTCTTCATCATTACTATTATCATTATCCTCATCATATTCGGCATCACCATTCCCATCACCGGCTCTTTCGCGCAGGTCGAGGTCGGACACGAGATATCGGTTGTTTGTCGTTTCGGAATTTTGAGGCATTCCTTTCCATATTGGGGGAATTCTTTCTCTTGGAGTCCGGAGGCTCAGAATGGGGAATGGGCGATTCTCCACTCATCGCAGCCTACTTGAGAACTCGGCTCAGTTATTTTTAATTGTCATTCGGACAGATGATCTGGAACCATTACGACTCCTCCGCAGTCTTGATGATGCGGGAGTCCGAATGCGAGCCAGTTCAACGTCCCGTCCTTCTCCACGTAAAGGAGAGAATACGGAAAACCCACGTCACATCGTGGCAAAGGCGGTCTCATCTTCTCTGCCAAGCGCCAACAATCTGTTGGCTTCCCAGTTCCGTAACTCCCACTCCAATGTCCGGTTCTCGTGTCGAAGACAAATTCTTGATTTCAACCAATAGAAATGTGCGCAAGAAGGTTCTCAGCAACTCCAACGGCCGCCCTCTCACCCGATTTCCATCGATCAGATGAACGTGCTTGTCGTTGATGCTGTTAATATCATTATCATCGTCGTCCCCCAAACTGCCGCGCCGCTTTCTCGTAATAATCATCGCCCCTACGCTGCCCGCGAGGCGATCGCTCAGAAATGATTTCGACGTCCCGTCTGAATTTCCAGCGGTATACGTAAGCTCACTTCCATGGAGCGGTTCCGCTTCCCTTGTCAACGACGAGCTCAATCCGTTCGACTGCGGTCCCAAAGCGGTCTCAGGGTGTTGTGGGCAAACCTAAATGCTGAACGATGGCATCAGCGATGAACATCCATGTGATAAATTCCGGGAGCTTTTCTTCGGAAGTTACGACCGGTTGATTCATTGCACGATTGGGGGGATTGAATGAATAGAAGCGGAAATGACGTCCTGGAGAAGCCTTCCGTCATATTACTCACAATTTCCCGAGACACAGGCAACCAGGCGCGAACCTCGCAATCGTTCGGCGCTCTCCCAGTCATATTCCAGACCATACCTCTATGGACAAAATAAATTATAACTATAGATAAATGTGCCATCACCAGTGAAAGCATTGCTCAACAAACAACGAAATCACGTGTATGTTCGTCATCAGTCGAATGCTCAGTCCACACCTCGATCTGAACAGAAAAACCGCCGAAACTATCGCCGCTCACACCCAATGCGTACTATCCTTATTCGTAATGAGAGAGTTGTTGAAGAATAATGATGATGAAAAAATCAATCGGCGACTGGAGCTGACGACAATGCAATGTTAATTATTATATATATATATTTAGGTTGTATATATATATATGATCATATATTAACTCCGAAATGAACTGCCAAACCCCTCATTTGCGTACCCATTCAATCCTGCACAATGTTTTTATGTGTTTTTTTGCCATCTAACTCCGGAAAATTCACCGAATCATCCGACCACTTGCCTCTGCATCGTGAATAAATCAATCGATGAAGCTCGATCAGAAATAATTTGTCTAGAGCGCCTCACTCACTCAAACTTCGTTTGCGAATCGCGAAGCCCTCAAAAGTCCCGTGACTGACGATTGATCATTTCGGAAATCATGTTTGAGGCTCGTTTCCGCCTCACGCGGCAGGTAGCCACCAACAACAAACGCTCGTTTCCAAATGATTACGATGTTTCCTTCTTCCCATCTTCCCTCAACAAGGTATCCTCGACAATGGATAAAATTCGCGAATTCGTTCACCTAAGATCGATTGCCTGCAGTCCCATAGTCTAAACCTAACCTTAACATATATATATTCACATGTGGGAGTGAACACATGAATGCAGATATGTGTGAACGCATACGATTCAGTGCCTTAGCGCAAACAGAGGTCTTCGACTTGAGAGGTCCGCCCTTCGATGTTTCAAGGCTCATACCGGGCTCTGAAGGCGAGTGTTCATGAACCTCCCTGTCGAATGGCTCCCGATTGATAGGAAGCATCCGATGTTACTCCCGAGTACGCAAACGGCTCCGAACATATGCGGCCACACACACAGGTATGCATGGGTGCACAGATGGTTTGCAACGTGTTGAAATGTAAGTGTGAACATCGAGAAGTCTAATCACATCCCGCTATATCGAACGAATAATGTGTATGCTGAGCTACGATAACTGCTTGACGAGCCTAGTCCACAAACGATCAAATGTGTTCCAGACGAGTTCCCCTTGTTTCTGCTCGGCATCAAGCTGGAACCTCCAAGCTTGTGAAGTTTGCGAGTTTTCGTAGGTATAACATTGCTAAGTCTTCCATTACGCTCGACTCCTTTATCATCGCACCTTTCATAACACACCATATATGTGTATATTTATGTCCATATATATATCGTACTACATAGAATATCTCCAAAAAAAATTCACTGGTCTCACAGCGAGCAACTCGCCATTCAGACGGCAGCATCGGTCACACGCAGGATTTTTTCGAGAAATAGAGAGACAGCAAAGAAACCTCACAAAATCTGGCCTACTCCTGAATCATCGGATACTCGATATCGTGTCACATGTATACTAGTTTTCCGTGAATGAGGTGTGTGTTTCTCTGTATAAATATATAGTATGTTTATATTGCAAACTGAAATACCGGGATAGCTTCTGCGGTGTCGCATCTTCTCCTGTAACGTGTGACCGATGCGTACCGACGACCGGGTATTCCAATGGTAGGTTGTCACTTCCGTCTCCACTCACCTCATGTGTACAATGATTCTTATCAACAGTAGTTCGACGAGCATTGCTGGCTGCCGCATACCGCACTCTTCCGTCTCTTCCTAAGGGATACTATCCCTTTGATTCCGTCCTCACAATTGAGAACAGCCTTTCCAATCATCGATGTTCGCCCCTCCGAACCCCCGAGCGCATCAACAAATGTGCACCCGACGATTTCCTTATTCTTATAAACTCTCCATACCACGCTCAACACCATTGCCTATAATTGCGCAGGTTGTACACAGATTTATGTACACACACATACACACATTCACTCGGGCACAGACGGAAACTTCCGCCGCGTCAACGCACACAACGCAGCCGATCTAACATATATGGGTCAACAAAAACACGGCTCTCGAGTTGAAAGTAGAACAAGAACAACAGGAGGAGACGGGGTATCACAACTTGTACGGAGACCATTGTGGACCAGTTTCCGCAGAACACACAAGAGCGGCCGGCTTGAGAGACACGTTGACCGCGACAACTGTTTTTTCAAACTCTCCGACGTACGCGTAAGGTTAAAATCGCACGAAACGTTCTAGGACGATTGCAGCGGTTCAGACGGAAGCAAAAGCCGTTCGACCGACCGACGGTTGACTCCAGGCAGAGTATTCCCAGACGGAATCTAGGAAAAAAAATCGGGTCGCACGTCGGACTTTCGGTCCAAGCGGTGCTGAAGCTGTACGCTCTTGCGAGCGCGATAAGTCAGACCATCCTACGTCAGAGAATTAGTCGAAACAGAAAGAATACGACCCTGACGTGATTGAATCCGTGCCGCTCTTATCGCAGCACACTGACGTTTTCCTCAGGATGGCGAAGACAGAAACGTGGAGCGGTTTCCTCGCACCCAGTAAAGTCTCGAGAACATGATCGAGGTCACTTCGACAGAACAAAGGTATGAGAAGTCGAGAACGTCGGAGCAACCGATCGATTCGACGCAATAATCGGTGGCCGTATCCATGGACTGGTCGATCAAAATCACAGGCCCACAACGGGAGCACCTCGTCATTGTGACTTTTTCTCCCGTAGCTTGGATAAAAAATTCAAGTTCAAGCTTGGAGTGATCAATCATATCAGAGGTCCGCGGAACGGCGTCGGAGAAAGGTATTGCCCTGTCGTTCTTCCCGTTCAAACAGTGAGGAGCAGCAGCCAGACTCAATGCGCGCGCGATGATCAAAATGTTTGCTTCTACCGTCATCTTGTTGAAATCTTCCTCAAAATCAATCCAACCTCCCGCAAACTCTCCGTCGAAAATTGTATAGTATTACTCCATACTATTTCTCCTATGCTACGCATCTGGTAACCGTTACCAGTTTGATTTTCAGATCGATTCGACGATCGTCATTCAACTGTCTTCACCGCAGCTAAAAGTTCAATTAGCAACAATATCAATTTCGATTATAACACGTTTGACCGGGTATCGTTCCCATTCATAGTCCTTTCATCTTCCGAGCTCAACTAGATTCAGGCCCTCAGAACGCTTGCACATGGTTCCAAGTTTCCTGTTCCTGGGAGATTTCGATGTTTAAAACATCGAATCATAATAAGGAGGGCCCGACCCTGCGTCCACCATACCCGCAAGGGAATTTTCTTCTCTCTGTTAGTTGTACTGTTCGTTGGTTCGTTTATGAAATGAACGGATGGATTTTGGATTCAATCAATGTAACAGGCTCGTCGAACCAGATCGGAAGTTCGTCCGAGGGGACTTTCAAAAGGCAGTCAGATAGGAAGAACACTGAATGAAACTCACTCATCAGTCGCATCCGACATCTCGACCGTCGAATGGATAAACGAACGAACGAACAAACAAACGTGCAAGAAAGCGGACCGAAAACGTACAATATGAGAAGATGCTTATCGAGGGGCGACTTCCTTTGCTTGTAGTCCATGTTGGAGCTCACAGGCGTCCTCATGTCCCGTCCTCAGGTCGAGGTGTCGTCCTAACTGGTGTGAGATGCTCGACCCTGTTTCGGTATTTCGAACGCTCCCGGCTCGGAAATTCATCGAGAAGAAATAAAGTCGGCTTCAGGTGCTGAAGGAACAGATTGGGTAACGGATGATCCTCAACAACTGAACATCTTCCACGTGTCGGGAAATCGACTCCGCTGAAGCTCTATGCTGAAATCGCGTTCACTCTTCAGCTAAGGCGACGCAGACATCGTATATCCCTGACCCGAGCCCTGTTGCTGCTGCTGCTGTTGTTGCTGTTGCTGCTGAGGTTGCGGTCCGGGCTGGCTCTGCTGGGGGGCGCCCTTGTGCCACGCAGCTGAGTCGTGGGGAGCGGCGCCCCAGACGAACGGGGCGTTCACATGCGTCGCATGCGTTTCACCGGAGGAATGGCCCCCTGAGCCCCCATTATTGGCACCTCCAGCGGCGAAGTTTCCACCAAATAGGCCATATCTGCAATTTTTCCAGAAACACATTAGAACGTGGAGCATGTGGGAGCTGAGGCATCAATAGAGAACAGTGAAGGTGGGGTGGATGAACGCAATAGATGGATCGATGAGAGGATCAATGGCTGACCGATTGATCGAGAACGCTGCTCATCGCCTACTCATCGAGCATCATGAACGTCTTCATCATGAACCAATGGAGTAATTATCGAAAAGAAAGACATGTGGATCATGTGATACTTCCAAAGACCTCTGGCAAAAATGAGGCTCATCTCATACATCGCTTGCTCAAGGTGCTGTCTGTTTTCTGTTTCCGGTTTCGAGTGTCACGAGCGATCTGGTTCGTATTAGGTCCATCGGCTGATTAGCGAAGACAACCGAGGGATGAAACATGACGGATGGTGGGTAAGGACGGAAAGGAGGGCGATCAGCCGACGATCGACGTCATGGCAGGGCCGGACTCGATGGAGAGAAAAAATCGAATTTGACCAGTGTCTGTAGCTGATGCTGCTCGAGAGGATTTGGTATATTCGGTACCGATTTTCATCGATATTGTTATGATGGTAAATTATTCCGACACCATATCGCTCGAGTCTCCCGGACCTCGGAAACATCTAGGGGAGAATATATGTGTATTCCATTCGTCATGTGTAACAAGCGTTTTCCTGGCGACTGGCAAAATTCTTGCGCTCATCAACACTCTTTCTCTTGCAGTCTTGGTGGCAGGTGTCAGCTTATGGTCTTGTGTGTTTGTCTGCATCGGCACGGTGTTGTGAGAGAAGGAGAGGAAAAGAAAAGAAGTGTATGATTTTGCCGCTTTGGAAATACGATACCATACCGCCATTTGAGGACAGCCACTCCTTCCGACCACTTCACGCATTCTGCTCAGCACACTCCGGGGGTCCAAACACAGCCGACTCACATCCAACTCATCTTCACCTTAATACCTCCATTCCAACATCCAAAGGCAGCTGCACAATTCTCACCTATAGCCAGACATTAGAATTGACGACGAAGATATCGCAACTCGAAGCCACATGGCGGTGCTCTGTGGATGTCGAGGCCCTTCCAAAGGTCAACGAGGCCACATGGCTGAATTGCGTCAAGACACTCAAACGGATCGATGATGACATTGAAAGATCACTGAACAGAGTACCAGAGACATTCATACGTCATGTACACTTCCCCGTACCTTCAATCAGGATCCCGTGCCCTCCTCCGCAGAGAAGCGCTCGCTCGAAGAGCTCGTCCGGAGGATTTATAATGCGGGAATTCTCGGAACAATAGTCAGAGTCTGACACGCTGTCACGTGGAGTCGCCTTTTCTCAGCTCGCATCCGAGCCCCAGGGTCGAAGCAGGCGAATTCGTGGGCTGATAAATCTCATTCTACGACCTGATGGACGATTCTATGACCTTACATTCAATCGATCGCGTGGCCGGCACACGTTTGCGGGAAACAAGCGAGCAATGATCATCAGTGACCGGCGAAATCGAAGACAGCGATATCAGCTCAATTAACGACCTCCCGAACCCGATTACAGCTCGGATCAATAAAGTTCGGAGCTTGTACTGGTGTCCGCCTGGTTGGAATCATATACACACTACTATCGCGATGTCCTCCGGAGTTTCTCAAGAGGTACACGAGTCGGGAGCGTGGAGATAGACTTGACGGAAGGAGGAGAGGGGAATAAGCGCGCAAACGAGTTCACTACCCACATAAAAGAAGCAAATTCGCCGTGGAACTCGGTGAAGTATTTTCTCCTTCCATATGTATGACCCTGACGACGCTGGGGCCCTCCGATGATGCTATCGAGAGTGAACTCCGAAGACTGCCTCGTTTTCATCGAATCGAGAAAGTAGAGAGCGATGCTTACTCCTGGGGACGACAGACCCTAGTCGGAACTCGGAAGAGAGAGTTCAGGAGTCCAGCAATCTACGAAGCCGTTTATCGTTGCTCATAACGAGGGGACACCACGATCGTCCTCGACTCACGAGATCGAGGCTGTGGTCATCGAGAGATGGCCACCAGACTTGGAGAGCGTTCCGTTCAGAGGACGTCGACTCATATAGGAAGACCGGAACGAGCGACCACATCGACGATCTCATGCTTTTGCGACCAAAGCATGGCTAATATCTCGCTGATGAGAGAACGGTTTCATCATCACAGCGGACCTAGATGGTACGAGGGAATAGGGAGCCATGAGCTCACACGTTCAGATCAACGAGCGCAAACAGATCGAGAAACTTCGAAATTCTGAGAATAACTCTCTCTTCAAGTCATGGCCGAGGCGGTAGATGGACCGCTAAAGGATGACCGCCACCAAACTCCAATTGACCTTACACAGATACACTCACAGCTCTTCTGCGTCCCACGCATCGGAGCTTCTGCATTTCTGCACACACACCACATATAGCTCCTTGCCAGAGGCCTCCTTCTATGGTTTTCGCGAAAGGATCATGAGGGAGCGATACGGAATTGTCGTCTTCATCAAGCAACACCAAGGAATATCTCAACGAATGACTGAAAAACTGATCGACTAAGCCACCACTCAATTAGGCGACCGAACAACCGGCCATCCAACCGACCGAGCCACCCCCAACGGGTGGGACGAGAAGGACGCCGGACGGAACACCAATCGGAGGAAGCGGAGGACGTTTTGGTCAAGATGTAGATGTGATGTAGACGCTGCAAGGACTTACCCGGCCTGGCCCAAGGCCTGGAGGACCGCGGCCGAATTCATTTGTTGAAGGGAGCTCGAGGGCTGGGCGCCTCCCGTTGCGGAGGGTGCCCCCAAACTGAGTGCGTTCATGCCAAGGGTCGGCGGAGTGGTTGTCGCTCCGGGGTGGCTCAGAGCCTGTTGTGACGTACTTGGTCCCATATCGCGTGACGACGATGCAGCACCAGGGGCTGTCCATGAATGAACTGTTCCTACGTGACCGCTTCCCGGCGGTAGGTGGCCCTGCAAGTGATGATGGTGCGAGTACGAGCTCATTCCGGCTCCGTAGTGTCCCGCGCCCTGGAGAGACAGGGTCGGTTCAATCATCGGTTAGTTCAATCAGTTTCCCCAGAGCGTACTATTATGGGATTTTATCGTGGATTTTCGATCGATCGTCCAACTCACGCGGCTTATTTGTGAACGAGGGTCGGGCTGGGCTATCATGGGATGACTGCTCCGATTGGAGGACATGTGATGGTGGTGCATCACACTCACATTGACGCCTCCTCCGACGCCCATTCCGACGCCCGCGGAGCCCCCGGTGTCGTTTTTCGGTACGGCATTCGAAACGTGGATTGAGGTCCCCTGTGGAATGGATCGAGGATACTCATTCGGGGGGAACCGTCGCGAAATAATGTAACTTCCACTCCGCGTAATTTGAAGACTGAAAGTCAATCAGAATGGAGCCCTTACCTTGATGATGTGATCTTCTCCACAAAGACTCTGTGCGACTTCAGCGTCCACAAACGTGACGAACGCAAACGCTCTGAGGAGGGGAGGGACAGATTACTTTCTTTGGCTCCACTTGGAGCCCACCGGCGCTGAACTCACAGTGGGTGGGATCAGTGTCTTTCATGCGCCAGATGGACGAGAGATTGGGATCAAAGGGATAGGTGGGTACTCACCTGAATGGTTTTGGAATGAAAACGTCAGTGACTTCTCCGAATTTGCTAAAATAGTCTCTCAAGTCATCCGCGGTGAGGTCTTCAGTGCAGCGACCAACAAATACCTGTGGAGTTTGAGCTTCCATTTGAGTGGCAGGTCCAATCAGAAAGCTACAAATCGTTCCGAGCCTCACGTGCGTGCGTGCGTGCGTACTCACCTTCCGACTCAACTCGGAAGCCTGTCCGTCTCTCGAGTTGGGAATTTTGACGTCGCACCAACGGCCATCGATCATGTGTCGTTTCGAGAGAACCCGAATCTGGCTCTCGTATGAAGAAAACCGAATGAAACCAAAGCCTTTCGACTGCTGTGTTTTGGGATCTTTTTTCACCTAAAAGGCAAAAATATTCGATCATTAGGTTCTCATCTGACGCCGAAAATTTCTGGGAAAATCCACCAACAGAGGAAGGAGAGTCGACAGAACGACGAGGTTGCTCGAATTTTCCGAATAGGGAGATAATTAGGAAAGTACCAATGATGAGCTTACCTGAGCCATGAGCACTTCACCAAACGCCTCGAAGTACTGCCGCAACTCTTGCTCTGTGGTTTTCCAAGGTAAACCTAGTACAATGAGGTCCGAGCACTTCTTGGCGTCCGTTCTAACTTTCATCTTCACAATGGGATCTACCGCAGCTCCGCCTCCAGGTGATTCATCCGGTCGTTTCTTCGTGTCTGATGAGCGAGAGGGAAACAAGGTAAGGAGTTGAATCAGTGAAAAATAAAAGGTTAGTCAATATTTCAGCGATAACCCCCCATCGACAACAAGGAAGCTGGCATTTCTACTCGGTGGGGATATCGAGTCATTTTCCTTCTTGCTTGTCGACTGAATTCGTCTATCGGTGCGTGATCTCCGAGAATCCCTCGGATCGGGAATGATCAAGTTCCAATATTACGCAAGCGTCAGTCATAGCGTCAATGATTCATGAGCTGAACAACTCATTCTCCGGTCATTCCGGGCCGTGAGTCTCGTGTGCCCGCGATATTCTCTGCCCCTAATTCAGGCTGGGCAAGAGATCAAAGATTGTGAAGCTTCACTGGATTTCTCCCAGCAAAAGCTCATAGTGATTTCGGGTTTTATGACGCCATGATTGCGATGCGCGAGCAGCTCGGGTATTCGCCACCGTCCACCCTCGGACCCATGCGGACATCGGCCGGAGGGTCACGGCTTTCCACGACTGATCATGATCTCCAACGAGATAGGAGTTCCACCATAGAAACTGATAGAACCCGATCAATTTCGAGACGGGAGCGACGAAGACGCTGCCGCTTCGTCCTCCAATCGACTGGCCAAAGCGTCTGGCTTGGTGATATTGACAGCTCTACGGGGAGACAATTATTATGCCCACCTTCCTTTCCGCTTGTTGCGGAAAGGAAAAAGCATGTTCCCCGTTTCACGAATAGCTCCTAAGCATCGATTACGTCATGGTTGCGCACACGGAATTTCCCGCAGCGACACCGTTGCGTACCCCATCGGCGACCGCATAAAGAGCCACTGGCTCGCGGTCGGGATGACACCGGTCTGCCTTGAATATGACGCTGAGTGTTCCCTGAACAAGGATTAAAGAGGGCAGGGCGCATTATTCTTCTCGAATTTACCCTCCTCCCGCTCGGAGCATTGGTTTATTTTCAGTACCGATCACGAGATTGTCAAATGATAGAAAAAATCGTGGCCCGGTTTAGTACGTGTATGTTGTGACTGAGAGAGTATGCGTATATACAGGGGGCAGTGAAACCGCCAAGGCCAAAACGCTGACAAGCAAGTCAGCAGGCAGGCAAAAGAACGAGCGAGCCTCTGTCATGGCCCGCTAAAACAGCTGACCAGCAGAGCGCTTCATTCGAGAGCGATTATTGCGGCTATGCTCGAATCGAAAACCCCTTGCATAACACGGGCGGAGCTGCCCAGGTGCGAAAAGCGTCCCTAGCCATAGAATCGGACAAACAGTCCAATTGCCATGAATCCCAGTCAATAGAACTCATAAAAATGCCCCGTCAAATATCACGGAGCTCCTCTATCGGCTGTGTAGGGGCAGCCGTACCACCAGCGGCGATGAGAACGGCAGAGGTAGTATCGCGTAGTCGCTGGTGACAACCACGTATTCACTTTGGAACCCCATCCAACGCGAACGAACTCGAGCTGTCCGGCTCTTACAAGAACCTTCGACACCGGGGGGCAAGGTCGATAGAGTTTCGAACGATAGCAAACAAGTCTCCAATTTAGGCTTAGGGAACATCAGCTCACTGCTGACGGTAGAGGCAGCAGTGAGCGATCTGGCTCGGGCGAAAACATCTACGGAAAGTCACTCGGAAGCGAACATTGAGCCCGAGCAGATAGACCGATCAGTCGAGCACTGGTCCACCGTCAGACAGACACTATGGGATTCCATGAACGTGAATGCGAGAGCTCGGAGTAGCGGCAGCAGTAGCAGCCGTAGCATCAGCGGCCCAGTGACAAGTGTCAATATCGTTCGACGATGTTTTTCGCTATTGGGTCGGAATTTCGGGAGACTTTTTCCGCTCTGCAACAAGCAGATGACTCGCGAGACATAAGCGACCGCTGTCGAGTATAACTGCCAGCCCTGCTTCCCGTTTCGAGAGTCGACAACAGGGATACAGCAACTAGGGCCGTATGGACTTACCTTTTGGTACGACACAGTAGAATGTCCTGGCGCCCCAACCACCCTCAGGAGCGCTGAGCCGCCCCTCGACCAACCGAACTCCACGATATGCTCCGGTATCGGGGTTTCGATATTTGAGGCCGCACGCATTCGGGAATTGGCCAGTGAGGGTGGTCAGCAGCAAGGTTCCATCTAGTTCCCCTGGTAACTCTATCGGTTCCTCGCCTTCTTCCTCCGCAACCTGGATGTACACGTCGGACATGGCCTCCTCAAGCTCCTGTTTCGCGCTTAATCTTCTTCTACTTAGAATAACTCGCACAGCTCACACTCACACACACGCACTCTCGAGACGAATCCACCGCACGGCCCTATTTCGCTCCAACGGCCTTGTATATGAATTTGTTTTTGTTTCACTGTGTCGTCAGCAGAGGATTTAGTCTCGCTCTGTCTCACGAGAATCGCGTTTGTCGTCATATGCCCGTTTTCTGTCCACCAATAGGGAGAGGAGGTCCCGGCGGGAAAATTCGAAGCGTGTGCTTATGCTTGGCGCGAGCGATAAGCTGACTGAGACTGACGTTTGCCGCTGAGCTCTACTTTTAACGCATCCAGTTCGGCGACGACTCTGCGGAAAGTCGGGCAGATGTTTGGTTCATGGATGGACTTGGTGACATTCAGAGGAAAATCCTGCTCGAGGTTCAACGGAGAGCTGATACCCTGCTCCGAGCCCGGAAGTAGGATCATCGAGCGTCAAGCCGAATTTCCAGCGTGTGGAGACCTTCTCCCGAGTGAGTCCCGATGATCGCCCCGATCCTTGTCCCGGGGAACTGAATGCCAAAAATTCTCGGAGAATTTAATCAGAGTAGAGCCTCCAATGCCGGTCTATGATCTTCGGGCTAGAACCCACCAGGATCGATATTGGATCGACACATGAACCAGAGAGGAGTATATGGACTTCAGTCGTATCGAGGGACCACTTTTAAGCGGAACTGATGGAGTCCTCGGAATTCTTCACCTCCCAGAAATTCCGGGAGCGGGCTCAGATAACATCATCGTGCCGCTGAGGACGACCCATTGTCGAAAGGTCATCGATTCCGAATATTGCCGCCAAGCTCAGCTGTAGGTCGGATCCAGTTCGAGAGCTCGAGCGACCGGCAACAGGAACTGTATAGATGGACCCGCATATATGAGATACGCATGTAAGAGAACTCGGCTGTAAAGAGACGTATTCCCTTTCCTGTTTCTCGGGCCCATAGACTCCCATGTTGAAGGGATCGTCAATTGGAGGCTCCAAAAATTGGCCTATATGAGAAGCTGGTTTATAAGAGACTTGTTCGCTCTTCCCGAGCAGTCTCTTATGAGCGGGTCCGACTGTACCACGTGATGGAGTCTGAAGCGAGTAATGCACTGGTGAGTGCGGATCAGATGACAGGAGACAAGCAGAAATGGTCCTTGACAGCGGAGGGACTCACACCCCGCCCCAATGGAACTGGTGCTATAAAGCACCGTCTGAGACCGCTCGGCCACGCTGCCTCTACCCGGACTTTCAACGTTGTCTGCAGTCTGCAGCGACGGAATGAAAGAGGCTTGTCAATAATGCTATTGCTCATATTCCAAATTGTGATATTTCAAGTCGACAACTCCAATCGACAACCCCTCGAGGCGATCTCTAAATCTGCGTCGATGGTCACGCCACAATAAATCATGAGCAGACGGTCAGTTTGCAGTCAGAGTACGCTATCAACGTGTTATCTGTGCTTCCGAAGTTTCTCATTTTCCGTCACTCGACGACCTCTGGGGCCTCTGGGGCCTTCTCATCCTGACGTATATGCACGAAGCGGCTCTCCACAACTCGATCGAGAATGCGAGCTGGGAGCTGATCGCCGTCTCTGGCAGACCATCCTCCGTTCTCCTCAAGGACCGGGTGCCGGAGCCTCGACGACGCCCCAGTGACGACTCCCGAGAATACTCCGCACGCAGAGGAGAGGAACGTTGGAAAGTCGATGGACCGACCTCACGGGAGCGACCCGTCGCGTCGAGCTCTTGATCGAGACATTGCTCGAGTTTCTTGCAAAGCCTCGCATTCTGTCTCAAAGACAAATGATAGCTTAAGTCATTTATTGAGTAACATTTCTCGCGGTAACAGGAACATTGCTTTCGGAACATCTAATCATCCGATTCTTCAGCTCGCGAAGCAGTCCGATCATGCAGAAAAAAACCAACATTCTACAAGAGGGAATCACTGCTCGAAGATTTGTAACGAAATGGGGATGACCCGAAGCACCGCCGTGTGCTTTGTGGACTCACAGATAATATGCATATATGTAGACGACAGCTTTTTTTACAGCGTGTGAACAAGCGGTCCGACAATGATAGTGACGTTGCACGGAGCGTTCGAGATCAATGGCAGTCGACACCCTCTTCGATAATTTCGGAAAGGTGCAGACTCAGAAATAGTGGCAGATGAAATGTTGTCTTGGAGGGGAACAGATCAAATGATGATCGAGCGTGCCAACGATGACACCGGGCTGTACGCCCGCTGGAAGCGAGCTGTATCGCTCCTTGTTCGATGGAGGAACTCGGGTATTCTTAGGTTGACGGCGCGATTGATGAAATGCATAATTGGAATTGCTCTTAGCATCCCTCTTTTTGGTTTCCGTTGGTATCCTTCTGTGTTTGTGCCCGCCAGTGGTGGCGGTCTCTGCTAGACCTTGATTTGGTGAATTTTTAGATCGATAATAAGCATCCTGGCTCCCGCTGAACCGTCTCATTTCGGTCTCCTGGTGGATATTCGGCACGAAAGGCTGGAATACAGAAGGGAATGCCTCAGTTTCTCATCCTTTCTTTTTCAGTGATGACGGAGATCGGGATGGCCACTCGATCGTCGTGTTGATCACCCACCTTTTGGTTTTCTCTCACTCGCGGTTCCCACATATTGGCACCGACGCCTGAATGAGGGTTGTAACAATGTCTTCCTCTTCCACTTTTCTGTGCATCGATTCTGACTCCGGGGCATCGAGCATTGACCATCTCCACCCTTATCTTCAATCTGGGCTCGTCGTAGATTTCGGACGGACCAACGAGCTTCTGTGAATGAGGAAAAGTATGTAGGTACTCTGAATGCTACACGGAGAGCCTCCGAGGCCATCGGCTGGGGATAGTTTTACGTCCTCTAGCCCCTGTGGGACAGTCTCGGATATTCCGATCGAGAACGGCCGCCTATCGTGTCACAGCTTCTTGAAAAAGGCTCTCGATGGGAGCGTCGATGGTCTCAAGCACTCCATCGGCGAAAATATTCCCTGCTCTTCTTTCAAAGTACCGCTTCGCCCGCCAAAGATAAACGCGTAAGTCACGCCAGCGTAGCCTATTCTCTATGCGGGTACGTATTCGGGTACGTATTTTCTCAGCTCGGGGCTCGATGCACCGACGGTTTCACAGGTTGGATGGTGCTTGCACATCCGGTGTCCGATTCCCGTATTCTTCGAGCAGTTCCGCTATTTCTCGAGAGTTTGATCGGAAATTCTCTCGCTTAGCCACAGCTCAGAAAAGCGGCTCCGCCTGGGATTATTTTCCCACGGCTTTCCCGAGTGTTTAAGCAGCGTATACTCATTGGCTCTGACAGCCAAGAGGTAGAGCCCTTATGCAGCGGTCATACTTCTTGTGGTGTGCCGGCAGCGGCGGGCGCAGCTATGCTCCTTCTTTAGCTGTTGTTATTCATTTGAACTTGCCGCGGCCGCTTAGGGATAGGAAAAGTGGAAAAACGACATCGACGAAGACCATCACGGCAACAGCGGCAACAAGGACTACCACGATGAGTAGCGCGGAGCGAAGAGAATGAAACGAAGAGGGGATGCCTCAGTTTGTTGTCTAGTCGTCGTCGAAGCAGTTGTCTACGACGATCGCTGCGAGCGACAGACGGACGGGCGAGCGACGAACCCCGGCCGTCGGTCCGGCAGCCTGAGCGAACGAGTGCGAAGTACCAAAGCTCGGTGCCGCCATCGGCATCCACAGCAACAACAACAACGACGATGATAAACCATTGCCGGCGTTGTGAGCCACCATCAAAGCGCCGCCACCACAGCGAAAGGAGGAAGTGGCAGTGGCGGCGATCTCGTGCTAGCTCACCCTGCTGTCTCGGCCCTCGGGTAAACGGACAGAATTACGCGAACTCTTGCCTGGCCTCGAGTAGTACGCCGACTATCGTCGTCAAGCATGTGGGTCTGGCGAAGCCCATGCAAAGCTCCGCTGGACCTTACCTCGCAGGTCAGCGGATTCGTACGAAAATCATTGTTGACGAGAGAGGGATCTGACCATGCTAACTTCCTTTCTCGTCCTGTGCGAGGAGGCCGCGAAAGAATCCTGGATATGCCCGCCAATTTATAGGATATTCCTTATGTCGAGCCGCTGGGTTTCGCCAACTGAAATCGGTCTGTGAAGTACCAGCCTGCGAGACTCACTCGGTCAGAGAACTTGCCCGCTCGCCAGCCGGACCGATCAAGCCAATCCAATCTGTTACGGTCGTTCGAATAGGTACTTCTAGAACCACGTGCGGCGATAGAACGACTTCTAACCTGCCTCGCTCGACATGCGTTCCTCCCGAGATCAATCTGGATGAAAGCTGTGTCTTGAGATCCATTTTTCTCCTCGTGGCTTGTTGTGCGGTCTGTGTACCAGGGGCTTTCCGATTTTCCGCCGCGGCGTCGCTCTCTCTGCAGCAACTCTAAGCGTTCGCGGAGTTTTCGCGGCGAAGCAAACGTCACCGAGTCTTGCGGCGAGTGGCTCCGCTTCTGCTGACCCCGGAGAAACCGCCGACATTTTGGAGGAGCTTGCCGAACTTGCGACAGTCTTTCGTGAGTTTGCTCAGATGGTTTCTCTCTCCGGTACAAATTTTGGCATTGCGCCTGGCAAACGAACTGCTGCTGGAGCTTGAAGAGTTCTTGCTGTTTCTGGCATAGGAGAGATTGCTGTTGGCGTTGTTGACAGATGAGGAGTTGTTGCTGCTCCAACTGTATCCGCTGTTGCTGAATGAGCTGTTCTTGCTTCTCGCAGCAACTCTGTTTTGGTTCCTGACAGTACCAATCGTCTGGGGCACTGTGCTCCAATAAGGGATCCTTTGCTCGGGTGGCTGGACTGGACGTCGGCGGCTTCCGCGATCTCCTACACCAAGATGCGAATTTGCTGCATCCGATGAGTTTGGTGAAGGCTCGTTTCAGAGGCGAGGACGAGAAGGATGATTTAGCCGCCCTATACGGATAATTCGATTTCGGAAAGAGCTTCGCCGTCGAACTTGTGGCGGAAGATGACCTGGAGTACACAGAATCGCCGTCTCCATCTGATTCCATCTGTAAAAATCGAAAGTCCCGATGAGCAGCCCGCCGAAACCGAGAAATTGATCCAGCTACTCCCGAGCCTTGGTCAGAAACAGATAAGACCGCGCAACAACATCCTGAAAGTTCGGCTTGACAGTTATGGTACTCTGAGGGATTGTGCGCGCTCCCCCCAGCGGAGGACTCACTTCAGCTCTTGTGAGCATAGATTCACGGACCGTATCGAACGCGCCTAAAATCAAGCTCACATCCGAAACTTAATTGGTCGTGAACTCACCAGTAGGTCCCGTTTCGACTTTTTCAGTCGATGCAGGAGCTTATCCAAAACCATCTTCGATTTTCACGAGTACCACGACCCTGTACGACTACCCTGTCCCTAACATCTTCAACTACTCCTTCGTTCAGAAGTCATCCGAACGCGATCGCCACCACTATGGAAGCGAAAACGCGCTCTTTCTATTCACAGCTCGCAGACAAACGACACTGCCCACAGTATCCGTTCGAGTCAAACACAGCCTATACAAGAGATCGTTCGAAATTCAAGAGCTACATCGGAGCGTCCACGGAACCGTTTCCATCGCGGTGAGGCTTGCGGAACTCTTCAATTGCGAGCAGCACGGCGAGTGACGATTAAGTGAGAGAGGATTTGCAGAGAGAAAGCAGACGCGTTGACGACCTAGAGGGAAGAACACTCCTAACGCGGCCACCTGTGAGACTTGGATCGAGCTTCCTTACAGAATTTCCTCGTAGGATACACGCGGAAAACCCCAATGTTAGCGGAGTCCGAGGAGGGATACCATTGACATGCAGCAAACAACAATCCCAGTAGATGTATAGTTACAATTAACCACGCCTGCACTAAACGTATTTTGAGATGTCAAGAGGAGAGTATCGGTAGACTCGGCTTCTCCGCGCCCGAAGGTCTCCATCGCGGGCCCGTCTGCACAGACCCGGTAAATCGGACTGTGTCCGTCGAGAACCCGGAAACAGAGGAATTGAGGGGAATTCTCGCGACCGTCAGTCTCTCTCCGTCCTCGTCAAAAGATTGTCGTCGTCTCTGGAACTCTTTCTTCAATTCGATCCTCCAGGGGGGTTCCTGGCTATGTCCCTCCTCGTCCACTGGCCTAGCCCTTACACCGTGGAAGGGCCGCAGCATTCATCGACATGAACTCTACCATGCCTTCGATGGGAAACAACGCGCAATAAAACCTTTGGTGGGTTTGAGTCCTTCCTTTTGACCGATTCTACCTTCGATTTGATTAACCGGTCATGACTTCTCCCCGTCTGCGTCTGCTCGAACATTTCGCTCGCATGATCTCATCTCTGACAACTCTTGATGCCGTTGCCCCACCAAGAAACCTCGTAGTGGGTATCAAGCTTTCTGGTGTGACTTGCTGATCATGATGACTCTCCAACTCGCTCCTCGACCAAGTGTCACCCTCGACCATCATGACCGACTGCGCTACAGAATTTCGACCTCGAGTCGCTCGCTTCCTCGTTTTCTTGATCACTTCGAGTACCCCATCCTGAGCTGTGTTACTTCGTCCCCTCAATGGCAATCATCCGCCGGGAAATTCTATGGAGCTGTATCCGTTTTTGCTCGGGCGTAAAAAATACACCGAGAGATAACTTTCCCAAGCAAACCGATCACTCGACTGCCAAAGTCTTTATGAGAACTATTCCCGACCACCCACCATCAGTCGGCTCTATCGTCCCAATACCTCCGCCAAGATAAGCGTGCGCTCAGATCTCACTTACTCCTCCGCTCTCTCTGACTCCGATGCTGCGTAGAAGAATTCCGCTGCTAGATCTGAATTATCGGTTGTAGCCAGCTCGGAAGCCCCGTGATCCTCTCAGGTCGACGGGTGATTATCAAACATCACGAAGACCCATCTGGATGAAGTTTGGTTCATTATCAGAGAGCTACGTATGTATGGATTCGGGGTTCCGAGGGAGCTATCCACCCAGGGAACCAAGTTCACCGCGGGCCCCCGACTGGAAGACCTCCGCGTGAAGAGTCCCGAACTGCCCCGTTGCACCTCGACAGCGATTCTCATCTGGATGATTCCGGAATCTCTCGCATGATTCTTCATCGATAACTTCGCTCTGACGATCTTGCCCATGATTCGACTTAGAATTCAACGCCCTTGGCGCAGCTCGTATCTTCGTTATTTTCGTGCTATTTGATATCACGTCGTTAGGTTCTAACAGCTGACTTGATCTCGAGTGGTCGAGTGGTTTCACTCGTGCTATCCTTATCGTTCGTCAGTCTGGCTAGTATAGGCCTAGGGCATAGCATTCCTCGTAACTTCTCCGGGTTGTGCGCTGGAGCTCTCATCGGCACAACTCCTTCGTGTAGATCGTTGAGAACTTGTGTTGAACAATTTCTGCTCTTTTCCCTGATCCTGTTCGAGAGCTAAGTGAGGCGAGGGCGGAGTATCGATGCGCCAAGGCAGCACCACATCATCCGTTAGAGGAGGGGTCCCACATCGTTCGGACTACAGGAAACGGGAATTTTCCGATGAAGATGTTAGAATGGGGCGGTAATGGGCCCAGCTTCGCTCTTGGACTGTCGGACCGACTCTCCTCGTGTACGGTCACTCATTCCACAGCGATACCCCGGCCTGACGCTGCCCCGCTCGGAGCCGGTCCGTGTAGTGCTGCTCCGCTTACGAGTGGTATGGGAAAAGTCTGTCTCACTATTACTTAATATGCGATTCTCGAGTCCTATCATCTCTTCCGCGAAAGAACGTCATATCGATATCACACTGCTCCGCCTTAACCTTCCTCAAACGTCAATGAGACGGGACAATAGTCACAGACCTCTCCCTAGGCCAGGAATTCTCCAGATGTTCAATTAGCGTTCCCGATTCGACTCGAGATCATCCGATCCGGAAGTCCTGAGCCTAAGGTCGGGGAGAATCGGCAACAGCCGGCGCAGCACCTTTCCTTAGTCCGCCTCAAGCGCCTCGTGCTCCTGGAGCACGTTCGAGCGAGACCACCGTTCGAAATTTGAGTGAGTCCTTCGGACCTTCCCGCTCCATTCCGGCTGATTACTGGAAATCCTTCGAGCGCAGAGAAGAGCAGCCCTGGTTATTGTAAGACCTTCCGCGAGAGGCCTCCAGACTCTGAATCCTTGTATCGGACACCCTTCTATCGGGTGCTGCTTATGATCTCTATGGTTGCTCGTACTCGAACTTCCGCGGGCCCATCATGCAGAAAACTCCCATCCGAGTTCCTGTGTCTTTGCACAAACAAAAGTTTGAGTCATTTATTGAGTAACATTCCTCACGGTAACAAAAACATTGCTTTCGAGAGCTGCGATCCCCCGATTCCACTTCCAGCAGCGCAGTCCGATGGTGTAGAAAAAAATAAAGACTTTACAAGAGCGAAACGCTGCTCAAAGATTCGTAACGGAGTGAGAAGGACCTAAAGGGTCGACATAGCGTTGTATACAATAATTTACATATAGAGTACTGTGTTCATTCTTCTTGTGAAGATGCGACCTGACTATCGGTGTGATGATCGCGCGGAGCGTACGAGATCAATGGCAGTCGACACCAGCTCCGATAAATCCAGAAGGGTGCACAAGGACTCAGAAATAGTGGCAGATGAAATGTTCTCCAGGCGAAAAACAGTTCAAATGATGATTGGGTTGGCCGATAACGACATCGGGCCGAAGCCCCACTGAGACTGAGCTGTATTGCTCTCTGATCGATACGAAGACTCCGGAATTCGTGGCTTGACAGCCAGAGTGATGCAATACATTACTGAAATTATTCTTAGGATTTCTTCTCTTCGTTTGAGTCGTGTTGCTTTTATGTTTGTGCCTGTTGGGAATGTTGCCCCCGGTCAGGCTTTTAGAGGCTAGAATGCTAGATTGATGACAGGCATCCTGAGACCCCGTGTAGTGTGTCCTTTCGCTTCTCTGATGAATACCCGGCTCGAGAGGCTGAAATTCGAGAAGGAGCTTTAGTTTCTCATTCTCCGCCAATAAGTGATAGAATAGACCGTCGTGGAGGGTCAGCGGGTACTCGATCGTCGTCTTATTTACCCACCATGTGGTTGTCTTCAAGTCGTGTTACCATATCGGCGACGAAACCTGGAGGCGTGGGGGTTGAACAGCGTTTCTCTCTGTGGCTTTTCTGTACATCTATTCTGACTTTGAAGTATCGACCATCGGCGCTTTCGACAATTATCTTCGATCCGGGTTTGGCGTAGATTTCGGTCGGGCCCAGCAACTTCTGGTGTGGAGAAAAGTATAATTATTACTATCGCATCCCCTAGCAGTTGCATCTCTCGAGACGCTATGTGTCTGGAAAGCTATCGATCACGAATAAGTCTGCGTTCCCTCGCCCCGCTGAAGGTAGTCCGGGATATTCCGATCGAGAACAGCCGGTTATCGTATCGCAGATTCTTGAAATAAGCTCTGTGAAGGAGCGTAGAGGGTCTCAAGTGCTCCATCGTAGGGAATACTGCTTGCTGCTCTTCCAAAGTGCCGCCGCGAACGAGGAGCGTATGGGTCACGCAAATGTCGCGCATTCCGCGCCAAAAGAGTGAGGAGGAGCTTTTTCATCTCCGGAATCGATCCACAAGGAGATGCATCAGCCGGACACATTGTGTTTTCGACCTTCTATTCTCGTCGAGAACGCTGCCTCTTCGATTTATTCTCGGACTCGTTGCAAGGATTTGGGCCCATTCGCGATCACTCGTCAATTCATGTCCATCGCAGCGAATAATTGACGAAAAAACCCCCCCGCCCCGTCGGAATATCCGTCGCGCAGCTAGGCTGCTCTCGAGAAGGAGCCCCCAGAAACAATGCCCGTTGCCAGACGTCCGTACGGGGCGGCTTTGTTCCGGATATTTCTCCCACGGACTCTCTTCGTGTGCACCGAGCGCACTTTTTTTTGTCTTTGATAGCCGGAAGGTATAGCCGTTGTTCATGACGGCGGCAGTTTTATGCAGTGGTCATACTCGTGGTGTGCTAGCGGCAGCGGTCGCAGTTAAGCCCCTGCTCGAGCTCGTGTCGTTCGTTTGAACTCGCCGCCGCTCAAGGAGTAGAAAAGAGGAAAAACGACGACCACGACAGCAACAGCAGCAGCAGCAGCAACAACAACAACAACCACGATGAGCAACGCGAAGAGAATGAAAAGAAGAGGAGATGCCTCGCTGCCGCCTCGGTTTGTTGCCTAGTCGTCGTCGAAGCAGTTCTCTACGAAGATCGCTTAAAGCGAGCGGCGCGGCGGCCGTCCGACCGACCAAACGAACGAGCGAGCGAGCGGCCGACGGACGGAGCGGGCGATCGACCGGCTGCCTGAGCGAACGAGTGCGAAGTACCAAAGCTCGGTGCCGCCATCGACATCCACAGCAGCAACAACAACAACAACGACGATGATAAACCATTGCCGGCGTTGTGAGCCGCCATCAAAGCGCCGCCGCCAAAACGAGTGGAGGAAGCGGCAATGGCGGCGATCTCGCGCCAGCTCGCCGTGCTGTCTCGGCCCTCGGGTAAACGGACAGAATTACGCGAACTCTTCCCTAGCCTTTACAAGTTTGGCGATTTCCCTCGATACGCATGTGGATCGGACGGAGCCCGTTCGAAGTTCCCTCAGACCTCCAGCTGGCAGAGAAAAAAATCGTCGGATCATCATTCTTGGGGAGAAATGCATGGTCTAGCTGAGTTTTTTCCTTGTCGAGTGCAAGGATTTCTGCGGCGGAAAAATAGTATGCATACACCCGTCTACTGATGGGATCTCCCACATCTCGGCTGCCGAATTCCGCAAACTGACATGGGTCGGTGAAACGACAAGGCTGCGCGACTCGGGGAATTCGCCCGCTCGCCAGCCGGCTCGATCAAGCCAATCCAATCCGCTTCGGTCGTTCGAATCCTTTCTGAGACCACGTGCGAATATCAGAAGCCTGCTTACCTGCTCCGCCAGACAAGCGTTCCCTCTGAGATCAGTCTGAATGAAAGCTGTTCCATGAGATCCATTTTTCTTCTCGTGGCTTGCTGTGCGGTCTGTGTACCGGTGGCGTTCCAATCTTTGACCGCGGCGTCGTTCTTTCTGCAGCAACTCTAAGCGTTCGCGGAGTTTCCGCGGCGAAGCAAACGCTACCGAGTTTCGCGGTGAGCGGCTTCGCCTAAGTCGGCACTTGATAGCCGGTCGAACTTTCGGGGGAGCTTGCCGAACTTGCGACGGCCTCCCGTGGGATTGGTCCGATTGATTCTGACTCCGCAGCAGAGCTTGGTGTCGCTCGTGGTAAGCAAACTGCTGCTGGAGCTCGAAGAGTTCTTGCTGTTTCTGGCAC